GAGAAGTCCTACCGACCGATCCAATGTATAAATTAGTAGTAAAGCCAATAAACGGTCAAGGGTTGGTTTTCAATCAATGTTATTTATTAATTATTGCCGACGTTTCGAACCAATGTGGGGTTCTTTCTCAAGGCTAAATCATTAACATCAATATTGTCACATTTTGAAAACCAACCAACATTTTGAAATTTTTTGATTGAAAACCAACCCTTGACCGTTTATTGGCTTTACTACTAATTCTTTTACTTGGTACTTCTTTTTTATCAACTTCTCTCTGTTTCGTTTTCATTTTATTGAAAAGAAAATTTATCTTGGTATGTGAAGCAGAAGAAACTGAATGCCCAAAGTTCTGAAAAAATCCAAAAGAAATCCATTTTCCACAATTCGTCTTTTGTGATTATCGATGCGTCTTTTTTTATTTGCGAAAATATCCTTATAAACTAAAATGATTACCGTATTATTATTATTATTTCCGACTGTTTGTGTCAAAAATGTAAGAAAAATGTTATTTTTAGGAAATATCTCCTTTAAAAACCGATATTTATTCACGGAAACAAATGCAAAGAAATTATGTTCACAGTACAATTGATGAATATGAATATGAAAATGTGATTTTACAAAACTTTGTAACGGCCCTTATTGAAAACGGGATGCACGTGGCTTAACTTAAGAAGTTCTTCCTTTATTAATCGTGTAATTTCACGTTTAGCCTTCTGCACAGACATTTCGCTGCAACTTTCAATAGCCAAATAAAGTTTACGCTCTCCTTCGGGCACTTGTTTACCCGTTGGCACATAAGTACCACGCACGGTCAAACCGGCTTCAGAATATTCCGATATTTGTGCCAAAGCCTCCTGTAATCAAATTACAACAAAAGTTTTTCATTAGTAATTTTGTATTTTGAACAAACAATGCGAAAATACAATGTATTTTGAAATTGTCATAACGTACCTTGGATGTAACTTTCCATCTTGCTTGTTGTGGGAAGTCATTAATTTCCAATTCTTCCTCATATTTCTTGAAGGTGGACTCTGTACCCGTTGCAAGTATATTAACATCATCTTCTTCTTTCGGTTGATAGTTTAATTTGTTATTAAGCTTGGCCGCCAACTGTTCGGCAACCGTTTTGGCCTGAAATGAATGATGAAAATTAATCGCATGTAAAAATGAATAAAATTCAATGGTCAACGTACCGTAATGAGGGATTGTGTTGGACCACCCTTGAGAATGGCTTCGGTCGCTTGTTGTGTCGCATCTTTTGCTTCTGAACCAAGATTCTTAGAGATATTAATGCGTGATGCTAATCGTTTGGCTAATTCCAATTTCTGTGTCTGTTGTGCGCTAGTAACTACTGTTGTTGGTTTGGCATTGGCTGCTGGTATGGTTGTATTTAGAACAGCAGCACCTTCGACCATTGATGACGCTTCAACTTCTTTAACATTTCTTTTAGCAGCAAACATGTGTTCAATATGTTGATCGATGTCATTCTCATCCTCGTCTTCTTCATCTGAATCTTGTATGCCCAGTGCTGCCTTTTGCATTTTTTTACTTTCTTTCACTGCGTTCGCTTCCTGTTCGTCGAATTTAAATCCTTTGCCACTAAATCCACCGCCAGTGTGAACTTTTTTACCTTCGGCCTCTTGTGATGCTTTATAATGATCCCACATTTGACGTAAATCATTTGGTACTTGTGCACCAGACAATTCCAATGCGCGTATTATTTCACCGGAATAACGTCCTTGTTCCGGTGTTAAAAATGTCCATGCAAAACCTTTTTTACCAGCACGCCCAGTTCGACCACAACGATGCACATAATCTTCATAATGATTGGGACAATCATAATTCACCACAAGTATTAATTGCTTAACATCCAAGCCACGTGCGGCAACTGATGTTGCAATCAATAGTTTAACACGTCCAGATTTGAAATCCAAAATGGTGGAATCGCGATCAAATTGATCAATGCCACCATGTAAACTCATACAATTGTACGATGCTTTCATCAAATCTTTCAATAGAATATCAGCATTTTCCTGTTTATCAACAAATACAATAATACTGCCGTGCTCTTGATAGTGACCCAATAGCTCTAACAGTTTGAAGAATTTCGCCTCTTCATCCAAAACGGCAATGTTCTGTTCAACGTCCTTACATACAACTGACCGCCCGCCAACTTGTACTTCGATTGGCTTCTTCAAAATACGCCGTGCAAGAGCTTCCATTGCCCTGGGAAATGTTGCACTAAACATTACTGTTTGTCTATCCGGTCGAATATTATCAATGATACGCATTACCTGTTACGTAAAAATAGATGAAAATTAGCGATTTCTTAGCTTTATATTTGATTTTATTGTGTGCAAATTACCTGTGGCTCGAAGCCCATGTCAAACATGCGGTCAGCTTCATCTAATACAATGTATGTCACACGTCTAAGATTGGTAACTCTGCCCGAATTCGCCGCAAGCATATCAATCATTCGACCTGCGCGTGAAATGAAAAAAAAGAAGACATTTTCAATTTTCCAAATTTAAATTCGAGTAACGCATTGGCTTTAATAGCTTACCTGGTGTACAGACAATAATCTCAGCGCCACGTTTCAATTCGGCAATTTGTTCCGATATACCGGTGCCACCATAAACGCAAACGACATTCAAACCCAATGGCTTTGAGAATTTTTTGATATCTTTACCAATTTGCATGCAAAGCTCACGTGTTGGTGTCATAATAATTGCAATCGGACCATCACCATCGGCCAATGGCGTTTGATCCAAAATGTGACGAAACATTGGTAAAATGAAGGCGATCGTTTTGCCACTGCCCGTTTTTGCAATACCAATTAAATCACGGCCACTCATTATCGCCGGAATTGCTTGACATTGAATTGGTGTTGGTTTTTCAAAACCGAGACGTTTCAAAACATCCATTTCTTTTTTGGAAATGCCACAATGTGCCCATGTTTTGATTGGTTTTGGACAACCTTTTCCTTTAACTTGGATACCTTCCAATTCCAATTTATAGGCATCAACTTCGATCGACGTCATTTTAGCCAATTCAGGTACTTCAACATAGAAATCTTTTCGAAATGACGCATAATCAACACCGGAATGATCAACTTTTGCTAATTCTTTTTTATGTTTATTCGCCAAATTGGCGGCAGTATCTTTAATATCTTCGATTTCTTCTTCCGACGAATATTCCAAGCCGTCTTGATTTTGTTCCATCATTTCACCTTTATTCAGCTCTTTATTCTTTTTTGCTACACCGCTCATCACCATAACGCCACCGCTTGCATTTGTTGGTTTTGTAATTTTATTCACTTTTCTCACCTCTTTGTGCACTTCCATCATGTATGCATCCAATGGATCAATGTCATCATCGTCTTCATCAACGTCCATTGATTGTTTATTCGATGATTCGGAATTTTTTTGATTGATTGGTTTTGTAATATCGACAACAGCGGCAACATTTTTCGTTAAACTATCATTGGTGGTGGTTTCTTTGATTGGAACCTCTTTTACATCATCGTCATCGTCCGATTCATTTTCTAAACTCCATTTTTTTACACTTGGCGCTGGTATGATGGTGACCTTTTTTATATCCAATTCTTTACGTTTACGTTCCGCCCGCCATCGTTCAATACGATCCCGTCGTTTGATCATCTCTTGTTCAAGACGTTTTTGCTCTTCTTCTTTGTCAACACAACCGGTTAAATCTAATATTTCTATTTCACTCGAACTATCACGATGTGAACGGTCTTTATGTGTCGATTTTTCACGATCGCCATCTCGACGTTCTCTGGACCGTGATCTACGATTACGATTACTGCTACTACCGCTTCCAGATTTATGGTCGGTACGACGTTTATCACGATGTTTGTCAGTTTGTTGTCGTCGACTGCTACTGCTTCGTTCAACACTTCCAGATCGTGACCGACTCCTCGAACGGCTGTTCAAAAAAAACAATTACTTATAAAAAAAATTGGTTTATCGGACACATTTCATTTGTTTAACAATTTAAAAGACAGAAATATGATATTTGGCCTTCATAATAACAATCTGTTGTGCATACGTTTTAAAACGTCGGCCAATAAATAACAATTTCATTTCTAAAATCAGAAAACAAAATAACATTTCGAATGAAAAATATACTTACTCCAATCTTCCACGTCCCATTCTTAGTTTGTGTACTGTTTTCTTTAAATAAGTGTCTTTTCAAATTGTATTGCTTCCTTTGTTTGTTTTTTTTTATTTTTAAATGAAATATACGAAACCAAAATAAATTGTTCACTTTTGATTATGGAAGAGTCAACTTGTCAATACACTCACGGTAAAATTGACAAGCATCTATGGCGGTAGTGGTGAATACGTTTATTTTAAACTTTGTTGAGTATCTACACGTTACTTTATTATTATTCTTGACTTGATCTTTATTACCTTTCAAAATGAAATTTAATATAAATTAAATGCAAATTGAAGGAAATCTTTAATTTCTATTTCATTCAGTTTGATTCATAATATAAATGGCTATAGTCTTGTATTTGCGTTGACATTTTATAAATAGATGGCGCATTGGTCGTGATGTAAATTTTCTGAAATTAATCATATGTCAAAATTGTACATCATTTTCGATTGTTCTCAGTCGTAATAACATTTTAGGCAAATCTCTTGAAGATTTTCCAAAAGTTTTTTATGAACAAAATACCAAAAATGTCGAAATACGTTGCATTAGTTGGGCCAAGAATTAACAGTAAGTAATTTTTATTGACTGTAGTAAATGAAAGTTCGTTTCTTCTAACAAAAAATTAATTTGTGATCTAACCAAAAAAAAGTTCAGTGTACATTACGTAATGGTTAAATCGTGAAGTTTAAATTTTATTGGATTGGTTTGGCACCCTTTGGGCTATTCCAAATTTAAAATGAACTTTTTTCGAAGGGTCCATTTGATTTGAAAGAAAATCGACAATACAATAAATGACATTGACAAAAATTTGCTTTACGGATTTGGATTGTTTTGACATTTTCACGATAAGTCATAAGCATTTTTCTTTGCTCTTAATAATATTCATCTCTTTTCTAGCTCCCTTCCGAAAATGGTGCTACAATTTAAGTGGATTCCGAAAATATGGTAAGCATTTTCCAACCATGTTGCGATTATAATGGCTGCAGCGTCCAAACATTATCTTTTAAATTCCAGGTTTGATGTTGAATGATTTATACGATCATGGAACATGTCCAGACGTTTCGGAGGCTATTCGTCGTTTGCCACCTGATGTATTTGATGCCCGTAATAAACGTATAGCCATTGCTTTCCAACTTTCATTGGAAAAAACTTATCTACCAAAAGAAAAATGGACAAAATACGAAGAAGATGTCAAATATTTGGAACCATATTTGGAAGAAGTGCGACGGGAAATTGCCGAAAAAGAAGCTTACGAATACAATAATTACAGTACCAAATAAATTTTGTTCAGCCATATATTCTGTGTCCATCAAAATTTGAAAAGCGGCAATTGTGGACTCAAAATTTATAGATTAACCCTCTCTCCCCCCATTTCAAATCAAGAATATTCAAATAGCAAATGAATGATTAAATAAAGTATGAAATAAACTTGATAAAATTCAAATGATCCGATTTTTTAAATGATGATTACAAAGTTTTTCTATAGATTTGATCCCGTTGAATTTGTATGTACTCGTTTTATTGTCTATGTATGATTGTGTGAAGGTGTGTTTGTATTGGATATACACATATGCAGAATGGATGACATGAGCACAGAGAAATACTGAGTCAAATAGAGAGAAAGAGAGATAGAGATAATGAATGGGATAAATACCTACGGACATTTGACGTTTGCTGTCATGCATTCAACAACAAAATAAACATCCAAATCAAATAATACAGAAGATTCAACAAACAACAATCAGAAAATGTTTCTCTTTTGATTGATGTTGTTGGATCAATTGAATTGTGCAATTGTAAGAAGAAATATTAAATTGGCAAAAAAATGAGCGCGTGAAAAAATAGCGTACGTTGTAGATTCGATTTAATATAATGTTGTTGTAGTTTTTTTTTGTATAAAATAAAAAATTCTTTATCGTGACAGTGAAATATCAACGAACATTTTCTATCTCTTCCTTCTGGATTTTTGTTGCATTGTTAATTCCTATATTTTCAATAAATTGTAAACGGATAATGTCGATCTTCATCACAATAAAAAAGCGAGTCGGGCATCGTTCTTTCTTCGATCAAATTGTTTTTATCAAGTAAAAAGTCTCAATTTAATCATGCTGATGAGTCAACAAAACATTCTGAATTTGTAATTTTCATGAATATTGATTTTAAACGATCAAGTGAATTCATCCATCGAGTGAATATATACACAAATAAACAATTCATTTCAAAAGTTAATTTTATGAATCGTGTTTTGTGAGCGTTCATGTGTTTCAGTAAATCATTTAATATGTAGTTTACTGGTTTTAAGCTTGTTTTGATAAATCCACTTATGAAGAATAAAAAAAACGAGATAAAATGGACTTGATATTTAATTGATTGTTGTTTATGCCATCTCTATATATTCCTATAAAGAACATTTTTTTTTATCAAGTTGAATATTTGGCGCAAGTGTATGAAAGAAAAATGCACTTCAATATCCCGGACACTCAACAGTTTATCTGCAATAATACCGGTGCAAATTTCACTGTAAGTAAATGAAATAAAAACAAAAATCCCTGATCAACTGAAATTATCATTTTGCTGATCCATTATCTCAAAACGCATGCCAACGATTTTATTCTATCAAATATGTTTCATATCGTTATTTATAAATATTTATTGAGTTCTGCATTGATTTTATACTTTCGAAAACCATTTGCAAATTGTTATCTTCTTCGTCTTAGTTTAAGTAATATAAGTAAAACGATGCGTGAATCGAATTTTAACTGAAAACATTCAACAATGAATAATTACGCATTTTCTCAAATAATGTTGGAAATCAAAATTACTCTTTCAGCTGAAACAAGTTAGTGCACATATACATGAATTAAGTTGCATAAATAAAATTGCGAGAAAGGGAAAAATAAGAGAAATAGACAATTTACCAATAAACTTTCATTTAATAAACCCAACAGTATGCTCCTCTCTCGTTGTTATATGTTGTTTACAAATTCCAGATTCAAAATCATTGCACCATTGCTAGACGAAAAAAACAACAACAAACAAACAAGATATATTCATTTTTGAGTCTTTTAAATTGTCGTCTCATTTAAATAAAATGATTCGAATATAAACACAGACGTGTTTTAAACGAAAAGAAGTGTGTTTTGGGAGTTGTTTGCAGACAATTATTTTGATATGCATTCTCATTCTCTTGATTGAAATAAAAGCGTACGGCCATCCCCCCTGCAAAAATGTTGTAAACCAATTTTATAAGATGCAGAGGCTGGAAAAACATTCATAAATTTATTTATGAAGCGAAAGCACGTGATACATCAAACAATAATTTATACATTAACCGTTGAGAATATGCTCGCCGTAATGGGTTAATGTATGGCACAACAAAATTGATGGAGTGTATTTTTGTGTATGTATAGACATTCTAAGCGTGACGCCATCTAGATTCAATGAGTTCATTCACCATTGAACAATTAATTTGATCGAATATGAAAGTATTTTTTTTATTATTGTATGTTTTCAAAAATGAATGGACCTGTTAAACCTAGATGGTGCTTATGTACAGTTTACTTTCTCTTCTTGTCTGGATGCAAACTATTTAACAATTTAATTTGATCAAGGAATGATCACCCACTGTTTTTTTTTTTCGTCTGTTTCCGTCTCAAGTGAATAACGGACGATGTGATTGAACACTCTTTTAGCAATTCGCTTAAGTGACTTAGTACAAAGTATTTTCGTTTAACGTGCCATGCAAAAACGAGCAGAAAGTTAAAAATCAACGATTTATTTAATTTGATCGATAAAGATTTGGATAGATGTTGAGCTTTGGTTTGATTTTCATCCATTTTAAAGAAATTGTTTCTATTGGGGTTCAAGGAGACCAAATAAAAATAAAATAAGTTCTTTCTCAGACTGGAGACTTACCCCTGAAAATTTTCGCAACATCTTTTCGATTCTCAACTTTAAAATCTGTGAAATAAATGAAATATTCAAAGTGAATCAAACGATTCAATACAAAAAGATCCAACAAGATCAGACGTTTTATATTTAAAATTGTAATTACTTTATTATTGTAAATACATTATTCATTCATATTAAGTTAATATTTCATCTTGGGGGGAGACACAGGCTTTAGTAATTGCTAATTTTTCCTAGTTTTTTTAGTAAATCGCATGCGATATGAATATAACGTATACATTTGACAGGACCTAATAAGTCCTCATTTTTCTAAGTTTTTTTTAATTTTCTAGTTTGTGTCTACCCCCTAGTATTTCATATAATAATTATCTGTTATTGGAATTGAAACGGTCATTGCAAATGGTTTTTACGATCTTAACAGTGTTAAGACTGTCATCTATTAGATACATAAAAGTTAATGTAGTTCTAGATAAATGATAGTAAAATAAAACCTACATCCGAGCAGCTTAAGAAAAACTTTAATCCATGCATACAGAGTTAGAATCAAATGGCCGAGAATGACGTGTGTCATCTGAATAACTATAATAATTATCATTTTCTGTTTCATATCAAAATAGCTTCATTATCTCCATCCGTTTTCATCTTTTTAATTTAATAGGGCTTCAATATTCACATAAACGGATGCTTCCATTGTTGTCTGCGATACAAACAAATTCATTGCTTACACGAGCAATTGAAAAGATGTCTACCCGGATTCATACTTCCTCCATTTCCATCGAAAAAATTTCTTCCGCTCACACAAAATCAATTGGAAAATCGGCGATCCCATTTAGAACGTTATATTCAACTTGTTGGCCAAGATCCAGTCTTTTCAAAATGTGAACTATTGCGCATTTTTTTACTGAATGCCCAACAAGAATCAGCGCAAATTCAATCGCATGAAGTAACAATAGACGTTTACTTGATGAATGGATATCGAATCGAAGTGTCTTGTTATACGACCGATTGTACTAGCAAAGTACTGGAAAAAGCCGCCAAAAAAATCGATTTGGCACCACAGTTTTTGGACTATTTTACACTGTATTTGATGCGAACCGAACAAAATGGTGAAACCACATTGATTCGACGATTGATGGATTTTGAGGCACCATATATTACGCAAAAAGTTCTAAATGATTGTCAAATTGTTATCAGAAAAAGGCAAGAAAATATTTAGATTTAAAAAAAAAGACTTGTGAATAATGTGTGATGGTTTTTCTTGTGCTTTTTTTATTATAGCTATTGGGATTGCATATATGATCAAGCGTTGTTTAGCAACAGTGTTGCACTAAATTTGCTCTATATACTAACATTAAATGATGTAAATCGCGGCTGGGTTCTGAGCAGTTCCGAGATTCGTGAACAATTGCATGAACTACAAATGAATGGGAACAAAAAAGAAGTAAGATTTATTTTTGAATGAGAATGAGAGGACATTGAATATGAAAAAAAAAAATGTGCGATTTATTCTTGTTCATTGATTTATATTTTTATTTTCAGTATTTAAACATAGCGAGAAAGTTACCATCGTATGGAAGTATAAAATTTTTGAATGCAACAGCCGATTTTCCATATGTAAATAATCGTGTGAATATTTTAATTGGCAATAAGGAATTATCCATACAAAGTAATAGTAATGATGGTAAATGCGAGGAAACTAAATTTAAAATAACTCGCATGCGTTGTTGGAGAATCACAACAAATTATGATGTAAGTCCCGAACTCCATTCATCACAACACACATGAATCAATTTTAAATTATATTTATAACATTTCAATTCATTTTGAATCATTCCAGAATGATGGTAAGTCGTCTTCGTTAGCGGCTGACAGTGGATCACATAGCAGTAATATTACAAAATGTACAACCATGGAACTTTCATTTGAATATTTAATGGCAAAAAATACGTTACAATGGATCACGATAACAAGTGATTGCAATGCAGCAATGCTCATATCAGTTTGTTTACAAAGTATCGTTGATGAATTGTTAAATCAAAGGGATGGTCATGATCTACGACAGAACATTGACTCGGTATTTTATAGATAAAAATGAAGTATATTCTTTGATTAATCAAATGGATTTTATTGTTAACAGGAACAGCCAAACCAGCGGTCGCAACCACAATCCTTACCAGTGCTAACTTACATTCGGCGTGATGGTCAAATGTGCAAAAAACCAAAACCAAAAGAAGATAACGAACGAATTTCGTCGACAAACTCAAATGAAACACTCTCTACTTTGGTAAGAGTTTTGCATTTGTTTTACATTTGAATATGCTATTTAAATAATATGTATCTTTTTGTTTCATAGACGGAAGGCGACGTCCCACAACATGTGACAACTGAATCGTTTTCATTTCGCAAAAAATTAAAAGAAAAATTATCAGCAAACACAACAGTTTTCTTCCGCAATGGTAAAGACCTAGGAGCTGATTGATTCATTTTCGATTATTCACTAATTATTTTTTTTTGATTATTCGTTCTTTTCTTTTGTGATTCTCTCCTTAGGTAAAGACTCTTCCGTTCATAATGATGCATTCGAAGAAATCGGCGATGATGATCTGTAGTTCATTTATCATCATGATTAAATATTGTATTGGAATTTTAGTTTGACGACAAAAAAAAATATATATCAATTTAGTTTTATAATTGAAACAAAAAGCAATTGTGATTCACAATTGGTGAATTTGGGGTGAAATTAACATTTTTGTTATATTTTTTATTGTTTATTTTTAATGATTTGACATGACAACTGCTATACGTATGATGAATGTTTAAAGAGTGAAATAAAATCGATGAAAATCTTTTCAAAGCAATCATATCAAATGTCATCCGAATGACATATTGCAATTAACTTTGCCAATGCATTGTTAATCATTTCAATTTGGATCATTGAAATACTAACAACATTTTACTAACGTATACTGATGAAAAAATTGCAATCCAACAATACTTGCCAAAAATGAACTAAATTTTCTAACTAATTTTTCAAAATTAACTCTTCAACTCCAACTTTTTATTATAAAATTACAATCCTTTTTGATTGGAAAATACACTTGAATCAGTTCTCTCAGAAAATTTATCTGATATTATTTAAGTACATACCATTGAATTAGGTGCTGAGCAGAGATCGAAAGGATGGAAAATGTATTATTAAATTACCAACTTTTTTATATTTTTGTGTATTTTTGAAGACGTTTTTCACTTTTAACTTTAGAACATAAGTGACTTTTATTGATAATTGATTTTTTGGCTGGAACGAGAACAAAAGACATTTTATAAAAAAAAAATTACTATTTGATGAATCGGGAAAAATGATACTCTCATCCTTGCTTTTTTTTAATGAGAATATCGTGATCATTATTGATATAAATGCCAACAATATTATCAAGAATGGTAGGAATATTAAATACATATCGATTGAATCACGAACTACTCAACAACATTCGATTTATATTCATTTTAAATAATTTTATTTAAGAAAATTTATACACAGTTCAGAGAAAGCAATTCCATGTATGAAAATGTTATACAATAAGATTATTTTAAATGTATTTTTTTTTCTTTCTTTTAACAAATGATTGTAAATGAATTAACATTTCGACTAATCAAAATGGTTTTTTATTAAAAAAATAAAATAAAATATTAGTTGTTCAACATTTTGTTTTTATTTTAGACTTTTGGAGCAAATTGTTATGACAAAATTGAGCTTTCAGATGTGGTTTTACAATTCAAAATCAACCTTTAAGGCATTACATAATGATTCAAAGTATCAATTTAATTTTGTGCATAATCTACGTTTCGGAATTTTAAAAAATTGAACTGGATGAGTCTACTTCAAAAATGATTTAAAACAGTCATGTTAACGTTATAATTACCGAAGCATAATTGCCTCAAAATATGGAATGACAATTGTATTTTTTTTTTGATTTTCTACGTGATTTTTAAATGAAAATGAATATCGAAAAAATTTGCAAAAAAAATACGGACAACTAACATACGATAAAAAAAAAATTAAAACTAACACACAGACAAACAAAATTAAAGTTTAAACTTATACAATAACACGGATAAATGGGTCGCAGTGAATATCCCTGACATTTTTTAGATGAGACAAATATTTTTTATTTGGAATCGTGACTCTGTTAACTGAAGTAAAATTCGATTTTGACTTATTAAATACATATCACGGATATTTTTAATTAGGTTGTCACATGTAATCTGATGATTTGATTTGATATTCTATGGGATTTTTTTTGAAGAGTATTTGGTGTTTTTTTTTTTCATTTTATGGGATTTTAATTGATTTTTTTGTGCTTTTTTTTTAAATTTTACGATAAAAATATGAAATTGTTGAGGCGTATGCTTGTGCGAGATTCTTAAGTATAGAAGTTTTGTATTGGTCCGAATTGACCTCAAAACACCAAGCGACCCAATCGACGGAGTGGACGTTTGGTGATAATTTCTTCGTGTTTGTACGGTGAATCCTCATCGCTTTTTGGTGAAGATCCAAGCGGACGTATTGTACATTTTTCATCAATGTGACGGTAGCCCTTACAATTTGTACAAAATTCAAAACGACAGGACACCTTTGAACACTTAGCATATTCGCTAACAACACTTTTTGTGAGACCATTGTTCATTTTAGTTTTTGTTGTATTTCCCTTCACCGATAGTGACGATCTATTTGCGGAAATTTGTTCATTTTTAATACATGACATGATGTGGAATGAAAGAAGAAAAATGTCAAAGCACTTACTTGTTGTGTCCATGTCGGCGTGGGCTTTTGCGTTGTGGTTTGGCATCATTTTTAGTTTCTGGATAAACAATGCTGATTCCATTACATAGAGGACAGTGAAGAGCTCCTTGATTCGGCTTCAATTTACTGATAATCTATAAAAATGAATCAATAACAATTGAATATAAAGCATGTGAAATGCGTACAGTATTTTCTCATCATCGAATAAAGACACTCACGCTTTGATGTTCTTTGAATCGCCGTGTAGTTGGGCTGACCGGTACCGGTTTTTCGACAGTGTCACAATTTGGATTGTGTTGATGCAATGGTTGGATGTTTCGATTTTTATTATTGCTATTGTTGTTGATAACCATCTTAGCTCCATCAATGTTGATATTTTCTTTATGCATTTGCATTTGATTTGCGAATTCACGGCATCGTGTTAAATTCTTTGGATTTTCATCGATTAATTTTCGCCATGATTTACATACGGAATGGGCTGCCAGAAGACTTTCACCGGGTAAGTATTCGAGAATCATTCCAATTGCATCGACCACTTTGCGTTCATGAAGATGTGTTAAGATATCCAATTGTTCGAAGCCATTAATATACGATGGTCGATGGCAATCGCTTCGCGAATATAGTTTACGTTTTGCCGATGGTGCAGTCGGTTGTGGTGAATCGTCTCGTGTCGATACGGTACGTTTAAGATGTCGGCGTGTATATTTCTTTGGCGGTGTACAAGGCAAATGACCATAAATAATGTTCAATATCTCTTTTTCTGGGCTTGATTTCGTTTGTATATAATTATGGCTTATGCTTTTTTCGATGCGTTTGATTGGCGTCCGATTTGCCCCATCGCATATATTTTTCTTAACACAATTATTTTGTACGGGCGTATCTTTGCTGTTCGTTTCCAGTTTACAATTTGGCGTACCAGCGCTAGACACCTCTGTTTGGCTAATATTCATCGCATTATCCTCGCCAAATGACATTGACAAATCACTATCGTTTAAATTTCTCACAGCTTTGTTTGACGCCGATCCAATGTGTTTTATTGATTTCTTTCGCGAAAATTCTCTTACCAATCGGGAACTTTTGTAAGCGTGTTGACGTTTTGGTGGCAAATATTTTATTGTTCCACTCTCCATTACGTTGTCATTGGTGATAGAGGTTTTTGTTGTTGTGACTGCCATTGGTTGTGTTGTGGCTTGATTAAAAAGTTGATTAAACTTTTGTGGTGTAAAGTTCAAAAGTTTTCGTGCTGGATTATCATCTAGGTTTTCTGTTTCGAAGCATTCTTCATCTTCGGGCTCAAATGAATTTTGAAAATTGCGTCTACTCAACGGGAAACGTTTTGCCGGACTAAAACTTTGTGTCTTACGCACTGCATTACGAATCACATCATCGGCATGATTTATTTTCGGCTTAACGATGGTCTGAGTATGAGTTCGTCGAAAAAGATTCTTTGGTGTACTCGATTCAATGCCCGATGGATGACGTTGTAATTCTGGTACCTTTTCCATTTGCTTCGTAACCATCGTACTATTATTAAATGGTTTAATTGGACTAACACCAATACTTTGATCGCATGGATTTTCGCCATCATCATTAAATATATTTTCAAAATTTTCATCAAACGATTCGAATGTTGTTTGTCTCGACAATGATTTTCGTCCGGATGCTGATCGAATTCTCGGTGATGATCGATTATGTGACCATCGAATATTATTCTGGCTACGATTCTTTTTACCACTATTTCTTGAACTACTATCATACGGATTATAGAAAATGTTTGCTTTTGTCGGTGTGGTTTCAATTTGATTGCGTGCATTCTGTGGTGTATTTATATGGAATGCATTAAGATATCGAATGCTTCGTGTTGTTGGTGTTTCTTGTAAATTTTCTGTGAATTTAAAGTAGTATATCGGTGCATTTAGTATTTTGAATTTGTCGCATGTCGTCCGTTAACTAATAATTGAATCTTACCATTTGGTTCAATATTTTCGGAAATTGTTTCTAAATCGATAGATCTTTTAAATGATGTTGACGAAAATTTGGCTGAGCTACTCAATCCGGATGTGCTTGCTGTTGCATTGCTTTGTGACATGGACAATTCTATACCACTGTCTACATCACTATGCTCGACAAACAAAGCCTTTTTATGCACGTCCATGCCCCGACCAATGGCAGTAACATTTATTGACATTTCAGCACACTCCATATTCACTACGTACAATATCGTTCCTTTCACCGACGCTACAACTATAATTTTAACGAAACCGAAACATTTCGTTATTATAAAAATGTACATTTAATATTTTATTAAATTGAAAATAAAATTTTAGTACAAAATGGAAAAAAAAAACATTTGTATGAATTTAAAATGAGATTAGAACTTTATGCAACTGTATATGCTTATTCCAATGATTGTATTCGAGCTGTAAATATATTAAACAAACCTTTTTATAAAAAAAAAAACAGTTGTATTTAAATTCCGAAATATCGTTTCGTATTCGGCACTATTTGAAATTAGTCTAAACTTTTTTTACTTTTGTTTCGTTAACGAATTTCTTCCGACGCTTAAAATACTAGATCCATAGCTGCGTTTATGAATTACGCACTATTCAGACCACTACATAATTTCAAATTTAGTTTTTTTGTTCACTTTTTATTGCAAGCAGTCACATGAAATGAAAACTATAAAATATTGGTAAGCAAACAAAAAAAAAACTGCACGGAAATGCTGCAAATAAAAAGAAAAAAAACGAAAACTATTTTGTTCCAAAATCTAGTTCACGACTTTGTACGCCATATTTTCAAAACTATTGAGACTCTACAAGCAAACTGATGCTATTTGCGTGATTTAGTCTCATGTACGCATGTGTGAGTGTATGAAGAGAAACAACTCAAAGGCTGCGCGTGAAAGTAAGCGCAAACTAACACCAATACATATACATGAAATGCATGGCGCACAGATCACTTCGACTATATACGCTTGATATGGTTTTGTTTTTGTTTGTGTATGTAACTGAGCCACCATCTGTTGGAATGTCGATAAAACAGTACGAAGCATGTTAAGTACACATAAAAACTGTCTGTTGAAATGTTTGTCAATAATAATTGGCACTCGTTTGCTATTCAACAGATTGAAAAAGAGTTGATTTGTATCAAATTCGGACTTACAAATGTAAATGACATGAAAATTTTCAATTCAATTTTTCAAGACATGTTAGAAATATAAAATTTGAAAAAAAATGACTTTCTTTGTAGAATATTTCGTTCAGCGAAGCTAAAAATTAAAATCAAAATAAAACACATTTCTTCAATTTCATGAAATTTGTTTTAGTAAGACAAAGTTTATTCATTAAATACTATCATTTGTTTAACAATTTTCCTTGTTATATGGTATCGGTTAACATTAAAATGCCATCAATAATGTTAGTCATCGTTGTTGTTGTTGCTGTTGTGTTTTTTTTTTATTGAAAAATCTAAAAGAATTTTACCCCTTCTTCGTCGATAAGTTCACATTTTCCCGATTCTTCTAATTTTCTTAAGCATTTCAATAGAATTTCATTGCTTAGACCATGGAATTCCTGATCAGTTGAATTGTCACCATTGGCTATTTCAAAAACAGTACAAACTTGACCAATCATTGCATTGTCTGACACCCATTTGTAGATCATATTGGCCCATTCGTCCAATGTAAACCAATAGATTTCCCAAATATCACGTTTCTTCGGATCAATTGGTGCGGCATGCGCTGATTTTTCTAATGCATCCATAATTAGGGCTCGCCCATCAACATTCAAACGTCGATTCAGTTCTTTATTCACAAATAAATCGGTGTTTTCATCGTTTATATTAAGAATTGGTTGTTTCAGTGTTTTTTGGTATTTCAGCACCAAATCAGACCATGTATTCAATTGGATATCACGCGTTTTTGCATGCATCTGTATTCTGTTGCGGTGATCGAAACAAAAAATAAAGAAATCTTTCATATTTTGAATGCAAACAATATTACTGCATCGATTGATTGAGACTTACGTGAAAAAAGGTGGAAAACTATATTCCCATGGCCACACAAAATCGGTCATTTTTTTTTTCAAAAAAGAAATGGTTGAGCTCAGTTCTATTCTTAATATAAATCGAAAACAAAACAAAATCTATTTGATTGCTATTACTAATTTAGATCACAATTGAGTTATTAGTAATCAATGTTGACATTTGACAGCGTTTTTTTTCCTTCACATTTGACAGTACTACTGCTGCCGCCACCGCAGATATCAGTGTTGAACGAAAGAGAACACTATATTTGTTTTCTCGGTAGTATATTGGTGCAAGTGCACAAATACATTGTTATACACAAAACAATATACGTACACTATGGTTCGCATGCAATCGCACTTACGATGGCAGTAAAAGCTGAATGATAAGACTTTTTAATCAGTACGGTGGACTTTCTTTACCAAAATTCATACAATTGTTGATTGGTTTCGAACGTTTCAATATCGTTTGTTTGATTTCTTTTATGTTCTTCAATTTATGTGAAATATTTAAATGGTGAAATAGCAACAATTGGTCAATAAATTTCTGTTGAGCACCGATAATATTTTTGGCACAAATTGTGTCGCACAACGATACAGACGAGACTTAAAACGAAATATATGTATTGTATATATAAATATTTTCATTTGTCTGCTGCATTTATTAAACTAATAGTAGTGCAACATCATCTTACCTTCGATGAGAAAAAGAGAGAAACAAAAGTAATGATCGCCATTAAATGAGATTGTAAGTGAAAATTTGTTGCCAAAAATATATTTTTTTAGCTAAATTCTACAGTTGATGATATTTTTTTCATTTTTGTCATGGTTGTTGTTGTTGTTATGGATAATTTATAATTGCACTTGAATCTTGAGGCATACGTCATGATGACGAAAGTAAGGGGAAAATAAATGATTTGAATACAAGTTAATGACAGACGGGATTTTATTTTTAAATAAACGATTTCATTTTACCAACGTAACATTTCATTTCTGTCAATTGTGAATCTTTTTTTCCGATAACAAATACAAAAACAGGTGATATCCTTTGAAGTGACTTGTTGCTAAAGAAATTTATCGATTTTTTTAAAAATTGTTTTCAAACAGCAGACAATCTCGAATAATTGTTGAATGTAAACCTGCAAATAACAGTTTGATATTTTCTCTTTTGTTAAATTATTTTCATCCAATTTAGTTAGATATAAATAGTTTGATTGTAGAAAAACTGCAAAGCCATTAAAACTGTGTCCAGTTTGGTATTTTTTTTTGTTAATAATATTTAAAATCAGAACATTCCTCTATTCAAAAAGTCAAAACAATCGGAATTACAGTTTTGTTTATTTGTTTAATGCGATAGTAAAGCTCCTCCTTTCTCTTTCAATGGTTGCATGCTTATCGTTTTTCATATGTAGATTGGATGCAGTTTTTTTTCTTCATCATTCATTTCAACTCAATGTTTGTTTATGTTGTTTTTCAGTGCACGCAACTCTACTGAAGTGTATCATCGAAGTGTTTTGCGAACACAGATATTACATTATGGAATGTGGCTGTTTTTTAAATTGCAACAATCATTCCGGGTAATCTATTGTGGCCAATTTCTTAGATGGTATTCAATGTACCACGTGCATAACAAAATCGATTTAGAGTTATTGCATAGAATTAATTGAGAGTCTCCGCCAACATCGAAACCGAAAAAAATTGAAGAAAATATCTATCTCTGCAGAATAGTTTGTTATTCATATCTCGAAGTTGTATGAAACATGGAACAAGTCAGTAGTAATTTATGTCTTTACATTTTTAATTTTCATCGATAACATTTAATATAATTGCATTTTCTTTTCATTTGTTCTTTTTTTTTTAATTCGTTTTATAGGAATGCCATAGCAAAAGTACAATGTTGCATACGATTAATGATACCGAAGAGAATAACCGGATTGATGGTAATACAAATGAAAATTTATCGATGCAATTCATATCAATGGTGCAATATCGTAAGCAACCAATTTTGATTGGTTCACCGTTAGACAGCATGTTTGGCGAAAGTGATCGTACATCGTCTAAAATGATGCGATTGAGCTCGTGTTATAAGTCAAAGGTATAGAAAAACATAACATCTCTTATCTTTGTTTTCAATTAAGCCGAACGAAGTGATATGATTGTTTGTTTGCATTTTTTTTTTTCGTACAGATCTCTGGTAATGGACGACGAATTGCCGATACATCGCTACGAATGCGACCGTATTTCATCCCAGAACGTTCACGTACCAAAAGCGAAAATAACATTGAACCAGACTCTTATAATGGCATGAATTACTTATGCTCAAACATAAACGCCGCAACAAATTTTTATTCCGATTCAATGAATTCAAATAGTAATTCAATGATGGAAACCTGTGATGCATATTTGAGTTCGGATTGCGGTGGTTCAAATAGTTCGCATACAGTTTATAATAATGGTTTCACAACGTTCAATTGCAATCAAGTACTGCCAAATACACACTTTTTAAATAGTAACCAGTACTTTAGGCCCATTAAATGTGCATCGTTGACAAATCAATTGAAAAAATGTAAATCATTAGAGAGTGTTCGTGTTGAGAACATTGTTGATGGTTCTCAGCCATCACATGAAATGGAATTTGTATCGACTCGCATCCAAAAATTGAAGGTGCAAGAATAAATCACATTGAGATTTAAAAGAGCATGTGTTAGATACACATACACATATGGATGGCACAACGGCACAAAAAAAAAACGATTTTTTCTCTCTCTTCATTGTAAATAGTCCATCGATGAGATGTTGGACACATTTTTACATAACATTTACCATTTGACTAATTTTTCGAAACGAACGCGCAAATAATAATTCAAATATAATTATGCATCTAATTCGAGATAAATACATGTTTTTGGATGATTCAATATGCAATATAAGCTAATTTAAATAAACAATTCGTTTAAAACGATCATGTATGCTCTTCTGTGTTCTTTTTTTCTGTTTGTTTGTTTTGAGGTTATCATAATTCGGTTTTGCAACAAACACAATAAATAAAATGATCTAATCTAAAAATGAAACTGCTTCCCTCTGTGACTAGACAATTTGGAAGAGTGTGCTTGGGCTCGGTAAGTATCAGATAAATCAAAAGTGGATACATTTTGTCTATTAAAATTAGTCATTAATTGAAACAAAATGTAATTTTTCTGTATGTTTTTTTTTATTTTTTTTTTTTCAAATATTCTTTTTATTGAATACTTTGCGTTTTAAAGTAATAAGAACTTTGAAGGAATTTTGTCGATGGTCAGGCATTCCGTTGCGCTTACAAGATGTTGTTGGGTGTGAATGTTTAGCTTATGAACGTGGACGTTCTTTCTTTTCTTTGTACAAAGCAAGCAACGAGACGTTTGCTACTTTAACAACCTGTAGACAATCAGATAAACGAAATGGAAATCAATTAGTTATTCATGTTATAAACTTAACCTAATTGCTTGTCAATGGATTATTGCTTACCTTGAATCGTACACCGGGAATATCACCGACGGCGTGACCCTTACGACCGAAACCAGCAACTAAAACTTCATCGTTTTCTTCAATATAGTTCAAGCTACCGTCCCGTGGTACGAAAGCTGTGATTTTCTTACCATTTTTGATAAGTTGCACTCTCACACACTTACGAATGGCAGAGTTAGGTTGTTTGGCTTCAACACCACTGCAATGGAATAAACGATGTTCTAACATTAGGTTCGCACATTTTATTACAATAGATAGGTTATCGTAACGATTTTGAAATCGATGCTTTTCGCGAACGGTGATGATGATTTTGTGGTTGAATATCTCACAGTATACTCCTGTGATTGAAACATAATAACAATCAATAACACAAGCATATACTGCGAAACATCAAACCGAGCATGTTGTTCGTTGCGGCCATTAATCAATTTGGTAATGAAAACCATGGTGTACACTTTTAATTCACTTGATACAATCCAAATGACATACTTACACTTTTTCAAGAACAATTCCTTTGGCGTGAGAAGCACCACCGAATGGATTGGCCTTCCAACGTGTTCCCAAATGAGCTTTTTTGTAGTCTTTGTCAGCCCATCGTTGATCACGACGGTGATTGACGTGCTTACGAGCGGTACGGAGACCTCTTGGTTTGCCTAAAATGACAAAAATAAAATAAAAATCGATTAGCATTCATTGGATTTGCTTAATGATTTAAAAAAATAAATGACCGTCGGACACACGTTGTAATTTGTTTTGTTATAGTCTACTCGTGTTTGTGAAAAAAAAGTTAGGCTATGTTTGTACGGCACAAATCCCTACATGATTACCGTACCTTAAAAAAGTAATTTTTTTTGATTGTTTCATTACTTGCACTGCAATAGCATTATGAAATTAATGTTTTATTGAAAATTATTGCGTTTTCGGCATGAAAGTATGACTTTTGCTGAAATATGTCATCTTTGATAAATGATTTTTTTTCGGCAAATTTCAATATTTGACATAATGAGCCTTGTAACCGAAGGTATTTTTGTTTGGAATTTTTTGTTTGCCATGAAAATATGGATCAGAAGTAGTACGGTAGATGTTTAATTTGTGAAATTACATTGAATTTTTTGCAAATATTGGTTGGATGACACGAATTTGAAGCGATTTTATTTAATATTTACATGCGTCTCGTAGATGATACAATTGAAATACTTTGGCACGATACACTAACACATTTATCTCTATTCACAACAGTTTCTATAAAACTTGTATATTCCAATGCGCAATGTGTGACTGTATGTGTGCTTGGATTCGGTCAGAGAATATTGATACACTTTGTGGTATGAAATTTTTGAATTTTTTGGAAAAATAAAAAATTTACGAAAAAACCATCAATTCAATCCGATAAACAATGACTTAAACACTTCAAATCATCAATTTTTTGTAATTATTTCGGTCGGAAAATGTTTAAAAAATTAATTTTTCTAGCACTTACCCATGACTTATGTATACGTTCACGATTGCGGCGGAAGTTAAAAGAACGACATTAGTTATGGCGAAGCATGTTTACACTTCACATCAACTAGACGGCAGCCAATTCGACAAGAACCATCTTGCCCGATGCACAATGTCACTTTGACAGCTTTTAGTTTCAAAATATTCCGCAAATATTTATACTAAATTTTATCAATTTATTATTTTGATTAATTTTCTTTTTGAATTTTTTTAGCGAAACAAAATAAATTCCACAAAAAACGTGTTATTATTTCCGTGGCGTAGTCAATTTAAAAATGTCTAAATATTTTTTATAATTATTTTTGTATCAACGAACTTTGTGTCATTTGATCAATTCATAATAACATATAAATTATCACCGATTTTACTACGAAGTTCGAGAATTGTTTGACCGGAGATATCATTGTGATTTCTAGTCAATTTTAAAAATATAGAATAAAATTAAAATGCCCGAAGGAACGGTTGCATTACGAATATGCCAAGAAGGGCATGCAAATGCTCTTGCGCTCAACAAAGATAGTACACAAATTGCTGTGGCCGGCCGTTCATGTAAGTGACTTTTGATAACTGAAATCATAAACAAAGTAGTTGAAATGTGATTCTTTTGTTTTTAGTGTTAAAAGTCTTGTCAATTGATTCCGATGGATTTACCGAAGTGTGTAATATGCGCGGTGGAAAAAATCAAAATTTAAGCTATTCATCGAATGATGTTGCTTGGAGTATGCTGGATAAAAATTTATTGGCAACGGCTGCAACAAATGGAGTTGTTTCTGTATGGGATCTATCAAAATTCGGACGACACAAGCAACTATTAGTTTATGGAGAGCATGAACGTACTGCACACTCGGTGACCTTTCACACAACTGATCAGAATTTATTGCTATCCGGTTCACAAGATGGAACAATCAAATGTTTTGATATGCGAGTCGAAAAATCGGTAAACACATATTATTCCAATTCGGAAAGTGTTCGTGATGTAAAATTTAGTCCAGTTGTACCGAATTTGTTTGCATCGGTATCCGAAAATGGTACGGTTCAATTGTGGGATTTAAAACGTACTGATCGATGTCAACAACAGTTTACCGCACACAGTGGTCCAATTTATACATGTGATTGGCATCCAACACAACATTGGCTGGCCACTGGTAGCCGTGACAAACAGATAAAAGTATGGAACATGGAACAGAGATCATCGTTAGAATATACAATTCATACGATTGCAGTTGTTGGCCGTGTTAAATGGCGTCCGGAACGTACATACCACATTGCATCTTGTGCAATGGTTGTTGACTATAGCATTTACGTTTGGGATGTTCGTCGGCCATTCATTCCATACGCCTCGTTTAATGAACATTCAAATGTTACCACCGGCATTGCATGGAAGGCTGATCCATATGTTTTACTTTCGACAAGCAAAGATTCAACTATTTTTAAGCATGCATTCAAAGATGCTCAAAAACCAAGCAATCATGCCAATCCACAAGGCACAACATTCAACTATAGAGGAGATTTTATTTACTCATTTAAAACGAAAAATCAACCGACAAATAATACATCAAGCAATAGTTTTCGTGCGGCTCTTATGAGCGGCACACGAATGAGCGGCAGTAAAATAAACGAACCCGTTGAAGATCAATTTCATATAGCACGATCATCAGTCGTGAACTATACATCAAAACCGATGGTAAGATTTTTTTTTTTATTTTATTCCTTCGTTTGCATTTATTGTTTGATTTTAATTGATTTTCTTTAGCAGAAAGATGTATGCCAAGGTCAAACGCTGCAACAAAAAGACTATTTTGTATTAAAAGAATGTGCTCAAGGATATATTTTAGGTGGAAAACCATTGGCAGAGATATGTGATCATAATGGTAAAATTGCCAGAAATCTTGGCAAGCACAATGTATCGATGCTATGGCAATTTGTAAAAATAGTCTACTCATCGATTCCAAAACAAAATTCGGATCCATTTCGGAATACGACAGTCAATCAAAATTTATTGCTGGCAAATCGTATAAAGATGGCTGCACCAAACTCTGTACAGCACTGGGGCGATGAAATTTTAGACGAAAAAATTCCACATACCAACGAATCGCAAAGTGATGAAGTAGTTCAAAAACACTTTTTCATACCGAAATTAGGAGGTGATTTGAATAAGTTACCAATGAATCCAAATAATGGTGACGACGGAACAATTGACGCTCTAAACAATATTGTTTATGGCGATAATGAATTAACGATCGAAAATATGGATTGTATCAAAAGTTTAAGAAATGGATTCTTATACATTGGACCACATGATTTAACGAAAAATTTTCCATGGCCCAGTGATTCGATCATGAATCATGATATGCAACAAAGCACACGACAACCGGATATGTCAAGGAATCGTCGTGATACTTCACCGGTACGTTCAGATTCATTCGTTTGTTTTTTCAATTGAGTTTCATTTTTAATTTGAAAACAAAAAATTGGTATTTCATTCATTTTCAGCCACCTGAAACACCAACCGTACTTAAAGTCTTAATGAATAGCACAAACCATCAACAATGGAATTCAGGCAAAGTGCTGGCTGACTGTTTAAATCTTTTGGTTGATATTGATGATTTACAAAGTGCCGTTTATATTTTAATTGCGTTAGGTGAAAAACGAAATGATATTCCAATTGATGAATCGGTTCACGTAAGTGTCACCGTCGCTCCATATTTTTACATTGGGTCTTATAATAAACGTTCGATTTGTTTTATGTTTTAGGAATATTGGCTCCTTTCGTATATTGATTTACTGCAACGGCATCAGTTTTGGCGTGAAGCGACTGAAATTGTAAAATCATCGTGGCTTCGGCGTGTCTGTGAAGTGAATCAACAGTCAACTGCAGTTCATGTTAATTGCGGTGATTGTGGACGTTTGGTATCGAATTCGGTCAGTTGCTATTGCAGCAAATGTAAATCATCACAAAGTTCAAAATGCAGCGTTTGCAATCGTATTGTAAAAGGTTTATACGCATGGTGTCAAGGTTGTTCACATGGTGGCCATTTAATGCATATGAAAGAATGGTTTTCAAATCATTCAAAATGCCCGCGCTGCGGTCATCTTTGCGAGTACGAATAGAAGTTTATTTCACACAAAACAAAAAAGATTCCATAAAATTGATGCAAAAATTCAGAAGTATTCGGATTTGTTTGTAATTTTATGATATGTGATATTACTTTATTGGATATTTTATAACAATGATTTTGTGTTACTTGGAAGAGAGAGGATTTTTAAAAACTATTGATTGAATATCAAAAATCTGCAAGAAGTTAAAACTTTGTCGGAAGAAACATTTGCGTCGAGTATAGTACATATTTTGATGAAGATTTTTCACTTTAATAATATTTTGTCTGTTGTCACTTCGCTATATGATTCTTTTTTCATTTACAACAAATCTCATTTGTTTTCACAACAAATCTACCGTTTTTAATTGAACTGAAAAATAAATGCAATGTATCTTGATAAAAAAAGATTGAAGTAAATAAAAAGGTAGCTGTATTTTTCAAAATTCTATATATGTATTTCATAATAGTTGCTTTTTTTGTTGTTAATTTGTACAAAATCAATTTTTCTATAGTGCTTGCGTTGATTTGAGTACACATATTCTCTGATTTTTGTCATTGTTTTGAGTAGTGTGTGATATTCAGTTATCATTGGTTCAAAATTAAAATCAAAATTTGTCAAATTTAAAATTAGAAGTTCGTAGTCCATTGAATATGCATACAAACATGTTCGCTGCAAACACTAAAATACACAAACATTTCTAAGCATTTTTGACTGGCTTTCTTTAACTAAAGTAAATGTAAATTTTATATACATAGAAATTTTAAAAACAATTTTTTTCTACCGTATTTGCCAAAATAATATGCTCTTTTAAAATCGAATTTGCTTCGTTATTTGTGTATGTGATGTCAATTATAGCTTTATGTTATGTCTAAAGTCATTGATAATAAAAATTTCTTTTCTCTTTTCTCTACTTTTCCATAATAATAATAATTTTTTTTTTAAAACAATAAATAGTTAAATTAAAAATATTAACATTTTGCTTGGGTTTGTTCTAGTGGAGTGAGAGAAGAATGAATGTGACATGTACATCATGCATGTCTTTCTCTCTTTTTTGCGGGATCGTTGAATTGGGAATTGGTGTTGGATGAGGCACGAAATGATGTTCAATTTGATAAAAAAGAATTTATGTTGTGCTGTAGATTGATTCGTCAAATTTTTTGACTTTAACAAGTTGCTTGTAATGATACTCTTTTAGATACGATACCAGTTTAATTGGTAAGCACATTTCATTGATGCCATCGTATGTTGTGTGACTGACAATAGTGGCTCGACACAATTGTTGCAATGAAAACACAAAATTTCGATTTAGAGGTAGCGTTAGTGCCGGCTCAAAGAACATTACACATGCTGGATCTTTATAATGTTCCAATAGACCCGTCACCGTTTTTGACGTATACACTCCTGGATCGTGACAATCAAAACTATTCAATGAAATAATGTATAAAATAATTAGTAATTTATCAATGAAATTGATTAAGTGTCTCTATCTGGCATGAGTTAACTCACCTAAAATTGTGATTATATTGTTCAATGCGAGCATGAAGCGAGCGACCGTATTTCCGGAACGACACTGAAAATAGGAATTCTTCTTGTGCTGAATCACGTAACAAAAATGTACCTTCCGGTTTGTTTTCTAATAGTCGCTCAGCCTCGTATCGATCCATTTTTCCCCAATAGAATGAGCAATTGGTAATTTGCTTTAAATCAGGCACCAAACAATGAATATAATCCGCCTGAAATTTTTTATTTCATACATATTCATTAAGGTTTGCTACTCATTTTTTTCTTCAAATGACCGCAACATTTGGAAGTGTTCTCACCTGTGAATGTATTCTTGGGCCATCGTCTGCATGCTGCAGTAAAAACTTCAGCGTTGAGGAATTTGAACAAACGATAAACGGATTTGATAAAGCAACTTTGTTTGGACAACCTGGAATCATGTTGTTGATCACTTGTAGATTTGATGATGTCATTGAATTTAATGATTTTACAGAACTTGATGATATAAAACCAGGCGGTGGTTCGACACCTTCGGCAATTTCAAGGGCACGTTGCAAACGTGCCTTTTTATCACAATCATCAGTTGCATCGGGATACCACTGATCTTGTTGATCCATTGTAACAACGATCAAAGCTGAATTGTCTATTAATAAAGTTGTTGGCGATTGTCCCGATACAGTTGTACAAGTTGTGGTTTGTTTGCCAACATTGTTTGATTCTGTGGTTGAGTTATCCGAATTCTTGGCCATTGTTGATGATGATGAAGGCGATGTTGAAGCTATTTATTTTGCATATTGAAACCATATTCATTAATAATTTGATAAATTTATCATTTGATTATTAAACTTACGTTGTTGTGAGAATGATGAAGATAACGATTTAATTCCTTTCAGTTTTGCACAATTCAATTTAATACTCCAGTTTGGTTTTTTTGACTTAAGCTCCTTGGTGTCTTTACTGGTTAGATTGTGTTTTTCACAGCAACTTTCACCATTTTTTGCTTGCTGAAAATCTGAAATGCAAAAGTAAAAAAAGAAAATTGGTTAAAAGGTTGCGAAAAAGTCTGTGCCAAAGAATATACATATAGATTGCGAGAAATGTTCGATTGCTTCATGAAATACACACATGTTTTAAACCAAACGTTTGAAAACAGAAAATATTCGAAATTAAAATTCAATTATATTCGGAGTATCAATGATGACGCAATACGCCCGGAAACAATATATCCATTCGTACAATTAAATAATAAACGAATCATAAGTTCTATGGCATTTCGGTAATAAATAATAAACAGTAAACTCACGTTCATCAATAGCTGTATTCAAGCAGTCCGATCGAATGTTGGCGATTGGGATATGATGTGGATATGGTGATACTGTATTAATTAAATTCATTGTATTTGCATTGTTTGTTTGTGGCAAATGTTGTTCCGATTGTGTTGCATCCGTTAATGTAATTTTGTTGAATGTTTGCGTCAAAGGATTTACCATGTTTGATGGTTGTTTTGATTGTGATGTATAATTTGCTAAATTTTTATCACAGATTTTTGCTTCGCTACGCAAAGCGCAATTTACATGTTGATTCTTAGTGCTACAAATATTTTGTTCCATTTCACCACTATTACCAATGTCACAAATCATAAAATTATTTACTGTAATGCCATCATCAATCTCTCTTATATTATTAGTACACATTGGTGCATAAATGTCACTTTTATTCAATACTCCATTATTATTGTCCAATTTATAGCTAGCATTTTGATTCTGTGTACGATTTACATCTTGCACATTAACATAGTGCCGCGGAAAATCACTTTCACACTGGGTATGCGTTACATCTGATGAATAATTTTTATTTGAAAATGTATCGGTTTGAAATTCATCATCGTCATCGATAGTGATTGTCTCAACATTTTTTGCTGATTCCATTTTTAATAAACGAATCGTAATCACAACAGAACCTGCGTTGCGTTCTTTATTGCCCGATGACGTATTTGTAATCGACGATTTAGTTGACGGTTGATGTTGCTCTTTTTTCAACTTTTTTGCATTTGATGATGCTGATGCTGGTTTTTGTCTATTTTTACCAATTTTTGCTTGTAAATCTCTTGCCGTTGATGATGATCTGCCATGCTCTTCGATTTTGTTTGTCATCTGTTGGTCATCAGGCATCTAAATATAGCATCCAAATGTGACGTACGATAGAGAAAATGAGAACGAGTATGAGATAGAAAAAAAAAACAAGTAAAATATAAACAAAAATGTTTTCAATAAACAAATTCTTTTCAATGTATAGCACATAATATAAAGTTTATGACGTTACCTGCTGGCTATGTTTTGAATTGTGATGACCCATGTGTGCACTGTAGTATGTAAACTTTCAAGGTAGGATTATGACAAATCTTTGAATGTCGTAAAACATTTTCTCGGGAATGGTTGAATGTTAATTTTCAGGTAGCCAATTGGGCCAATAAAATATTATTTCGATTTCGGCCTTTTAAGATTTTATCAATAAACGTTCAATGAAAACAATTATTGAAACTAATGATGGTATAATTATACATAAATTCGTTCATTCCAATATTGACCGATTGACAGTTTGTTCCGGAATACCTGTTTTTATTTTTCGTAAACACAAATAGAATAATAAAGTCGTATCAATTGAAATGTTTTAGTTCGTAACAATAAAAAAAATTAAACATTTAATGAATGATCTCATTCACATGTGATATCGTGAATGGAAAAGAAAACTAATTTTAAATGTTGGCAGTTTGGTTGGTATTTAACATAATGGATAATTTCATTCAAATGTAGTCGATGGAGGGAATCAATGTATGGCCTAATTACAGTGAATTATCAACTATTTATTTAAGCCACAAAATGATTCGGAAACGATTAGCACAGTTTAGTAAATTGTATAAAAGTTAGCATTAGCGATAGCAAAGCCCCCATTTCCAATCCCCTCGATATTCGATATATACATATATATATTCAATAAATTCTTGGAACAATACAATGAAAATATGCTATTCAGCTGATTGAGTTTGATTGAATGTATTTATTAATTTATTAAAAATAAAATCGTTGAATTTTGTTGAAAATGTCTCATTGCATTCAAAAATAATTTCCAATTTATGCAAATAAAATTGAAACGGTCGACATGCTATTTAGAATTCGAAAAACACTACAACAAACGTTAAAAAAATAAACAGGCCAGTAGCTGCCATATCCGTGGCCTAATCAGAAGACGGAGTTTTTCACTTCACATTTGAATTTCGTTCGAACTATTTATGGAACTTATTATTAAAATAATACCAATTCAAATTATGGAAGAAAAACGTATATTTGAACCGAAATTCAAACGATAGCGCCAATTTTACTTTAATAGAAGCGAAAAAATTCTACGTATTATTTGATTTTGTTTTTTCAAATATTTTCGAGTTGAGGGCGTGCTCTCTGTATTTCTTCAAATACCGATTCGTAAAAGTGGTATGCAGAAAGAAAACATAAAAAAAAACACAAAATAATCAAATTAATTCAATTGAATTTGAATGCGTTAGTTGTTCAATCGATTCAATAAGAAGACTCACGATTAGTTTCTGTGTTCATATGTTCATACATTGATATTCAGCGAAATCAACCATTCAAAAACAATTCTATTGAATTGAAAAGTAATTGTTTAAACGTGAGCACGTGGACTTGAATTATGATGAATGAATGCAATGTAGGAACAAAAAAAAAGCACTCACAAACACACACACACACAAACAAGATAATCAAAGCCGTTCTTGGGAGCAGAGATTTCCGTGTATTTTTTTGCACACTATGATATATTTTTTATGACAAACTGTTCGGCAAATTTAGTTAAAATTCAAGTTACACCACTGTGAGTTTTATTAAATATTTACAGGAGAGATCGTAATAAGCGTAATATCATGTTTCATTTTATGTATTCAAATTTTGTGCACATAATATTAACCTGTGTTAATGTCTAATACATTCATAAGTTTGCGTGATTGAAACAAAAATTGGAAATAATAATGAAAACTAATATGTATTGAACGAAGTACGAAAAAAGAAGTGACACGCACTCTTACATTATAATCAACATCGAAATCTTGCATTTATATAAGATTGTTCATAAAATAAAAACGCAATGCAGACGAAGACGATGAACAAATGTAGAGGTAGAGAAACGATATTTCGAATATATGTACACATCTATATATAAAATACACATCCAACCATTTTAAGAGAGATGACTGGTGAATAAGTCTTATGCACTGCTTCGTGTATGCATACGTACATGCATACGTATATGCTGTATACATTCATATAAATATACGTTGAGAGAAAAAAATGTTACTTCCAAGAAATGTTCGATTCAAACATTTCGTAGGATTGTACACAGACATACATATGAAAAGTGGAAGAAAACCAGCAAACGAACAAATCCTATGTGCGTTTCTTTTTTTTATTATTTTCTTCTTCGTCTTGTGTTTTTTCTTCTTTGACTTGTGTTCCGTACGTTTTTGCTATTATTATTATTATTATTTCTCTTTTAAGTTTCGTTTTCTTTTCTTGTTAAAATTGAGTTTGCTTTTCATTGAGCTGATTCCTCGCTTACTCATTTTGCGTATATTTCATTTTAAGTCGTTTGTGTTATATACGATATATTTCTTTTTCACTTGAATTTCTTCACAACACCAAATAGAATACATTCCGTTAAGCTGGGCAAGATATGTTTCCAATTTTTGTATGCTTTTTTTTATTATCTTTCTCGTTCACTGTATTTCTTTCACAGGAATATTCCAATTTCACATGAATTCATATTAAAACCAATATTACCAGGAACACATATAAACATTTGCTAATGCTCCGATGAATGTTGCAGTGTGTATGTCGGTTTTGAATAATTCTTATTTCTTCCAAATTTACAATTGAAACTGAGTTCGTTGTGAGGGTAAATCGTCAATGTCAAATCGATTTGATTTGCATAGTGGGGAGATCAAAGCGAGATACAAATTTTGTTTTTTTTTTTCGTTGTTTTTTTGATGAAACATACAAGATTTGGAGAAAAAAACAACAACAACACAATTACAACTGAATTGATTCGATTGAAATGTGAAATCATCATCATTCAATGGAAGCGCTACAAAAATATCGTGCAAATGTTATTGAAATTTAGATTGGATTTCAGGTTTATTTTCAAACATTCATGTTCCTTTTTTTATTTTTAAATATTCAGATCAAATTTTGTGTTTATGACAAACAATTTTTTTAATTGCAATTCATCTTCATATTTTTTTATCAATTCTTTCCCTTAATCAATTGAAATTTTAATTACGTTTCGTGCGTCAACGATATTTCTAAGTAATCATTTGAATATTTATTCAAATGCAAGCATAGATATAAAAAAAAACCATCTTCGTCGAATAATGAGTCATAATCGATAAAATTTTGATGAGTAAGTGAAATTTGATATTTGATGTACGTATTGATGATTGTTTGTTTTAGCATTGCGAATTCACAATTCTATACATTTTTTTTCGGCTTAAAATTTCACGTCTTCGACTAACTTGTTTTCAACGGAAACAAAATCAAATTAAGATTTTGCTCGTTTTCGTTATTAAAACCCGTTGAATTTTCATAAATCATGTATATCAAATTTAATGGAATTGTTATGAATGGAAGTCCTTAAAACAATAAAACACAGAAATGATCGATGATCGGATGATCATTCTGTAAGTAAATACAATAAATTGCAATTAAACGTTTCATCTCTCAAAAGAATACAAATGATTGTGAATGATCTGTTTTCCAGTTATATTTTGAAAACATTCTTTAGAAAGAAAAATAATGTGTCTTTTGTTTCCTTATTCTTTGATATCTTTATCTCTAATGCATTCAATGAAATTGAGCCGACACAAATGTAATATAGCAGCTGCATCGTATTGTTGCTATAAAATGCTACAATAATCACGTTTGGTTGTGGGTATAAAGAGAGGGGGCCCGTTTACCGCATTGTGAGAAGAAAAAAAAGTGCTCTGGACAATTTCTTTCTTCCATCTGGTCAGCATCGAAATTAGCATTTGAATATTTTTTTGGCGCTACGGTTTATTTCCACAAATTGTGCTTAATATGAATGATACAAATCCTTTTCAACAATGATTTTAATGCCGAAAATATTGTAAAGCGTATATAACGGCAACGGCATAAGATAGTATAAAATAGAGAAAAAAACGCAAATAGACAAAACAGCGCACATGTATTGTCGTTGAATTGTATAGTAATGTAGCGTGCGCAATGCAATACGATGGTTTAGAAACTTTTTGTATTCTGTACATTACATAGTTGATTTTAACATTCTTATTTATAACATCGCCGTCATCACAACCATCATCGTATTATACACCATAAGGTATATTCGATTTATACAAAATGCATACACGCACACAGTATTTACAGTAACTTGATTGTCTCATTTATTCTCAATGTGTAACTCTTTTTATTTTTGTTCAGCTTAAACTGAGTAGAAGAAAAAATGTTTCTCTCTTTACAATAACACTAATTGACATGCCGTTAGTTCACACACTTGTTATTTCATTCTTTTTATATTTTTCCCCGTGGATTTTCTCTCTTTTTTTCGCCCCTTAAATTCTCAGAAAGCAAAAGAAAAAATATACATACATCGAAAGATAATGATATGAGTGGTTTGAAAATTGTTTGAATTTTTCTTCACTAAATTTGGTGATGGCCCTTCATATATGAATAATGACATTATGTTTTGCAAAAGATTCGAAGAATTGAATTTCATCACATTCAAAATAGAAACTCACACTTAAATAATGCTGTTGCTATTGTTGTTGCGTTCACTGGAGATGTTAGTTTATTCACATTGATGTTTCAACCAGATACAATTTAGCTCTCATTTGCCATTGAAAAAAAAAAGACGAAATTTTAACACAGTCTTTCGTATTTACCAATGTTATTTATCTTTTCTTTTTTTGGTTGGATGTATGTTTTGTAAAAAAAAAAAACAATTATTTTGCACAATTATCTACCCAAAAAAATTCTTTTACTTATGGATATTCTTTTGGAAATTTATTCAAACAAAATATAATAATCTTTTTCTTTCACCCAAAAAATTGCGACAGACATAAAATTATAGAAAACGGGCAAACGTCAGTCGCTTAGTTGGTGACTAAAAGCCATTCATCGACTTCACTCGAATGTGCCTTTGTGTCGATACATACATACACAAAAAAATATGCACTATCTCACTCTCATTCTCTTTATGTATTGCTTTACACAACACTTTGCTCATTTAATGGACATGAACAACAAATACAAACGGGTTCTTTCATAGAAATCCATACGAATACACACGTATTAACAATACATTTATATCTTATATATATACGTAGACATAATTGTGTTTGGCGAACGATGTTCGACTCTGCTGTTGTGGTTGCGTGCACGTACATGATTATAATGGAAAAGGAAAAAAAAAATGCCAAGAAATTAATACGAAATATGATGATGATGACGACTACGACGGCAGCAGCGGCGACAACGTCAATGTGGTACACACCAAATGGTGTTCGCCAAATACGTTAACCGTTCCACACGAATGTGTGACGAGACAATGATGATGACGATGATGTTATAGCTACGAATTAATGCATTTCAATTAATATTTTTGGATAACAGCAGCTAGCGACAGCTTGTACATTCTTGAACCAAATGGCATTAGAACCAATGAGTTTAACGGAATTTCAGAATGACTGTACTATATATATACAATTTCTTTAATCATGATTCTTATTATTGACGTCAATATCTCTTTCCCAAAAATAAATTGGTTGTATACAATAATAAATTGTTAAGCAAGATATCGCATTTCATGTATCATACAGTTTTTCGGATGATTAAAAAACAATTATTGACCTATTCATATTGCAAGATTATACTTAAATGGTGTAATCTTGTGTTTGTAATTTGTTTTAACATTTTATTGATAGATGTGTTGAGATTTAAAAGCAATTCAAAAAGAGATCTTTCAAAATATTCGCTTTTCAAATATAGTACGCAGTAAGTAGATTATGAATGGAAAATATTCCATTCAGTTACCGACCATTGATTGCCTTATGGAAGTTGTGGATCAAAATCCAAATTCGCCTGCTCTATCAATTTGTGGGCACACACCATTACTTTGGAGCCTAGTTTAGAAACTTACTTAATTCGAATATAAGACCTCGACATTCATGTAGGTAATTTGTAAACTCTCCATTTTAGCTTATTCCATATTTCTTTTCCAACGACCAAATGTTTGCGGTAAGTTTCCAATGACATACAAATAAAAAGCACATATTTTCAAAATTTGAATTTTAAAAAACTGTATTTATTTGAATCGGTTCAAGTATCTTGTGATTCATAAGTATTGGGAAACATGCTTTCAAAAAACATAAAAACATAAAATAACAATTAATTGAACTTTGGTTATGATTATTATTTTGAATTAAGGGAGCTCTGTGCTGACTTTAAAATAGATAGATTTGAACAATCTTTAATGCGTTTTTCCAGATGAGCTTTGATAATAGCGATGAATTGTGGTTTATTGACCATTTTGTATCCGGTAACAAGTAACTGCAAAGCATCTGAATGCAGTTGCGGTAAACCAAAGCAGAATAAGTCGATTCCCAGCTCAATCGTACTTCCGAAGTCACTCTCATCGCAAGCTGTGATAAATCAACAATAAAAAAAGGGAACATTAATTGACTTTTCAATAAAATGTAAATGCAGAATGAAGAAGTGTACCAATATTTGCAGCAGTGATCAATGGCTGAAGTTTGTCCATGGCTGCTATGATGCGATCTTTATCACCCTTAGCTTCCGTGAATTGACTGAGAATTTTCTTGAGATTTGCTGAAAATAGATTCGCAAAAATGGCTGTATGCTCGATGCTTCAGTGATAAAACGTAATGTAAATGACTAACCATCGCTTTCACCAAGCTGTCTGTATCCAACGTCAGTTTTCCGATTGTATGGTACAGCCAAACCGGCCTTATGAAATGTTTTACAAACCGTTTTTAAATTTCGCGCTTTCAATTTGGCCGGAAATCCTGTTAACGATATGTTCTTTTGATGTGCAAAGTCTTCGATTGATTTTTTCATTGCCACAGCGGCTGAACGATTGAATGGGCTCAATTGAGTGTCTTTCTCCAGAAAATATCTTAAGAATGTACAAAAAAAAACATTCAACACAGATGTTGACATTAAAAAAACTGTTGTATACTTACAAAAGTGCGCCAAACATGTTATCAGCGACAAAAGTAAATTCACAATTCTTTTCAGAATCGTTTCGAGCAATTAAACAATCACCGTTTGGTTCATCTCGCCAATATCCATAATGAATACCTGTCTTTTCTTTTACCAGGAATGTCTGAGCAGAAAATAAGAACAACAACGAATACATTTTGTACACTCAAAAACCGATACAATTCAAACAATCGATTGAATTGTTCTACTCACTTGAAATTCGGGTGGATCGTAATAGAAACGCCAGTGACGTAGATATTCTCCCGGTTCAAATGGGCCAACATTGTTAAATTTCTTAGCTAGGACATCAAACGGTCCGACCAAATTTATTCCGAATTTATTAAAGAGATTTTCTGGCTTTGAATCGGCTTTAGTTTGTGACTCACAGAATTTCCAAAAATCGAAAAAATCACTGGGCATTTTAACGAGAAATTTGGAATTAATAAATTCGGCCGGTGAATCAAGTAGCTTTTGATGTTCGGCACGCTGAGCATGTGGACCTTTATCGAAACTTTCGTTAATAAATTCGGAACATCTTGCACCAACCGATTCAGATGATGATGTACTTTGCTTTTCTCTGGTCACATTGACGACAGCGACATTGTTTTTCGACGAATTTCCATTTGCAGAGTTTTCAGTTTCATTTACTGTGTCATCTTCTTCATCGCTCTGGTCATGATCGTTGCTATTATTTTCACTTTCTGATGACGATGATGGTGATGGTTTCCGCTTCTTTATCTCTGGCGAAGATCTACTATTGTCGTCATCAACATCCGACTGGTCCCTTGGCTGATGGCTAAATCGGTTCTTGTGCTCTTGATTTTGGCGGTAACATTTTATGCCATATTTACATGCCGGCTTGTCATCATTTTTATCATCCATTTTCAATCACAAATCAATTTCAATCGAAAATTATCTCAGTTTGGATTTGCTATGCAATTTTTACTTCAATTTAATTTCACCGAACATGAACAGAAATGATTTGATCACTTGGTGTTGTATCATCTAACGAAATTATATGTTCTCTATTGTCTATATTGGCTGTTGTATTACATTTGACATTTTAGTCAAATGCAATGGTTGACATTTTGACATTTATTCAAAACTCTACAAACATTGAGCATATTATTTAGCGCGAATATTTGATGGATACTACCTACTACGTTACAATAATGTCTCTTAAATTTCCCACTTATTTTTTATCATAACAAAAGTTACCGAAAATGTTTTATCTTTAAAATAAATTAATTTAAATATTCATTTTAAATTAAATAATCTCAAACGATGGCTACTTAAAAGTTTATGCTATAACACAAAGGTCGTCCAAAAATAGTATTTGTGGTCATACTTATTTAATACCATTTTTTGTTCATTTAATACGATTCAGATGTGTGAACATTGAACGGTTCCATTGCGGCAAAAAACCGAAACTGACTTTTCGCTCATCAAAGATAGCTCTGAATACCAATACAAAACGATCCTGTGCAACACAAATACAAATGCTTCAAGTTTTTATCGGTAAAAAAATGAGCGCGAAATCTGTATTCATATGTCAGAATACTATTGCAAATATGATGGCGGCAAATTGTTGAAATCTATAAAAAAAAGTGTGTGTGTGTACATTTTATATTAAAAAAAGGACAGCAATTTTTGTTTGTTAATATTGTTGTTTTTGCAACCGTATCGTGTGAAATCAATCATATCGAATTTCGGATAAGTCAACCGGCTAGAAAGAAGCGATAAAAGATGTACGTTTTGTCAGTTGTGCGGTAATATTGTTTTTCGTGTGTTTTGATGAAAAGTCAACTGCTATGCTGATGTCGACATTTATTTGAGTCAAACGCACTCATCCAGTGTGAATTGCTTTCAAACTTTTTTTTGCCATCTCGTCTCGCCTTTTCAAAGACGCTTTGTGTAATCATATGCGTCTTTTAAGTGTTTCGAATTTATTCTTTTAATTCACAATTTATTTTTGTTCTCGCCAAAAATCGCCAAATAAATCGAATTTATTGTGAAATTAAATAAAATTCGAATAGATTTTGTATCGATTTGCGATGGTGTAAAGCGTGTTTGTATTGTTTAAATATTGTATTTTGTTTGAAGAGCAGTGCTGTTTGTGTTGGCAAATTTATTATTATTGTCGATTCATTTCATTTGAGTTCATTTTACATCTGAGCTGAATAGCTAAAATCCGGTAATTTATTGCAAAAATTTCTAAAAACTTAGTAAATACTTGCATCGACTACACACGGATTGTCTATCTTCCATAGTTTTTATTTATAAAATGAAAAAAAAAAAAAAGATAGTCGATGTAAGAGAACGAATTGTTTGTTGTTGAATTTGCTTTGTTTTCAGCACAACATATCCAATTGGTTAAGAGAGTCCGTGCAACGATCGCAAAGCAGAACGGCATCAAATCGTTTTTTACAGTGCAATAGCATCAAGAATACAAGTGAAAATAAATGAGTCAGTCACCGTTGTTTAGCTCTGAATTTCAATTGTTTTGTTTGTCGACGACAACGACGACTACGTCAAACTTACGGCAAAGTGTATCAATTTCAAAATGTCACAAAAAAATACAAATTGTGAAATGAAATGTGATTCAAGTGATTTCAATTCAGTTCAACATTTCGATTTGAAACTTTCATAATAAAAGCGGCGGCACAAATGTTTTGATATGGAAAAATGTTTTACTTGCAAATGGTTGAGGTTCGAGAGACTTGTAAACGCATAAGAGTCGGTCGTGTGTTTGACATTTAACAATTTTGACATTATTGTTTGCGATAGACGAAAAATAAAAGTTGTTTGTGTTCAGTATTATTGTGACAATTTAAGTGTTCATTTCGTACCTTTTCTAAAGTAAAACTTACCAAACGTATCCATTTCACACAAATTAACCACACATACAAAAATTTGCTGTAACTATAAAGTGCAATTATTTGAAAATAAATTTTTATTTTCCGAATACACTTTGTTGTTGTTGTTGTTGTTATTGAAAAAGTACTTTTTTCACTGAAACACTTTTGTCATCATTCATTTCTCATGTTGCATTCACATTCAGTGCATTTTCATTATTCATATTACTATTAATCCGCATGTATTATGCTATTTCTAATCAACATACTGTACATACATAATTTTAAATCGTAATTAATGGACAAACATGTGATGAGAACATTCATGAAATGCCCAAGAGGATTTTAACAATGCGATTTGAGATTGCAGATAATATTCGTGTGGAGCATTGATTTTCATCTGAAGTAAATGTCGAATGACGTGATTAATTTGTTGATTTTTGGTTATATTTGACAGGTATTCGGCACATAAATTCATCGACAAAACGAATGTTATGTGAAAACAACGTTCGCATTAAATCATTATGAGTCTACCATCTATTCCCAAGGAAAAAACTTCAAATAAAGTTAGTTTAGTTACAAGACCGAGTGTTACGTTAGTTCAACCAGTGTCAGTGATTGGTTCAAGTGTTCCGAAGACAAAATTAATTTATGTTCAATCAATACAAACAATTCCACCATCAACAAAAGCGGAGCACGTTTCTATCACAACAAAGGTGAATACACCGAAATCATCAAGTCAACCAGTGACAATTGCTCCCAAAAAACCAATTTCAAGACCAACAACTAATCAATTGATTGCTGTGCCATCAACATCATCAGCTTCAAATCGTTTGCAAACATTTTTACAATTCAAAGCATCAAAAGTAACATCGGCCGTTCCGAGTACACAGAAATCATCGACTATTGTTGGCCAAACTGTAATCAATTCGCGACTTCAACCGAATGATAAACATACAATTTCAAAAATTGGTCCAATTCAGGAGAACACATCTAGTATCGTCAATAACAAATCACTGCATTTGTCGAAAATTGATCCGGTGAAACTTCGGTATCGTACGATTTTAGAAAATTTATTACAATTGAAAAACAGTTTCATAAGACGAACAATCACACAAGCCATTCAACAGAAGCTTGCTAATCAATCAAACGAAGATTTGCTTAATGTCATATTCAAATCATTCGAATTGACATTATTATCGGTGAATATCGAGCAAATCTATTTGAATGTAAGTTTGAACATAATAAATCTATATATGGAACAATTTTTTTTTATTGGATTTTGATCAAATGCTTCGTCTTTTAAAAACAATATATTTTAGGAAACTTATTTGAATGCAACGACAGCATTTCTAGCTAAAGTGATTGAAACCGGTCGGTATATGGAATTAATCGAAAATCGACGAGAAACACAAGATATTAAAAGCTTTATAACATCTGAAATGTCATCGATACTTAACAAAGTTTCACTAGAAAGTGTTTATAAAAATGCCCGCGAGATTTTCGAAGAGAAGCAACGAGGATCATATGCACAGGTACTGACCCTTTTTGCGTCAATAAAATTTCTAATTTTTTGTTCAATAATAATTTTTCGGTATTAATCCGTGCAGATATTGGAGTTACTCATAAAGGTGGTCAGTTGCATAAAAGTGTTGCCTGAAACAAAAATGACATCAACTGAAATTGAGTTTTGGTTGAAAGACGTCTTTCCACTGGCATTTGATTCGGATGAAGATATTCAAACAAATGCAATTAAAGCAGTGAAAACAGCAATGCCGATGTTGCTTGTCTCACATCACCATTCAAATCCACTATGGGAACAAACACGTTCCAGCATTCTCAATGAATATACAGTGAAAATAGGCAACTTCTTCAAACATGGAAGTCCAAAATGGTATATGACTTGCCTTTCTATTATTTATTATTTCTTATCGATTCTTTTTCGATTGTTTGTCAACTATTTTAAATTAATTCTATTCTTTTCTTCTGTGATTCTCCCCTTAGGTATATGACTTGGTGTATATGCGTTCGTCTTCTCGACATCGATATTCCACGGAGTGCGCGCACTCTAAACGCCTTTCTTTCCATAGTTGAACCGGCACTAAGGAGCAATGTACCAATTCGACGTGCTGAAGGTTATCTATGCTGGCGTGTAAGTGTACATTCTCAATCGCCTCAAAATCATAGCCATTAATTGGATCATAATAAATTTTGCGACTTTTTTAAAAATTCATTTACAGGTTTTGCTAGAAGTGTTGGTGCGTCACAATCGTTTGAATTCGGAAAAGCGCTTGAAATTGATGTGCACACCATTAAAATCGTTGCAAGCAAAAACCGTCGAAATAGCGACAAATAAATTTCAAGCGTGGTGGTATGTTATATGGGCAATTCACTTAAAAATGTCTTTCTATTTTTAATTAATTCTTATTGATTCTTATTCGATTGTTTGCGATTATTTTAAATTAATTCTATTCTTTTCTTTTGTGATTCTCCCCTTAGGTATGTAATATGCAATGTGCAGGGAAATGTTGATAATTTTATATCGATGGTGTTTGAGCCATTTCTTCATTTTTGCTTTGGTCCATTATTATCGACGCCAAAGCTACTTCTAGAACCAAACGAAGCTTCAACACAAGTTAAGAGGTAACTTTGTCAGGTTTTTTTAAAAACTGTTTTTAATAATTTAAATATGCACATATAACTCATGAATCACAATTAAAATTTTCAGCTTTCCAGACGTTTCGTTAATGGCAATCGTAACATTTATACGCGTTCTTGGTGGAAGCGATAAACAAATCGATGAGTTGTTTACCAAATTCTCGTTGAATCAACCATCGTTTGTGATTTTAAATGAAACAATATTCAGCATTCAATCGACCGCAACGTATTTAATAAATGCATGCGGCGAAGCGACGCTTATGTTGAATCGTTTAAAAAATAATGCAAACAATAATATCGATTGCATTACATTGGCAGTTTGTTTATGGTCACGAATGTTTAAATACATAAATCAAGCGAAAAAAATTGAACATATCAACCTAATTTTGGACAACGTTTCACAATTGCTACGACTTAATTTACTTGTAAGTATATTGAATGATCATTCCAGTTTGGTATTTTCAGTGGTAAAGTTAAATTGCTCGTTCGTTTTGAAAAATTGTTTTAGAATCCATCACAAACAAAAATGATTCCAGTCACGTGTTCATCGATTCTTGTCGGTCAAATTGGTGCGTCGTTCCTTTTCGATCGAAATGACGGTGATATTTTGAGTGAAGAAAAAGTTAAAACGATTGTTAAACTCATGAATACAATGGTTCAACTACCGAACATGAAATCACGACTTGATGAATCGTTGGCCAAATTATTAAGCGTATCGCATCAAGATGATAAAGAATTTGAGAAGAATTTCACATTTTTCCTAACCGAATTCTATGAACAATTCATCCAAAATGAAGACGAACAATCAAACGGATTTCATGCCAAAAAGTTAACAATCACTTATGAGTTCATTGACTGTATTCTACAATATATACAATGCAACGCAGAAAAAGCGAACGAAATGTACGCGAAAAATGTGCATACATTGCAAGTATTTTACAAGATTCTCTATTGGCCACTGTCACTCTATTTGCATCGAAATGAGGTAAGTTTATTTACAGTTAATTTTTTGTTTCGTTTTTTTTTTTTTTTTTGATTATTTTGTTTTTAATTAACCGTGCTGTTTACATACGTTGCAACTAATCGACTTTGTTTTTATTCATGCCGTTGCTTCAGTTTGATGACTATACGAAAACTTTGCTGAGAGCAACTGACCTATTAACAACCATAATTGGTAAATTGGATTTTTGCAAGGAAAGCGCAAAAGCGGTGAAAAATACCATTTCCCATCCCGATCATTGTATCTACGTCAACGATACCATTGCTACATTGTTTGAATATATGGTTTATGAATTTGATGGTAATATAACCTTATTTCTTAAGAAATTTCATTTTCAATTACTTTAACTATAAATTTATCTGAAAAATATGATTTTTCTGTTCCAGATTTAAAGAATGCACCATTGGATATGCTCAACTTATGTGTATACGTAATTAAAAATGAACAGCATGAAGGAAAAAAAGTTGTTAAAGGTCTGAAATCGATAACTGAAGCTCTTATCAAGTTTCGTCGTGCGATTAGTCAAAGTCAATTTGAAATTATAGCACCCAAATTGTGTGAAATAGTTCGATTGATCGATGGAGATAAAATGATTGTGCGAGCCGAACCGAGTCTGGTTAAAGATTTAGTAGAAATGATTGGAAAAGAGAATAAAGTGGAAAAATCTCCAGCATTGGCCAACAAAATGCTACGATCAAGCAAAAATAATCCAGCTGAATTTGTTGTGGTGAACAAAGTATGGAAACTAGAGCCGAGCAAATTGACTGAACATCAGAAGGAGAAGATGAAAACACGTCGATGTGATATACCAGCTTTGTATAATGACTTGAGTCAGAGTCAGGATAGCGCCAGCATTCAAGGATGGGCACCAAAAGCGCTTGAAAAAACAACAAAAACAGCCGATGAAGAAAGTATAAAATCGGAATGCAACGAAAACAACGCAGTTGTGAACGATAACACTGAATTGCCAGTAGATACTGTACCGTCATCACAAACAAAACAAAAAACCGATAAAGCATCCAAAACATCTCCGAAACGTTCAAGTCAAAGTCAAAGCGACAGCGACAGAGAAACAACAGATGAAACGCATGTAAAGCGTCGAATGAATCGTGAACTGAATCGTATTCAAATCGATGCAAAAGTTGAGGAAGTGCCTTACAATAGCCTATCAGAAAGTAATCGTCTAACCCGTAGCACAATAAAGAAAATCGAAGAAAAACCGGATACACATGCAAGGAGAAAGACGCGATCCGATAGTGTAAAACCCACCACAGAAATAAAAGAAACACGAGTCACTCGTACATCACTAGTACATTCACCGGTATCGGTGAAAGCAAAAAACAAAGTTTTAACAACAAAACCACCAGAGATCGAAGCGTCAAGTGAACCAACAACACCAAAACGACGATCTACCCGCAACTCTATATTGGACACAAACCAGAGAACAGCAGATACACAATCCAATTTAATTCAAAAGGATGAAAAGAAAAAGACTGAATTTAAAGATACACTTGAATTGAAAGTAGAAAAGCTACCGACCGAAGAACCAACAGAATTCGCTGACAAACCGAAAGTTGAAAATACAAAAGAAGTTAAAGATGCAGAGCAAGTAACGAAAGATTCCACGAGTAATGAAATAGCTGAAGAGCAAATGATAGAAAAACCAACCGAAGATACTCAACATCAAATAAATGAAAATAATGGCACCGAAATGGAGATTGATGAGCCAATAACTGCAATGGAGACCGATGAGAAACAAGAAAATACGCTTGACACATTAGCCACACAATCCAATGAGTTGAAAGATGATAAGATGGAAGTTGAGGTCGAACAGAATGCACAAATACTAGTGGAAACGGAAACCATATCAACTCTATCGAATGGCAATTGTTCAAATATGGACGATTTGCCATCAAAACACGGCGAAACTGAGCATGATAGTGAAACGGACGTAGTAAGCCGTTCATATATGAGTGCTCTTGTTTTCGATGATACAAACCTATCAAAAAGTTTAAATGGAAGTTCAATTGTAACTTCGCCAGAAATTGCGGCGCCACGGAGTTTGGAGTTCTTAAGTGACACAATAAATATTTCACCAATTGCATCGGCAACGGCAAACGTTGAAAAGACGGCCAGCGTTGATGATGGTTTGGATGAAATAAAAAATCCACAAGAGTCCGTGATTCCAGAAAATCAAGAAGTGAATGAAAAATCAACGACAGAAGAAGATAGAAAAGAAGAGACCGAATTGAAAAAAGTCGAAGAAAATGATATCATCAAAAATGTAGTTGCACAACGATTGGCTACATCTACAATTGGCGAATCACCCATTGCATCTGGTACAAAGCAAATTAAAACACAAACACAACTTGCAATTCAATCAAGCACCCCAATTCAATCTCATCACAGTCCAGTATCATCGAAATTTAAAACCCCGTTATCGGGACGTGGTGCACAATTACTGAATATGATCAAGAGTCCGAAACCTGCATCACCAACACCAATGTTAATGGCGGAAAGTGCGTTTGTTAACATTTCAAAAACCGCATCGCCAGCCATTAATCAATTGGAAACGGCACCAATTTATGAGCATGTTGTCAGTACACCAGACACAAAAGCGTCAAAAGAAAAACAAAACGAACGAAATGAGTTGAAGCCAAATGAAAATGGAAACTTTTTAACACTATCAGGAGCATTACCATCGCCATATGAAAGTCCTGGCATCAGTATTCTAAAGCGAAAGAGCTCAAACATTTCAATGGACGATTCCATACAATCGCCGGCGCATAAGAGAAAGCGTGTTTCTTTTGGTTTTCCATTATCACACACAAAAGAGTACATTATCGATGAAGAATTTACTCCATTCTATATGTTGCCATCGAACGATTCACCATGTCGACGTGCCAATCGTCTTAAAAAACTAAAATTGAAACGAAACAAAAATCAAAATGACAGTGCCAAAACAGTAGTAGCCACCAACGATAGTAAAACATCACAATTGGCTGATTCGAATGCAATAACGCTTGAATCAACATCACACGTTAAGCAGGAAGATGTGAGTGTGAGTGTGAAACAAATACGGGAAATAATTGGAATGGATAGAGACACGTATCGGGCCAAACAGGAGAAGAAATTAACTGGTGATGCCTTAATAACGGTAAAAACGAATTCAAACAATCACGATTCAAATAGTGATGACAGCTCAACGGAGTCAAATGAAGATGAACCAATTGAAACCGTTAAAGTACCAATTGAAGCATCATCACAATCGCCACAATTTCCAAAAACCCTTGACGATTTTTCCGATGATGCAATTTTTTCGCATCTATTATCAAAGTATTCACCAAACGATATTCTCAAAAAGTTTGATTCGGCATTCGACGCAAGAGTATTAACCAAACGGCTATCTACGATGATGACGAACGATAAACAAATCGAAACGGTTGTTTTGGAAGAGTTGGCCGAACAACATTCAGAATCATTTTTGGAGAATGCAATCACCGAAAATCTTTGCTCAGTCATTTGTGATCGTTTAACATTGAAATCACCAAACGCAATTATCGATTACACCACCGAAAAAATCAATATGGATGAAAATTTTGCAAGTAATTTCCTTGATAAAGTGTCCGTATCGACATTACGTCAAAAACTTATGGACATTGTGGCCACAAGTAAGCGCGAACAACATATATTACTCGACGATTTTTTGACGGCTCTTAAGGAATATATTGGAAGCACTCATCGAATGTCACCACGTACAATTGACACCGGCATTTTACCTGAACACATTCATTTGTGGATATCAAAGCTGTTCGATCAGTTTAAAATCACTCCCGAACAATATCTTCAACTAACCAGCATTTTCATACAAAGAAACCCACCAGCTTCGCTCGAAAATTTCGATTAATTGCATATTCTTTTCGGATCGAAAAGAGCAAACAACAATATTTGTTTCACATTTTTAAGCGAACAATCATGTAAAAAAACAACAACAACAACTAACAACAAAAACTCAAACACTTCATTACAAAAATATTAATTTGAAAGAGATTTCATCGTATCTATTGCATTTTAGCTCGCGATTTATTGTCTGATTAAGTAAGTTCAAAATTCGGTTGATAGTAAATAATAATAATAAATAATAAGTTTCATTTGATTTAAAATAATGAGAATCCACCTATTTTGGCCAAGAAATACACAAACAGGAGAAGATAAAAATGTTAATTTATTTTTTAAGTCTGAACAATAAAACAAAACATTGGAAAAATTTCATTTAAATTAAACATTTTTCGATTAATTAATTATCAATGCCGATTTTTTGTGCTCTTCGAAAAAAAATTTAAATCACAATGTCATATAAAGTATGCATGACACATTAGGTATTAAATGCTAGCGAACCGAAGTTTCTTCTTTACGAGACGAATTGAAGGTAAATTATTCTTGTTATCCCTGATTACAGTTCTGTACGTTCATCATATACAACAACACCTATGGAAATAATTTTTTTTAACAATTTACATTGCAATTCCAACATCAAAAGCAAAGATTTACCTTCATGTTCAAATGGTATACCAGATAAATTTTGTGATCTCGATCTGCAAAGCGCTATTATTGCAGCCTCATCTCGACACATTCGATTGCGTCTTTTTTTGCTCAAATTCATCTGAAAGCCATTTCAAATGTATAAATTTCATAATGTTCAAATTATTATTTTTGTCATTTTTTAGAATGACATGTGAGTATTTAATTACCTTAACATAAAGATTGGCTATATCATCAGTTGTGACTGGTCGTTGTTTAATTCGTCCCCATGCCGGTAGTGATCGTGTTCGATAGTTCTCACATTCACTAAATGCTTTAAACAAAATAAATATGATTAAAAAGGTTTGAGGTGAACTCTCAATTTCACAGAAAACATACCACTGGTGGAAGCGTACAAAGGATTCAGGACCCACATCGATTTATGCGTTTCGGGAATATTTTGAAATGAACAATCATCAAAGCTCGATGCATTACTATTAACACCACAGCTTGAACTCGATGGAAATTGTTGATAGTTAAGCATATATTGATGGCGATACATTGAAGACGATGTTAGTGAATGTATTGGCGGTGAATTGTACTGGGATGCTTGTACGGAATTACAAACCGACGATGAATTTGTTAGAAGATTTGTCCATGGTTTCACTCCGATTGCTGAATGTGGAACTTTATATAGAAATATTTTACGCTTATCAATGCGAATGTATGCCAATTTTATATTTAATGTTGATTTTACTTACAAATAACTCCGGTACTATTTGCCGTTGATAATCCAGTTGAATCACGCGTAACAGCCGAATTTTGTGATAAATCAAATTTCTTCTGACGGCGACGTGGTAGAAACCAACAAAATAAAAACGTTAAAAAGACTAATATGAAGAAGACAATTAGGCAACCACTTAGAATTCCCCACCACACAATTTCTGGTAAGCCTAGAAATCGCTTTGGAGCGCCAGACTCAATAGGTGGCCACATTCGAGCATTTAATGTGACAGACCATTGATACAATCCGTCTGTGAAGTCATTGATATCTTCGGGACCTGCGAATTAATTCAAACACCGAAAAATAATCGATTTTTAAAATGATCGGCAAACGAATATGGTCATTATCATTTATTTTTAATCACACACGAAATGGTTTTGCACTTAATTCCCTTCCATTTTATTAATGAAGTAAAAAAGTTAACGCAGTTTTCGCACATTCATTCACTTCAAATATCCGTCACGCTTTTTTTTGTACCTGGCAATATGACTAAACTTTCATCATCAGAAGGTGTACTGTTTATTGTTGTGGTTGATCGAACCGTTGTGGCCATTGGTGTTGGTGATGATGTTTTTATGATATCAACATCTTCAGAATGACCGTACGCAGGATATATGTAGACTTTAGTTCGATTCCGACCAGAGCTACTCTTCCATTTTGAACTTCCATTTTTAGTAGCATCCAACCACCACTGACCAGATTCATACCAATCCATCAATTTAAAATTAGTAGTTCTTTTTTTTTTAACTGAAAGCTCCAAATTATTTACAGTTTTTTTTTTTTGATCAACGGAAAATTCAACGAACGAATGGGAATGAATTAATCAAAATTTATGATCAATATAAATTAAATTGATCTAAGGTAATTGAGGTGATGTCACAACGTCAAACTGTAAAAGTCGTCTAATTCGAAAGTTGAATATAAAATGGATGTAAAGTATAAAATTTCACAGGACTTTTGATAGAAAATGCATTGGGTTGAAAAATAAATATTTGAACAGTCCTGGAGAGAATACCGCTTTAAAGCTCAGCATGGCAAAAGAGCATTATCTTCAAGCCTATCGTTCATTCAGTGATGCGGCTTTGTTCTAACATTTCATTGAAAGAATAAAAAAAGGGGGAAATAGTGTAAACAGCTATTTTACGACTTCAATACACACTAAATGCGACACATAGTTAGCGGCAGTGATAGATTTTGAGGTCATAGTTTCTCATGTGAATGAAAAAAAGTTATAACAGCTTTTTATTCATACAAAAGTCCCTTGATCTTTGAAATTCTATATGCTTCACGGTGTGAGCTTGTATACATTTAGATATATGATGAAAGTTCATTGACACAATGCAGTTTCAAACAACGAATTTCAGTTCAATTATAAAGCTATATTAAAATGTTGAACTCTACAAGTGAAATGACTGCATACGATTTTCACTAAAGGATAATCCTTAATTAGTACTTACTTAAAATTTATTTATATTGATGGTTCAACATTTTGTTTAATATACCGTATAACTGATTCTGAACGTTCAAATCGATTCAAATGTGGTGTTAGTTTCAAGTATATGCAACCTACATGTCAAATATTGAATGCTGTACGATTGAACAAATTGAATGCATATTTTGTTAGAAATATTCTTTGAGTACTGCACATTCTCAATAAGGATAATGTTCAACTCTCACACAATTTCAAGGTATGCAGAATACACACCGACCAGTTGCATTATCACATTTACACTCACACAAGCATTCAGTGTATTTTGTTTTGTTGATGGTTACTGGTTGCCAAGGTACTCGACCAATACATACAAGAAAACGAATGTTGCTTCACATATAGGAATATACTCGATTCAGAGTGTGATTTTTTTCTTTAATTGATTTTTCCTTGCATATCATAAACATAAAATGAAATTTGTTACCACCTACTAAAACTACATAGGAAAAAATGTATTCGTCTTTTAACTTACATTTTTCATCTGGTGTTAATTCATAACTTGCATCTCGATTATATTTTCACAATAGTACCACTCCTAGGTCAGTTATTCGTACTTTGAATTCTTTCAAGACTTTCAATTTTTTTCTTGATCAAAACTATTAATGTTCTTCTATTTCTGAGAACTATCACATTTACACTTGAAATTTTCAATGTTTTTTTAAATTGGTTTTTAAATCTTGATCAATTTTGAACAGTTTTCGACAACTAATTGTTTAAATATTTAAAAAAAATACTTAAAATATTTTGAAGCCGTAAATAAACAGATTGCCGAGTTGAATTATAGTGAAACGAATGTAAACGGTTGCCTGTCTGCAAAAGTTTATTCACCGCATAAAAGCAGTTGAAAAGTGTGTGTGCGTCGAAGCAAGCACGGTTACACTACCGCCATGTCAACACATACATATTTCAATTTGAAAACACTTTCAATGTGGGGTTCAATATTGAACGAGACACAATAACAATGCTATTGATTGTGGTCATGGTTAAATTTTATTGCCTATCGCGAAAAATTACCAATGTAGGAGTGTTATCCATTGTTAATGATGCAAGCACGATAAAAAGTGGATAAGACGCTCATTTAAAAATATTATGCTCAAGGGTTGCATTTTTTTTTATTCAAAGGTGGGTATTTGAATAATAAGAGAGAGAGAGAGAGAGAGAGAGTTTTACCTTGAATAAACGTTCTTTTACCTTCTAGAACATACAGTTGCCTCGAATTTCTGTGCCAATAACAAATACTTGAAAAAAAAAAACTGATTTCATACAAACACCACTTATATCTTTCATATTTTTATCTTTATATTTGCCATTTTGCTGCCACAAACATCATGAAAAAAAGCTGAATTTTGTTTCAAATTCGATTCAATATTGGTTGAATCCGCAGTAAAATCGGTTAATAATGAAATTTAATCGTGTAACCTTTATATATTTAGTCTTTTAGTTTTTTTTATTCATGAAAACCGTTCCATTTATCTTCGAAGATTTTCTTCAATTCAAACATTCCATTATTATCAGATTTTACTGTGGCATTCTTTTTTTTAAAGTCATGAAAACGATTATTTTCATAATTAATTAAATATTTCACGATTAAAAATCAATTATTAATCATGAAAACAATATCCATTAAACCGTACACATGTCATAAAATGATTGGTTCCATTAAATACTGAATTTAGTAAAATTTTTGTGTTAGATTCAATTTGATAATAATTAATGTAATTAATTTGTCTGATATATATATTTATATATATAGATATTAAACGAATCAACCTGAATCTGAATTGAGTTTAATTGAAACAGATAAATTTCCATTTTACAAACAAAAAAGAAAAGAAAGAAGGGAAATAATAATTATTTCTTTGACTCGTTCCCATTGCCAATTATATATTTTGCACACTAAATTCTCTTTAGCTTTTTACCTATTCCTAAGCTCACATCTTGAGAGACACATCCTTCAAATTGTATTTTACTTGGTTGTGTTTTCTTTTGTCTGTATTCAAAAATATTAATTTCACTATCAAAAAGATTTTTCAGTTTATCATTTTCATTTTTCATTTTTTTTTTTTTTCACATATAAATTATTTCAATAAACAACTACTCAAGTGCTTAATAATTTCATCTATATATTCTTATTATATTGAAATGTAATAACTAATCTTTTCATTTGTTGTTTGTATTTATCAATTTGTCTGTAAATAACGATGAAGGATGATAATAATAGCTACTATCAATCAAACAAGTGCCGGAATGAAGAGAATGTAATGTGACTCGATTACGGTGTTTGCATAATAGTACTATTTGTTTTTATTTGTTGTTTTTGGTGGTGGACGATGACAATCTGACACTCTTTGATGTATTCGGTGAATGTATGTGTGTGTGTGTGTGATGAATATGCTGCCATCCAAACCGGCCATAAAAGAAACTCCAGCAGTAGTTTGACATCTATATCTTTAATCATATTTATAATTGCGTCTGTGTCTATTTCAATTTATAGAGGTGTATCTAGCATTTCTCCAATGAATGTCTCTAAGCTCTTGTCGCCAATCAACCGGAAACAATATAAATGATCTAAACATTTTAAACTAATTGAACGTAACGCTGGTAATCTTAATAACAGTTGAGCAAACCGGCCATCATCGCCAGGATGATGATTACGACAATGTTCGTCAAGGCATGCATAGATTTTTTCACGACACAAATCAACGTCCTGCTTGCATTTTAGTCCTCGAATGTCTGAAAAATGCAAAAACAGGAAATATGACAATTGAATTGAGAATGACACCTCATTTATGTTTTTTTAATTTTTTTTTTACCTGGATTGAATAGAATTATTGCCTTTAAGCACGTCAATTCAGCTCGATCAATGCTCAAACGCTTCATCTTTACACTGAGCTCTGATAAAATGCGATCAAATATTGGTGCAACACCAGCTTGATGTGCACTATTTCGATGTAGTGTAAAATTAGGACCTAAACACATCAATTGAGGTGGCCGCACCGGAGCCCGTCGATCAATCGTCCCATCGGCATTTGTCCGTTCCTGATCGAGAAACTATAAATAAAATTTTGAATATAGAATTTGAATGAAACAAAAGTTTCTCAAAAATAAAATTTACACACAATTCAGAATAAACAATTGATTACCTCTATGCTACGCCACGCAACTGTAGCTATCAGCAATTCATTCCATCCAGCCCGCAGTAGAGTGATTTGGTCCTCTCGTTGTAATTGTGCAAAATGTGGTGTTCTTCTGGCATATTCAATCAACTGATAAAGTTGTTTGTTCACCATTTGACATAAATGTGAAACGGCACCCTGCAAAAGGAAAATCACCATATAAAACTGATCAATATACAAAATGCTAGGGGGTAGACATGATTCATTTGATTCACTGTGATTCAAAAGATTCACATTGTTTAGATGACATTTGAAATGTCACTTATGTGTCATGAAAGAAGTATTTATTGATAAATTAAAATTATTTGTCTTCGAAAAAATGATTTCTTGACGTTTTTTTAAATGTATTAACTCATTTTTTTATCTTTTTTGTGTTTTTATAGTAAATTTCAAATAAAATCAACGATAATATTTAGAATTTGTTGAACGATCATGTTAATAAAACCAAAAGTGATGCTTATTTGACATTTGAATGATTCACTGTGATTCACATGATTCAAAGTTTTATAATTCGTGTCTACCCCCTAGACAAAATGAATGGCCATTGGTTTTGGTTAAAATTACCTTGTATTCGGCTTGAACAACGGAATTTGGACCAACCCTTAAATAAGGTATTGCATTATCACCGCCTCTATTTTCACTCTTTTGTTCAGCTTCCATTAATCGTTCAATTGTTAAATCTCTAACCGGATTTGCTTGACTGACATCGTCTGTCTGTTTTGGTAACATTTTAGCACCACGTTGTCGTTCCTCTTGAACCGCTTCACGTTTCATACCACAAATTAAGCACTTTTGATAACGGCAATACTGACATCGATTTCGTTGACGCTTATCAATTGTGCAATTTTTATCCTCTCGACATGCGTAGGTCAAGTCTTTTCGGACGGTCCGTTTGAAGAATCCTTTGCATCCCTCACAACTATTTCAGAATATTAACGACAACAATGTATTCGTTTTCATTTCGAAAGTGTTTCCATTCATTAAAAAAAACAACAACAAATTAACAACTCACCTGTACACTCCGTAATGTTTTCCACTTGCACGATCACCACAGATCGAGCATAAATGTTTCGAGCCACTCAACGGATGATTTGGCGGGTAAGATAAGCGATTTTGTGCAGTTGTTGGCGAAATGTTTGTTGCAGCCGAGATTGACATTTGATTGAAATTACTCGGACTACCCGGTCCTGGACCTGGTGAAAATCCACCCATACTGTTTCCGTTTAAAAGTGATGTGTCTGGTTTTAGTTCTGGCGGTGAAATCGGCCCCATTTGTCCCATTAGTGATGGATCCAGCACTATAATTCAGAATTTATAAATGATTATTAATTGTGTTGATTAAGCTGTTTGCTTTTAAATTATTATTATTAATTTTTTTAATTAAATAAAACATGGATAAAAGGATTATTCAAAACTTTAGTCTCTATTCTTAAAATAAAAATTATTTTTTCTTCTGTTGACCCAATTTCTTTCCAAGAAATCGTTCGGTTCATACGTAAACAATGAAACACATTTGGCCCAATTTATTTATTTACTTTTCAATACAACACTGTAATCTTGTCGCTTCGTTTATCCGACGTGTTAGTTTTTGTCTTGTTGCAAAATTCCACTTTGAATCGGTTATTCATTTTAAATCTCTCTGTTTGACATTTATTGAAAATATTTTGAATTTTCTCCACGACCCAAGATTTCAAAACAAAACCGCATTTGTTGCTTGCATAAAATTCTTTAATGCGAAAATAAACGATATTTTAAACCTGAATTTATATCCAAAAAAAAATTGTATTAGGCTAAGATAAATGTCAAACTCAAATTTATTTAAATGGCAGAATTTTGTTTGGTTTTCAAAGCGTGTTACACTTCACTGTTTACCTCTATTGAATTTAATTCTATAAATCGTTTTTTTCTTTCTCTGCGGCTAATCTCTCGTTTATAATCGAAAATCCAAAAGAGTTTTCAAATATAGTACATTTGTGGATTAAGCTGTGAACGATGACAAAACTTGATTTAAAACAATAAAAACCAAAAACATTGCACTTTTATCAGTTTTCGTATAATTTTTACAAAATCGAATGTTTTTCTTTCCGTCTCGTTAGAAAACAATGTATGTTTTGTGCACTGGATGTTAGAAAGCACCGATTCAACAAACAAAATTTCAAACAAAAGCATGAAGACACAGAAACTGAGCAATTCTTGAAACGGCAATAGTGCATGAATCACTGAACGACGACGGCCATCGATAGTAACATACAATTTAAAGAAGAAGAAAAATATAAAATACATATAATAAAATTATGCGAAAGGAATGGAAAGAAAGAGAGATAGAGAGAGAGAGAAAGATAGAGAACAACGTCTATATCAGCGTAGAAGTCGCACGACTGCTTCATCGCACTATATATGCTTTGCGTGTTTATCAACGATACCAATGTATTTGTTTTCGCATTATGCTTTAATTTCAATTTTTATTGTTGTTGATGTATCAAAGGCAATATTGTTGTAAGCTCTAGTTGTGTTTATTTGGCAGCTGTTTTATTTGTTGCAGCACCATTTCGGCGTAATCGATGTGGCCAAGGGTAATGCTACCTAAATATGAAATGAACTTTTATTTTTAATTTTTCAAATCACCGTTTGCCACCGTCGAAATGAATGTGCATTTTTCTCAAAATGAAAAATAATAGAGAGAAGAATAGAACATATTCTTCCGTCAAATCAAACGCATCATAATTTCGACAAACAAAAAAAAAAATAATAATAATAATAGATGAATTCAAGAAATTAAAATCGAGTTTGAGTTGCATTCGTTTACCCTTATGTGCGCGCCAGATTTATGAGAAATTGAAAGAGAGAGGGAGAGAAGCACATCACAACACAATCTGCGAACGCACCACATCGAAAGTTATTGTGGAACAATGAATGCGAAACCAAATGCAAATTGAATTTCGTATGTATGTTATACGAACGGTGAATATTTTCTTGCAATTTCGCGAAACTGGAATAGTGACGTATGCTGTATATTGTGCGTATGTGCATGTGGTAGTGTTTGAATGACTTTGAGTGAGTATAGGTTTCTGTACACTGACAACCCATTCTGCACCGTTCACATATATTAGATATGGTTTTATATACGTTCCTCTGTCTAATTTCTCCTTTTTTTTATAATGAATACACAGAACAATTCATTGAAATTGTTGCTTTTCATATCATCTCAAGTGCGTTTTATTTGTTTATTGGCAAAATTTAATTGCACAAAGACTGTATTTCACAGATTTGAAAAGAAATTTTCGAACAAAAATCACGCATTCCGATTATCATAGAAGAAAATATGTAAACAGCTATGATAATTCATCATAGGTTAATTTGTGTGGAACACCAATCACCAGTATTTAAAAAAATAAATTCATTGGAATAAGACAGAAACCGATACTCAGACAATATAGTTGAATATAAAATAAGAAGACAAAGTGAGACCAATAAAGCGCTGCAATTTGAGTGAAACCGTTATCATTGTTCGCCGTGCTCTTGAATATAGCGCGCTAACACTCACACATCAATGATCGTAGACATTCAATGTGTTGTTAGATATAGAGATTTCACACATGTGCATAGTTTTATATGTATATTGGTAAAGTTCTATTGGATTGCATCGCATCGCCAATTCTAGACCATGTATACGTATCATATATATAGACATTTATACATATATAGAATTTTTTCATGCCGAATTCGGCTTCTGTCTCCTATATACTTCTTTTTCGTTTCTTAGCGTAAACCTCGATGTTGTTGTTTTTGTTATTTTGGAGCTGATTCAGTTTGCACTGATGAGAGAGCGTCGCTTTCATTGTTGTACATTTAATTCGCTTAAAATGGGTGACCTTGAGCAACATTAGATCATCATTTCGTTTTATTTTCAAACAAGCGCACACAATACACACACACATGCCCTACACCCGGTTCACATATTAAATTTATGCATTTGAGAAATCGGAAGACACTTCTCCTTGTACGCTGTCGTATGTATGCTGTATAGCTCAAGCTGTGCACAAAACAGCCCCGAACATTTTGTCAGCATTTGAGCTTAAATATTTACTAACAATCGATGGATACACACTCATACCAGTAAATGCAGAAAAATCTATTATTTAGACAGACATATTTGATGCAGTTGATAGGACATGTCTCAAAAAATACATTAAATTCTTGTCCTTATCTCGATCGATTAAATGGATTACTAAATTGACGCACTGTCTGACTTTGTATCTTTTTCGTTTGGCTCGATCTACTCCGTAGAATTCGATACATCCAAATATCTTTTGAACGATCAAACGTAAGGTGTGTTCTTCTAATATTCTGTTGAAAAACCAATTACAATCAAATGCACGACCATTCTTCACAGTTTTCTTTTTTTTTTTTTTCAATGAAGCTCTTTGAAAATCAAAGCGATGTGTCCGAGGAAAAAAGTCGACCGTCAAAAAGCCACGTCTATTTGAATGTTAAAAAAGCGTGTTTTCATCGCGTACGAAGGAGCGTTGATCTGATTTATACAGTAGCGAGAAAAAAAATACTGTGTAGTAAAAACTAAATGTGCATGTAGAAGCGCAGTAATAGAGCTGTCATGAAAACAATGTCAGCATGGCAATAGTGTAGGTTTTATATTTAAAAAAAAAAGTAAGTATACACGTCAAATCAAGGTCAAGTTCGGCTTGATACGCCATTTTTTAACGATTTTTTTTTAATAAATTCATTCTCGCACATGAAATTGTGCAGATGTGAATCGTAACTTTTTTCAAATGACTTAGTGTATCGTTGACCAAATGGACATTCTTTGACGTCATCGGATGCATCAACGAATATATTTCATATATAATTTTTCTTTCTTCGTTGGTTCTCCTGACATGAAAAACAAATGACCAATTTTATTTTTAGGTACTTTTGGAGATCGATTACATTATTTGTGTGTTTCGGTTATATATTTTTTGCGTTTGTCGCCGTTGTCATTGCCATTGGCGTGTCGCCGAATAAATGGAAAGTACAGAGAATTGTGCCTGATGCACCAAGCTAGAACAAGTGATTTTTTGCAAATACTCGAAAAATTGACGCCACTGCCAGAAATGGAAACAAAGTACGCGGCAACAGGGCGCGCAAACCATATGTGTGACCTTCAAATGTGCAGACAATGAAAAAATATAAACATATTTTTTTTTTAATTGTGATCATTGAGATTTGTGTGCATGTTTGGATATCATTTGTCTATCTTTGTATTTCTTTTGCGCTACGTTCTTTTTCGCCCCGTATGCCTTGCTCGTTTGTGTTTTCGTTGAAGTTTTGTTGACTGTTCCAAACGTGAAATCGTTAAATAATTCTATGAGAACACATATAGTAAACAGTATTTTGATTAATAAATACACATATTTGGCCGAAATGATTCAGTAGAAAAGAACAAAAAAAAAATAACAACAATATGCCGTGTTCATTTGCGCGCGCGATGTTTTGCGTCATGGTAATTTAGTATGCCTGGGGTTTTGTAGGCATCAAAGCTCAATAGTCCATCTATTAAAGGCTTTTTTTTTTCATCAAAAAGTGCACGAATAATTAAATCGAAAGTTGATATTTCCAGAAATTCGATTGGCACAACCGGAAAACACATATGACAGACTCGATGAACTGCAAAGTGAATGCAGACGTGACATTTTCGCCTCATTAGCAAATGTACAAAAAAAATGAACAACTAATCATTCGACTCATGAGAATGTCAAGCAGAACAATGCTTAGAACATCACTGCAAAAATCACTTTAGAAAGATATAAAATCTCGTAAAAAGAATCATCTTTTAACGCTGTATATGCTATAGCTAATAATGTTTATTGTCTGTTTTTTTTTTTTTTTTTGATGATGTGATGTCATTTATCAAAGTGATTTGATTTGATTTGATGGTGTCGACTTTGAGCAAATGACTCAAGTGAATCTTGTCACTTTTCTCAATAGGTCGAAATGGATTTCAACGCCAACGAATTTAATAATTGTTGGCACATTTTTCACACGAATTTAATTGCAAACATTTACCTGACGAAAATGGACGATCCCATACTTTTCCCTGCGCTTGAATAATATCGGCTACTGAAAGCATTGGTTTTTCTTTTTTAAGCATTTTTTGTTTGAACAAAGAGTGTGCGATCGAATTTCAGTGTCGCTCTCCCTTTCACTGGCTCCTTCATCGGCGTTTTGTGCGACTGCCCTTATTTGTAAATATATCACTTATTTCTTTCTTTCTTTCTGTCATTTACCAATTGTATTTTTAAAAATGTGTGTGTGTGTGTGTGTGTATCGAATATAAAGGAACAACTGGGAGTTTATGTCACCAATTAAATGCACTTATGAGCTATAAATTGATTGAAATAAATAGGTCGATTAGTGATGACACTTAATTATATATTCGGCACGAAAAACTGTCAAATCGTTTGTCTTTGTACAATGAATATTGATGCATTTTCGAAAATATTTTCCATTTTTATGGCACGACACAACAAATAAATGTTTTAGTGCACATTATTTTTTTCTTCTATGATTTTTTTTAATTGTTTTTGTTTGTTAGTGCTGTAAAGTAATTGAACCTTAGCTGTGGTTCTCTTTTTTATTGTCATTTAGATTGTTCTGTATGCGGCAGTCATTGATGTGGAGCCAAGGAATTTTCGGTGGGATTTTATCGTTGAATATATATGATCATTTTTACGGTAACAGATGTGCCATTTCAATGTTCTCGACTTTTTATGTTTTCTTCCCAAACAAAAATTTGGTAAATCAATTTGAAACCGATCCACAAGTGAACGAACTAAACGAAACAAAAAAAAAATCAAAATAAACCTAGTAACACTTTGTCTCCATGATGAAGACTTGATCACATTTTTATGTAGAATTTATTTTCTTCACACCGATTTATTTCTGTTACGCAATGATTAATGGTCATTTTTTTTTAAATCGCAATAAAATTTGTGCTTGTTTACTCTTCGTTTGCTTTCGTAATACAGAAATTAATTTTTCGTAATACAGTTAATTTTGCCCATTGCAATAATCAGTCAAAACTGCGTTTTTCTTTCGTACGGATGTTGACATTGTAATTCGTAATATGATAAAATGAATGTACTTGAGCCGAGCGTAAGACGGCGTAAGGTAATACTTTCAATGTTCGAAATGTAAGACGATACAACTGATCTAACCCGGAATCAAGAATCGAGATTTATTAGACAAATCAAATTGTATCTAACACATAGAGGTATTTATCGACAAAATTTTAAATAATTACAATCGAGAACAATAAATTTATGCAAGCGTATTCAAATGTTCCGACGTTTCACATGAATGTGATGATAATAATATAACGATGCTATTTCTTCAGCTCAACACTATTTTCTGGAATTCGAGTTTGTATCGAATTTCATTCTAATCTATTCGATCCGATTTGAATTTGAAAAATGGTGCCGGTTCGGTTATTTTTTATTATACCTCAATTCAAAGCATTTTTTACAGAAAACGTTCAACAATTGTAACCAATGAATTTGAACAGTGTAGCTGTAACGATCAATCAACTATATCAAATCGAGATTTTAACGATTTAATCTACTATTTACAATCATCGAAATAATAAAAGACACTCACATATATTATTGTGAAATGTCACATAAAAACATTATATGAAAAATTAACAAACTGCGACACTATGTCCATTGAAAGTGAAATGAAGAAGAAGAAGAAAGAATTGGAATTCCATTTGCATCATTAACAAGTGAATAAATAAATTATAAAATACATCAAATTTTGTGTGTGTATTTCCTTTAATTTTGTGAATGTGATTGTTATCGACTAAAATACAAAAAAGGAATCGATTCGAACGGGATGCAAAACAACAAGTCGTACGAAGAAAAAAAGAAGAAGAAAAGAACAAAAACTCTGATATTTTTGGCGGACTCGAATTAAATAAATATTTCGACATTCAGTAAAATTTATGTTCAGTTGATAAGTCATTTTAATTGCTTCGAAAATCCACTTAAATGCTTTTGTTGTTGCTGCTGCCGTATTTTGTTCATCAATAAGGTTTAAATTGTTGAAAAGAGGGGAAAAATGTGCGTTGCACGGATAAACAAATTGGGATTTTAGTTGCAGAAAACTCATTTGGATCGAAAGCAAAAGTCAATATGACTTTATGACAACAGCAAATGATTTTCTTTTTTCTTCTTGCCTGAAAGCGAATGGCTGCTTCGTAGGCCTGAATTATTTTCAAGCAAAAATAAAAATTTATACTTTTCTTAAGGTTGGATTCTCTATTTGAATGGTAGAAATTGAGGTAATTTGAACAAAAAAAATTAAATGTGATCATCAATCAATGGGTGTATATAAAAGATTCGAAAGACTGACGTATCATTTTGCGACTTCTCGCGATTTTCATCATCATTTGAGATGAACAAATTGGCGAATACAATTTATATTTATTTGATTCAACAAGGTAATGTAAGTAATTACACATTGATTGAGTTTGAAAGTAGCGCCCACATAAATAAATTGCCTCCTTTAATGGTTTTTCAGTGTTTGACAGAATGCTCTATGTGTAAAACTCATCAATTCAAATGAACATCTCTCTCACTGTGCCGCCACACTTATTGAATGTGTATACAAATAAAAATCGACGATTCGAGATATGCAATTTACTGTGAGTGTCACAAACTCGATTTTGTTGGATATAAAAATGGAAATAAATTTACATATCTCTTGAAGTATGACTGAGAGTTTTAAGTTAAGTGACGATTTAGTTCTTACAATTGTTCAATAAATCCGGCACGATTTTAACACACATCCATATTGTTTTCGTTATTTTCGTGTGGTTTATTTTTTACATTATGCCATTGAAATGTATAGAAATTTCAAAATTTTCATTTTGATTGTAGAACAATTTCATATCCCTACACCGACACCGCAATAACAACACCAACAATCACGGAATTTCAAACGAAGAGAATCACAAATATACAAACACCGATTTACTTTACGAATGATTTAAAATCGATTTTCAACTACAGTAATTTTCGAAAATTTTATTTTGTTCGACTCGAAACCGATAACAATCGATCGATTGAGAAAGATTTGAAGAACAAATAGAACAAGAAAAAAAAAACACGAAAAAAAAAAACGAAATAAATCACCAGGATTTATAAATACATATAAATGACCATGTCAATCGTAACACAAACACACAAATTGGCGCTAGCAAACAACAGCGAACCTACCGATAACACAGCTGAAACTGTACTGTTCTATCATGCGAAATAAAATTTGTGAGTTGATTGTGGCGGCATTCATAACACAGTTGGCTGGAGGAAACGGCGGTAGGCTGTTTTGAACATAAGTGATTTGTGCATTTTTTTGCATACATTGATTAACTGAAATCGAACCAAATCGTTCCATAGTTTAGCGCACAGAGTGGAAGAGAGTAGAAAAGAGTGGCCGACTATTTGCAAATTAAATTCGGCATAATAAGTATTGGTTCATTTGGTTTAAGGATATGATTGAAATTCGGCGAATAACATTTTGTTATTTTGCACATGGTTCACAAATCATTAAAATTGGACTTCGCATTCGCCTTTTGCAATATAAATATGAAAAATATCTAGTAGAAATGAGCAAAAATCGCGTAGGTTTATTTTTTTTATTTTTATTTTTTAATGACAAAAGCCTATTTTAAGGAGTTTATTTGCGCATTTTGTAGATACACAATCGCATTTAGGTTTGTTGCTGGTTTTGTTGTGGTGGTGGTGGTTGTTGTTGTTGTTTCTCTATATAGCGTGCATCAAGCATTTGAAGTTCCACCACACACCGATTTCGAACGAGGTAAACGAATACATATATGTATGTGTGTATGAGAGAGTGCGGTTCAATCTATATATTAGTCAAAGCGAATAGAATGCACACAAAGACTCAGAGTGGGATAGATCTACATAAGTTTACATTTCGCGCGCGCACACACATGCATACAAAAATATTCCGCGTACCGAAAATTTGTCAAAAAATGCAGAAATAGACGTGGCAGGCAGGCAAGCGAGTAACTTTTCGACAATTTATTCTCTCTCTCTTTCTTTCGCTTTATAAATGCGGTAAATTAATTGCATTTTTCCGGGCTAGTGGTTAGATTTTGCGTACTATTTAAAACAGCAGACATTGGGTTACACGTTGTTTTTGTAGTTGTATCGTTGCGTCTTTTCACACATTTGTTGTGCATGAACAACGCTTTGGATTCAAAACCGTTTTATAGTGCACATGGAAAGGGCGTTTCACATACATATATACATACGAATGGCTGTTTTTTCTCTTCTTCTCTCTCGTTGCTAACCTTTTCGTGATAACCTTGAAAAGAACAGTGTCATAGAATACAAAGGCAAAATTGAAAATCAATTTTTATTGATTGAGAAATCGGTTGTCTTGGTCATTGCAAGGAAATCTCTCACGCGAAAATCCCGTCAAAATTAAATGCAAAGAAATTCGGTGAAAGTGATCATTTTTGCATATTGCTATTGGATGATTTTGTCTGGGTCAAATTTCAATGCCATCTTTGTCTAAATTTTCTCCAAAACAACAACAACAAATTATCGCATGGAATAAATAATTTAAATTAGCTTGTGAATGTTAATGTATGTGTGCTTATGTGTAGAAAATTGATTGCAAACAATTTTCATGCTTGACACGACATCTGTTTAGTTTCGCATGAGAGAAAAGCGGCCGAATTTTTTAATCAAAAACCATACGGCTTTATCTTCTTTTTCTTTTTTTCTCGTTCCGTCGCCTCAAATTGGCTCATCGATAGCCTGTTTTGTTGTATATTTATTGACGGTATGTGCGATTATATTTCTAAGCATATATATCCAAGTCAAAACTTTTTAAAGAAAAATAAAATTGCTTGTCCACTGCGTACCGGCGACACTGAGAAGATGTTGCAACATAGAGGACACAGTTGTTTATGCGGTGAATTTTTATGATGTTTTTGTGTGATGTTTATTAAGACCGGGTTATGTGTTTGTGTGTCAACTGAAGTCCATATAATTTCTCCATCGCACAAATCATTTCATTTGGCCATGAATTGTATGAAACGAACAACACTTGGCTGCGATTTCTCCGCATTCAAATGCCATCCCTAGCGCGCTCTCTTACATACATGTAAACACATACACACGCATATGCACGCAAATGAATAATTTTAGTTAGGATGCAAACACAAAACCACGATGCATATAAATGTATTCACGACGCTAGCGTTAAATAGCAATGTTAAGCATAAACAATAAAATATATTTTGGGTGTTTATGTCCTCGAAAGAAACGTGTGCGTCCGTATTTAGTCTAGACAATGAATTGTATACAATTATTGTCTAGTTATAGACGTATAAATACATGCCCAAGAAAAACAAAAATTCTTAGAAAGATGAGAAAGAAAGACGATAACGAAAAATGCCGCCGAATACAAAAAAAAAACAGAGAGTGTTTCAAAAAAATTCAGATTTAATCTCACTGATAAAAGTGAGAATCCTTGACAAAAAAATAACAAATAAACAAAAATACAATTTAAATGATGTTACATGTTTATCCATTACAAATGGATAGGTTCAAAACAGCTTGTAATGTTTATTATTTATATCACGAGATCTGTTGTTGCTGATTTTTTTTTCCAATTAAACCGTTGCAATGCAAATACATTTGAATACTCTTGAATATTGCCGCTTTTTCGAAAATATTCAAAATAGTTTCCAATGAGTGATAGCATTTTGTTTCAGTGTTATACAATCAATGTAGTGCTGTGATAGCTGTTTAAATACGGTGACATTTCCACAGTAATTTCGGCAAAAACATTTCAAACAGTTCGTTAAACAGGTTTCGTCATCAAAACTCAAACACCGAATGCTTGTGATAGTGGATTTATGTACACTTATATTAAGTTAACTTTATTCACACTCCTGAACCAATTATTCTTACACATTCAATATTTGGAATGTAATTGATTTGTTATTGTAAATTTCTCACCTGAATCGTTTGTATCCATTTCTTTTTATCTGAATTTGTTGTAACTCCGAAATGATGGGCTGATAAGCGTTTTCTTAAAATTGCGTTTTCGAGGCAAATGTCACTTATTTGTCGTATAATTTGTCGATTGTTTTACATTCACAATGCTTTCCCTTTTTTTTGAAGAAGATTCACAATATTTTACAATTCAATTGCAAATGTCTTGTTCTACAAACATCTGAAATTTAAAAAAAAAATCAATTGGATTTTTAAAAAAATGACTAAAACATGACTTATGAATTTGTTAAACTGGATCGAAAAGCGAGAAAAAAAAGATTGAAACCAAAATGTCAGGCACCAAAACACGAAACTACATATCATTTTGTGTTTGTAATTTGTAAAAATTAAAGTTAAGTAAATGTTATTATCATGGAAAAAATGCCAATTCATTATGATCAAAAATTGTGGAAATTGTTTGGAGAAATTAAACCCGGCTTTTTACACATTTCAGTGGTATTATGAAACTCATATGCAGAACTCATAATTCATAAGATAGCATTGAATATGTTTAATCGTCGTAAGCGAAAGTCAGCATGTATGTTTTGCTCTGTTTATCATAATTGCCTGCTATGTATGCTTTTGAATTATCATACGTTTAATAACAACAGCATTATGATGAAGCATGTTATTGTTGTAAAAGCATATATATATATATAAAAATATCGAATATAAATTGAATCCCAACACGGATGGTCATTAAAATCAGGCAATCTGTTGAATAGAACAAGTTATATGTGAGCAACATTGAAATCGTGTCGAGAGATTATCTTTTTGGTTTTCAAATTTAGGGTCAATTTTGTCGTCATATTAACAATGCTTAAAATGTTTCGACCATGCACTTCCATCCACTAAATCAACGTGAAAGAAATTCTGTCGCTCAAGAATCTTCAATGGTTAATTGAAAAAAAGTATGAAAGAGACGAGAGAAACACGATTCTCGTGCAAAACTCATTAAAATATGGCGTTGTTTTTTCCTCATACACTCATACACATAAATGTTCACGTACAATAATTCTCTTAAATAAATTGATGTTGCTCTTCGTTCATTTGGAATTGTTGACGACAACAATAATAACAAAAGCATTCCATACCCGCAAAGAACATGCATACGCAAATCATACAAATTCTATTTTGTCGCGAGAGATAGAGAGAAAGAGTATTTATTTGCGTTTTTTTCATTTGATCTTTCTGCATTCGGCGCTGTGTGTCTCATGTCTTTGACTCCCTCCATATTTTGCCTGACTAGGCAAAACCTATATATTTTTGTTATTGTACTAGTGCCAGTACTGCAACTCAGCATACACATATGAACTACATTTACACACTTACAGTGAGTGCGCTGGCACAGGTCATGGTTTTTCGCTTCAAAGTCGGGGGAATATTGCACTTTACATTGAATTTGTTCTTCTCCCATTTCCAACTAAGAAGGTTTCCCATGTTCTAAAACCGTACATTTCGCGATCGATGAAATCAAATTGAGTTTTATGAATGACAGAGCCGGAGATAGAGTATACTATATATACACATTTTTGGAGCTCGAATTTGATTAGACATTTAGTTTTTATCAAAATTTACATCATCAATTCGTTATTTTGCTAAATAAATTGCCGCCTTTTTTGTCATTTTAATAGCAAGTTAGACTTAAACCAGAAAATAAATGTAAATAGGAAACCTTGCAATGTATTCAATTGCAAGAGTAGACCATTTTTTGAACACCGATTTCATCGAGAGAAAAAAAAAACAACAGGCGTCGAAATTGTGATGCGGGCCAAAAATTGTGTACACTGTTGATTTGTGTAAATTGAAATCCACAACTATTTGCTGGTTGATATTTGCATTTTTTTTTTCGATTATTGTTCGTTCTTCAAAGACCAAATATTCAGGTCACAAAAACTGATTTAGTTTGGTTATCAAACTGCAAGCAATTGACACTTCCATTTACATGGAATGAAAATGTAACACACTAAATATCATTCGTAAATGAAGAGAAATAAATAATGTTTTTCCATTATCTTAGCTCGTATCCATTTCAAGTGAAATGAAACAAGGAGCAAGTGAAAGACAACTAGCGACAAGTGTACGTGTTGATAGATTATGCTTATGCCTAACCGAGATTGCAGCTATTAAAAATGTCTATGTTTAGAAAATTTAATTTTCTATTACAATGAAAGTATGGTAAAATACGTTCAAATTATAATAGCACAAGCAATTCATTACTGAGAATGGGGAAAACAACACAAATGCCTAGCCCAGTTTGACGTTTCATTTAAAAGAAGAAGAAGAAGAAGAAAAAAAAATAAATCATATATTTACCACTTAAAAGTGAGGCATTTTATTTGTCACTGCAGCCCTAGTTCAACACAAATATTTTTGCCAAAAAATTGGCTTTTGCACATCTTCCGCTGTATTCTATTATGCTAAATAGATCGTTTGTTTCTGTTTATTTCGTTTACATGCAAATTTCACTTGTTTTTTCTTTTTATTTGTGTGTAGCACTTTCAAAACATTTGTTGTTGTTGTATTTTTCTCAGTGGTCCAAACCGTTTGCACTATTTTGACAAAAATGTTCACAATGGTTTCGATTCCATAAATATCTCAAAATCTTTGATAATTAATCATTTAATGTTTTATTTCAATTGGTTGAAATTTTTTGCGTGGATAATTTCATTGTACACATCCGCAATGTATCAATGAAAACGCAACGTAATGAGAGAAAAAAGAAATCGAATTAAAATGAGAAAAAAAATGAAAAAAATAACACACAGAATAACACACACTCGATTGCTTGCATTAAGTCTTTTCGTCTGTTTTTTTTTTTGTGTATTTAACTGTCAGTGCGTACCGTCTTCGAATGTATTTGCCATACATCCATGTACATATACACTATTCTATGTATTGGGCTACATTGATTGACGTTCGTTTTGAACTTTCAAATGACTGCGTCTCTATCTTACTCACTTGCCACTCACCACCGCACCGAACTGGTTGAGCTGTGAATATAATGCTGTTTTCGACCAAAAAAAAAAATCGTGCGATGGCTTAGTCTTGAGTCTGCAACTTGAACGTAGCCTTGTTTTTCAGTACAAATTTTTTTGGTCAGCATTTCATTGGTATAGATGTATGCGCGCGTAAATCTGTATATGTGTAGATGGTGCGCTGGGCTGAACACATATATGAGCCACACTCAATGCGCCGTCTACTGCCATCAGCGAAGCTATTTAAAAAAAACTACTGTAGCTGAAATTTTCTCAAATTAATAAATATGAAGAGTTCAATATTTACAAGAAACCATTTTGAATAAATTGACCTTTTTTGAATGCTAATTTTTTTTTTGCCTAAAAATGTTTGGTACAAGAAAAAAACATTTGAAATTAAAAAATAATACGCATCTTTCCCTCTCCCACTGAACGCATCCCAATAAATTGAAATCCACATGATAAAACGTCTTTGCTACACACACACATTCATCAAATATTAAAACGTCAATTTGATTGAGTGTATGTGTATTTGTGCCTTCTGTACTATGTTTCGGTATTTTAATCGAATGCCTCTTTAAGAGTCTTTCTTATTTATCCGTGTTTATCTCGCTACTTTAAATTATAATACATGAATTTTTTTATGAAAAAATTCAGTTGAGTGTAGTCATCAAATCTATGGTAAAAAACGTTACATAATTTTATGTGAATTTAAAATTTAATTTTGACGTTTTAAAATGTTGTGTTGTCGTTTGTTCTGGTATTTAGTATTATTTTTATTTTATATTCGCAGAATGTTTATACATCGAATCCATCTAAATGCAAAATCAACAACCTGAGACAGACGATGCAAACAAGGATAAAAAAATGCTTCCCCGAATATGTCATTTGTTCCGTTTAAAATATGTGCTACTTGGATTGTTTGTTATATTTCTATTGGATTTTTTCGGTGCATTCACCCATATGTTCGAGAAGGATTTCCATGCATCTTTCGATTATCCATTGAACGATCCAAATATACCGCATTATGCAAAGCAATTGAGAAAAGCACAGAAACCCGATCTCAAACCAACAAATCTATATAATTATACGTATTTATCGAATTGCCGGCAAAAATGTCGCGATGAAGGTGATTCACTAATAGTCCCTAGACTCGTTATTATTGTTAAATCTGCAATGAATCATTTTAGTCGTCGCAATGCGATTCGTCAAAGTTGGGGCTTTGAAAAGCGTTTTTATGATGTAACAATTCGAACCGTATTCACACTTGGCATCACAAAACATGAGACGTTAGAGGATGAAAATTTACAAACAGCTATTGATAAAGAACGTGAGCAATATGATGACATTATTCAAGCCGATTTTATTGATTCGTATTTTAATAATACAATAAAAACAATGATGGGATTGAGATGGGCCATTGAATATTGTCCACGTAGTCGTTTCTTTATGTTTGTTGACGATGACTTTTATATTTCAACCAAAAATGTGCTACGATTTTTACGCAATCCTGTTAATTATCCTGAATATTTGGAAGATGCCGATGAAACGTTACGCAAATTAGCCAGACGCCTAAGTCAGTCAGATATGTTGATGAAAAATCAATCATTGGCAGATAATAAAAAAGAATTGATCGAAATTCAAGACGTTATTGATAAAAATGCAATACATACGATCGATGGAAAAAATCATATGAATAAAATCAAAGAATACTTAGCCAAAGCAGAGACGCTAACACAAAACGACCGAAAAGGTAGACAATTACTTGACACAGAATTACCATATGATGTGAGGTTATTTGCTGGATATGTATTTTCATCGAATCCGCATCGACACAAGTCCAGCAAATGGTATGTATCACTCGATTATTTTCGATTATTCACTAATTATTTTTTTTTAATTATTCGTTCTTTTCTTTTGTGATTTGCCCCGATCAGGTATGTATCACTTGATGAATATAAATGGCATAAATGGCCAACATATGTGACAGCCGGTTCATTCATACTATCACGAGAGGCGCTGATCGAAATTTACTATACCAGCATGTACACGAAACACTTTCGGTAATACATTGATCACCATTTTTATCGATTTAATTGTGTCGTAGAATAAAAATGTTGAATTTTCATTTCAGATTCGATGATATTTACTTAGGTATTGTTGCATTAAAAGCAAATATTGAACCATTGCATTCAGAGGAATTTTACTTTTACAAAGCAAATTACATTGGACCACAAAGTTACCGATATGTTATTGCCACCCATGGCTACGATGATCCTAATGAGATGCTTCGCGTATGGACGGAATTAAAAGCATCGGGTCATGCATAATATATTCACATTAATTTTATCACGAAATCATACACCGTAGATATACATCATGATAAAATCTGTGATTGATTTTTTTTTTTTTTTTGATATTCATTCCATATTCATTCATTCATTTCATAAAAAAAATCGACTGATAAAAAACGATTCTATTTCATGCCTTTTTTAATATCATTAATTATTCCAGTACTCATTAAATGCAGTTACTGTCATGTAACCAAATTGCTTTTTTACTATTTAATTAAAACATAAAACAGTTAAGTTTTAACTGACATTTACTGACACAAGTATTTTATTTAAGCTTAATTTGTCTTTGTTATAAATAAATAAGGCACTTATTATTGTTGGAATTCATCTATTGGAATAAATGATGAACTGAACGGAACAGTGACTGCATACATTTCATGAGAGATCAATTTTTTTGTTGATCGAGCTAGTTTCTCGTTTAATATAATTTAGTACAACATCACTTGTGTCCAATAACTGGAAATATAAAGGAAAAATTAAATAAACATTCGAGTGTGAAATTCGTTTGTTTGTGGACCTGTTTTAAATGCGTTTCAGTTTCGTCTAATTTTCGATTCAGATCGTCTCGTCGACTCTTCATTGCGTTCAGTTTTTCCATTTTCAAATTCAATCTTTCTTGCAACAAATCAAGTTCTTCGACCATCTATCGAATATACATGTATATGTATGTATATATATTCGAAAAAAAAAAAAAAAAAAACTATCAAAATGTAAAATTTAAGTTAAAAAAAATAAAGTAGTGAATAACCTTCGCTTGCTCCGACTCTCCGCAACGAATTGACTCATCCAATTTTTGTCGTTGGTTTTTAAAATTTTCAACATCTGTTCAAACACAATAAAAAACATTATTGAATCCATCCACACAAAAAAAAAGCAATAATCAATTTGATTATCTTTTTACATTTAACCAATTCCATGATGTTCGACTGAAGGTTTGCTCCATATTCAGACATTTTAAATGGGATTCGATTTTTTTTTGGCCGCGTTTCAACACTTTTGTTGAAGTTTTCCCAAACAGATCGATGCCAGTGAAAATAATTCAAATTTGACATTTTGATTTGTTTACAAATTTATTTTTGCCTCACTGTGAATTTTGAGTTTTCGTTTAATTCACCAATTTTCTAATAGATGTCATATTTCATTGAAATACCATCTCTGTATATAAAAATAAATTATTTGTGCTACATTTTGTTCATACAATTATTTAAAAAAAAATAGAATGGAAGACAATAAATGCATGTAAAAAAGATATAATGTAATCATCAAATTGTTTTAGTTCAATGAACAAAATAAACCGGTAGAGTCAATTTTTTGAAGACCTAAATTACGGTTTACAGATAGCGATGAACATGTGCGTTGACATTATACGCGCCTATACATTGTCAATTTTGAGCGTACACTACCACATGGATCGGCGGCAACGATCCAATAGGCTAAATTGTATTGGTACCAAGTAGTTGAGACTGTGGCTTTTGAAATAGTTTCAGTTCAATGGTTAAATCTCTTTCTTTGCAAAATCGGTTCATATTGTGTGCACACGGTTCCAGTCAACTCTAGGTAACTACAAACCATTTTTTAAATTAGAATTTCCATTCTTTTTATCTGTATTCAATAAATTTGTGCAATTTTTATCTCCGATTTATTGCGATTTAAAGCATATTCATTACTTATTTATGGAATTCGGTCAAATTGTATTGCGCATATTTGGATTTAAATTTTTTTTCGCAATTTTCGCAAGTAAATTCAAAGATTCTTTTTCTTATGAAGCCGTTTTTATATGTGGTTGCATATTATCGGTGCATCTTGTTTATGCAGCGCGCATTTTTTTTCTTACTTGTGTTTGCCGGAATCGAGTGTGAATTAGAATGAATTTGAAATTAATCGTTTTTTTTTCTATTAAGACTTAGAAATCTCTCCGAAACACGTGTTTATTAAATTTAAGAACGTATATAATCTGCGATGTGATGTGTGTATATGTATTTTCGGTCCAAGTGTTTCGCGGTTCTATTTGCCTCGTGTCGTTCTCCCATTTTTTTTTAAATTGCTTTCCGTAAAATTAAATTGCGTTTTTCTATTGTAGTGAATGAGATGGCTTGATAATAAGATATATAATATAAAATCATTTCCATTAACCGTTGTCAACAGAAGCAAAAAATACGCAGTTCTTCATTTTAATTTGTTCTGGCGCGCTCTTATTCCGTCTTTGTCTGTTTCTCTCTTTTGTTCACATTCTGTTTCCATTGTTGTTTCTTTCTTTGTCTCTGTCTCTTCTTGTGATGGTGGCGTTCACGTACAAAGCATGAAACAAACATATGAAAAACCGTGATAATTGTGTGTGTATCTTCTTTTTGCTTGTAAAACGTTTACGTATATGAGAATTAATACGACGAATTATTGCGCATTTCATAGCATACGTTGATACGAAATTCACAAAACTATAAACAAAATCCGATTTTGTTTTTCTTTCCCTAATTTTTCTATCGATTTCAATCTAAAATATGCAAGCATTGCATTTTAAACGATTTTTTTTAAATATGTCGCATTTTATGAATGTGATTTTCATATTTCATCGCCTTTTTATTGATCACATTTAAAATATATGAATTTATTCTACATTGAAACAGAAGCAACAGAGGATCAATCGAAGTTAAATATAATACAACGAAATATATACGTTCATAACCAAAAAAATGACCGATAAAGCCCCAGCCGATTCGACTGCATTGGAAATGCACGAAAATCACGATGACAGCGATGTTGTCGAAACAAATTCATTGAATGCTCAATATCTTTTGAATTCGCCAGCATATATGTCATCTGCGGTGCGTCGTCAATTGCTCCAAGAAATGGTCAAAGGTTTGCCTGTCAACGTACAGAAACGCATCAATGCACTTCGCAATGTTGAACTCGAGCGTCTAGAACTTGAAGCTAAATTCTATGAAGAGGTAACATTTTGATTCGAACCAGTCAAAACGGATTATTTTTAATTTAATTCAATTATTAAAAATAATATTTGTTTTAATCGTTTAATAACAGGTCTACGCTTTAGAGCGAAAATATCAAGAACTTTATCAGCCATTGCATGACAAAAGAAAGAACATTGTCACTGGCGAAGTTGAGCCAACTGGCAAAGACACCGAATGGAATTACGAAGCCAATGACGAAGATGTCACACCTGAAGTACAAACAATTACAAACGAATTGCGGAAAAATTTGCAGCTAAATTACCAAGATGATGTGAAGGGTGTGCCAGATTTCTGGTTGACAATTTTCCGTAATACAGAAATGTTATCGTCGATGCTTCAGGCACCGGATGAGCCGGCTCTTAAAAAATTGATCGACATTAAAATCATTTACGAACAAGAACCAATGTCGTACACACTTGAATTCCATTTCGAGCCAAATGAATATTTTACAAATACGGTGCTAACGAAACAATATTTCCTCAAATCGAAAGTCGACACCGAATATCCGTTCACATTTGAAGGTCCCGAAATTTATAAATGTGTCGGTTGCAACATTGAATGGCAAAAAGGTAAAAACTTGACAGTTAAAACCATCAAGCGGAAGCAAAAGCATAAGGCTCGTGGAGCTGTGCGCACAGTCACCAAACAAGTGCCGGCTGATTCATTCTTCAATTTCTTCAAACCACCACAAATTCAAGACGAAAGCAAAATTGATCTCGAAGACCAAGCTGTAAGTATCAAAGAAATGAAATCAAGCCGATTAAATATGAATAGGCCAGTGTAATACATATTTGTTTTGCTTTTGATTTCAGATTTTGAGCACTGACTTCGAAATCGGCCACTTTTTGCGTGCACGAGTTATTCCAAAAGCTGCCCTCTATTATACAGGGGATATAGTCGAAGACGACGATGATGATGACTATGATGAAGGTATTGTTTTTTTTTTCTTTTTTAATTTTTAAACAACAAGATTTTTAATATAAATATTTTCTCGTTTGCCATTTCAGAAGAGGAAGAAGAGGAAGAAGAAGGTGATGAAGAAGATGACGAAGAATCAGAATCGGATCAAGAAAGTCGGCCAGCTGGAAAGCAGCAACAACGTGGTCACGGCGCTGCCAATAAGAAAAAAGGCGGTGCTGGTGCCGGCGGTGCCAATCAAACTCCAGCCGAATGCAAACAACAATAAGAGGGGAAATCAAACAAAACCATACAAAATCTATCTGCCAACATTACACACATTGAAAGTGATTTTTATTTCGTTTTGATTTGAAGTTTTCTCTTAATTACCCCTTTTCACACTCAAAACACATACACACATAAAAATATTGTCTTATGGACTTTTGTTTTTGTTTATCTATAAAATGCATTAAAACAACAATTCCAATCCAAATTACGACTAAGCCATCAAATTTTAACTAAAATTCAATGTTCGAACGAGACGTCATTCATCAAGATGGTCACCTTTACTTTTAAACAAAATTTATTCAAATAAAATGATGGAATCAATTTATAACTAACGAATAAAATGTGTTTCAATTGATTTTAAAATCGGTGCCATGTATGGTGTATATATGTTCTTTTAATGTGAATAAGGAAAACGGAACGCACCCGTGTATCTCCTGTAACTGTCACAATAAACTTGCTCATAAATTACAATACAAATAAAACGAAAGAAAAAACATGTCGCATTATATTCATGACACTAGTGTTTTCATTTAATCAACATTCAATATCACATGCAATCCGATCCATTTGAATTAAATGTTGAATTACAAAATCGATGTACCTACAAACATCATCTTTCGTTTTCTTGAAATAAAATTCTTGCTGTGAATTGTTTGGTCAGCGAATATAAATTGATTGTGAATTAATAGATTTTCAAAATATAAAGAAAAAGTTGACAAATGAGCGGAGCACAAATTCTTGATGAGTTTTTGTGATAAAATTCGATGGAAACAAATTCAATAAATGCTATCTTGGGTACGTGATAAATTGGCAGAAGGTCGTTTACGATGGCAACAAGGTTTACAGCATCAACAGCAACGAAACAGTATATCCCCGCCACCACTTCCACCTCCGAATGCAATCGATTCACCACCAGTTTCAACACCAAGCGAAAATCCAAATGATTCAGACGAAAATAGCCATCATTTGAGTCAACAGCCAGTCGTTCAAATCAGTGCTTCGCGTCCAAATGCTAGTCTAACTCTTCAGTTGCAGGAGTGCACACTTGACACCATCAAACCAAATGGAAGCAATAAAAAGCGTTTGTCACACATCTCAAGAGGTGATCAAGGGTATGTCATACACAAAATTACTTTAGGCATTGTTAATTGACTTCATTTGTGTTCTTTGTTTTTCTTCTTTCTATCATATGTAGAATTGGACGTGGATTTTGTTCAAGTCAATATGAATTAACGTCCATTTGCATTAATCGTCGATCAAACGATTTAACTGTGCCAACCGTTAATCTGCGAATATTCAATTGTACTGGTTCAAAATGTACGATTTGTGCACCGGTCAGTTTAACATTTACTGATATTAAGCGAAAAGTGGTTGCTGAATTTTATGCCAGGCGTCAGCTATTTTTAACGCCATGTCTCACAAAATCTGATTGTATGCCGAGCAGTAGTAGTAGCAGCAGCAACCCACGCAATCGAATTGAGGAACAAAAAATGAGCTGTGATAATTTAGACTTAGTTCAACTCTCTCGACACTATAAATTAGCGCGAATTAGTAAGCTACATGAGAATTTTGATGAGCATTCATCTTTGGCCACAGCAAATGTACAAAATAATGAAGAAATGCTGTTAATCTTATGTTCTAACAATACAACTAAAGATATACCAGCATTAGCCACGAACGATAAGCAATCGACTGAAAATTCGGACATAAATGTGATTAAACATAAATTGAATTATGACAGTGAGTGTGATAGTGAGGACGATGATGCAGTAAACAGCACACGATCAACAACGCAAGAAGAAATCGATATGGCTACGGCACATTTGCAACGGAAATGTGTACGAGAACCAAATGTTGTCAATATTGATGAGTTGGTGTTACAGAGCGACGTTCAGTATGATATTCGAAAAATTTTGATTTCTTTAGCAAATTCATGTGCCTATGTTATTGGAGCTGGCCCATACGGAACGCGAATCATAAGCATGTTAAAGCAAAGACTTGTACAACGAAAAAAACACGAACAAGATACACAACAATGTCTCATCGAAATGGGCTTCTCGGGACCAAAGGTCCAATATGCACTCAACATTAACAAGTATGTTGTCGAAATGTAAAGATTTAATTGATCCGTTTAAATTTGAATATAAAATTATTTAAATTATAATTATAATTATTAGCAATGTTTATGCAGCCGCCCTGGAATGGTTAATCGAAAATCAAAGTCCAACAAATCCATTGCTAAGCACCGATGAAACATCAACCATGAACTTATCATCAAAATTTACGAATAATGCATCCATAAAAGATAACATTGAATCTTTATTAGAAATTATTCGTATTTATTGCCAGCGTGACCTTCCTCCGCCAGCCGAAATGATTCAATTCATTGTTGGAATGGGTTTTGATGAGGCAACCGCATATGAGGCGCTCAAAATTACGAAAAACCATCAATCGAATGCATGCGAATGGCTTGTCGGCGACCGCAGTAAAATCCATCAATTTGAACAAATCGATGGTCTTCCAACTGATTCACCAATTTTAGCCGCTCTATTGACCTCACCACACATTCAACTAAGCCTATCGAATCCGAAAATTTTTATCGGTAAGACAAACAATCCTAATTGAATTTACAATTAACAAATACATATTTTTTTTTTAATGAAAATTATTTCATTCTATTGAAATAGCATATTTATCGATACTTGAAGATTATGGTTCAATGAGCATATGGATGAATGACATGGAAACATCTACAGTCATTGGGCAGTTGCTTAGAATCTATCACGAGGAAAAGCATATTATGGCAATTAATCAATTTTCACAAAAATAGCATCTACATTTTTTTTTAACCCTTAAGGTCCATTTTCCAAGGCGGCGATTACAATCGTGTACGATTTCAAATCGTTGGCCAAAATCGGTAACGATTGAGATCAATGGTTTTTTTGACGCCAAAATCGTGAACGATTTATTATTTGTGGTTTTTTGACGCCCGATTTGAAAAAAAAATCGTGGACGATTGCAATCGTCGCCTTGGAAAATGCATCGAATGTAAAAGCAACGATATCCAAAGAACACAATACAACCAAAACAAAGCATTATTTAGCAATGTGATCTGCACTGGAACAATTAAAAAAAAATGAAAACGATACTAGTCGATTATGCACTTAACCGCTCAGTTCAACTATTAACTATTTTGTCATTATTTCATCAATATTATTCTCCTGATGGACAAGCAACGCTTCTGAGCATATTCAGGATTACAAAACAGAGAGTAAAATGTAGTTGCGTTGAGAATGTAATTCTAACTGATGTGGCTTGCATATTTTAATCTGTTTAGAGTTATAATTCTAGATAATTTATTTGTAGCATGGTATATTTATAATTGCAAATTGAGAATAATTTTATTGTTAAGAAAGTGTATTCAAACAAAATTAAGTACGTAAGATTTGGCAAAGAAGTAGGCAAAAAAATTGTAAGAATTTAATCACTATAAGTCGAATAAATTCGGTTACATGTGACTGATTGTTAGTCACTTTTTCGGCACATGAGCAAATGACATAATCTAGAGAAGGCGGTTATCGCGAATACTTTAATGCTTTAATGTTCTTTTTTCGATTGATAATGACTGAGAAGAATAAAATCAGAAAACAAAAGAAAATAGTAGATTGATTCGATTTTTTTTTTGTAGATTTTATCATGATCATGAATGTAGAAAATGAAAATGTACCTTTAAGCCAATATTGTATTTTAGAATAAACATATTATTGTAAATACAAATAAAACTGGCATTAAAAAATATCACATTCGACTTTTTAATATATGCGACCAAATATGCTGAAACGTTATCTATGAAATATATCAGCAAAAATAAAAATTTGCGATCTGTGTTGTAATTGTTGTCAACGCTGAATTTTGAATAGTTTGACAGTTCGGTTAACGATAAAGAAAAAATAAAACAGTTTCGGTTTGACGTATCATTGAATGTGTACAGCATTAGTCAACTAATTCAACCGAATTTAAGATGATAATATATAATTTAAGCAGAAGAAAACTAAAAATTGAGTGACCAATCTGTATTTAATAGAATAAAACAATAAGAATTAACAAAATTAACATGTCAAACAAATCAACGTTTGCAATTGGTAGTCATACGAAGACGTAGATACCACTAAAATTCGTTTTTTGAACCAATATTTTTAATGTTTCAGGTGAATTAGTTCTATGTCAATATGGTGAAGCGTGGTACGAAGCCAGAATATTGCAAATTATCGATAATAAAAACACCAATTATTTAGTGCATTACATTGGGTCACATGTAAGGTAATCGAATATTGTGTTGTTTTTTTTTTTTTATGAATCAAATATTGATGATTTTATTAACATTTGAAAGGTTATGTGTGTGTTTGTGTTTGTAAATGTTCTATCATTAAATTCATATTCTAACTTCCCAATCAGATATGACGAATGGGTCACTGAAGACAGTCTACACAAATTGATGGATAACACAAATGATCAAAATGGAGTTGAGCTCATATTTGAAGAAGGTGATGACACTTTTCGCAAAAATTATCACCCATATGAATTAAAATATGAACTTTTACGGTTTTTTTTAGGTAGTCAGGTTTTTTGTCAATACAAAAAATTACTATACCCAGCCAAAATATTAAAAAGTCGAATACGTGCTGAAGATGAACAAACTCGATACTTTGTACATTATATGGGATGGAATAAAAAGTAAGTATACTATCCACTGGCGCCAAAAATTGTTCATCCCTGATTTCCAAACAAAGGCGAAAAAAGTGATGACACAATAGTTGTAGTACGGAGGAAAGTCAATAACTGACATTATTTTCTCCAGGTGGGATGAATGGGTGGCAGGAGACCGCCTTCTTCAGCCAGTGGATTCGGATGTACAACAGGAATTGATGTTTTCTGATGGTGAGGATTTTTTTATGGCTTTTTTCTCTTTTGGTCATAGTTAGTTTTCAATCAGAGGCTGTTTCTTTGGGTAGAAGGAATGGTGCAGAGGTGAATTAAAGGGAAGACAATTCCTCCTCAACATCATACCTCATCAGAGAAACAATCCCAGTTTTCAATTTATCATTGTTATTAAAAATAAAAATAGGTGAAAAAGTGTTGTGCGATGAAGATGATTTACTGTACAAAGCAATTGTTTTGAAAGGATGTCAATTCAAAGGCATTAATAATCATATACAAAGTAGATACCTCATACATTATGATGGTTGGAGTGATGCGTAAGTCTTGTCCGAACCAAAGCGTTATAAATAAATAAATAAATTCTTTCTCATTTTTCTATACTCAGATTGGATGAGTGGGTCACGCAGGATCGCCTATACAAATTAAATGATCGTATGAATAAAGCTTCATAAATTCTTGTCTATTAAAAACATGAGAAAATTTATATTTTTGATATTAACATTTTTCGTAAAAAACAACACAAATTCAATCTATAAAATCTTTATTTGATTTGAAAATAAATTGTATCGTTATTGGGTTTCTTTTGTTAATTTTTGAATATAAAATATTCGTACATAGAAAGCTGTGAATAGCTATTTATATTTGATACAATTATAATAAAATATATTATAAAGAATTTAAGCATTTACAAATCATTTCAATTCATGATATTACGAACATATATTTAGATTCAGAGAAAATAACAAAAAAAAAAAATTTATGAATCTGAGTAATTTGTAGGAATAATGAATGTGTTTACATTCAAAGCTCTTCCCGGATGTAATCTCTGTAGTAAAGCTGGACACACAGTAATCTAAACGACCACTTAAAGAAATATATGAAAATTACGTTCGAAAATACAGTGCCGTCAGAAAGTTTGAGACCAAGCAAAAAAATGTCATACAATTTCATACAAATTGACGATTTTTTGGAGCAATATTTAATATATTTCAGAAAGAGCTAGACTCATAGTTTTTTGCACACTTATTGTTCTATTTACGGAGAGTAGGGGAGAGTCACGTAGGTTGGGCCGAGTTTTGTTTTTTGGCCAAATTTTTTTACTCAAAATAAAAATAACGTATAGTTATATACCGTCGGAAAGGTATTGTTCCGGGCTACAAATTTGTCGAAGAGAGTAATTGATTGCTTCGGAAACAAAAAAGTTATGATCAAATTTCTGAACACATGATTTTCGGCCCCCAAAAAATTTGTCACGTAGGTTGGGCCAGTATCCGATATTGAGAAGAAGTTGGAAAAAATGAAGTGTAAATGCCAGATTTCAAGTGTTTAAGGTTGATTTATTTACAACAAAGGCTTTCACCATGAAAATATAATGAAAAAATATCAAATATTCATTGTTTTCCTTCAGAACTAACATCGGCATCTGAGTCGCAATTTTTGCACGTGAAATAACTTTGTGTCATGTGGACGCACTTCAAATGGAATGGCCATTGACACTTGTTTGCACTCGATGGAGTTGTGTTTGGTCAATTTGGCTGGCAAATTCTGCAATCTGCATGCAGATCATGCAGAAATCCACGTCTTCATCTGACGACGACGATTTCCTCTTTGAGGCGGCGGCTCGTGCGGGCTATATTTGATTTTTTATTGACTCTTTTTGCGGTGTGCCTACTTCCTTCTTCTTTTTCATAGCATCTCTCTTATGCCGTCTATCTTTGAGGTAGGCAACTGATTCTGGTGAGGTGAGAACAGTGCTTTTGGATTTCGGTGTGTTTCGATGAGCTTCTAGAACATTCCATTTGGCTTTCCTCGAAATTTCTAGAACATTCTATGGATTTCTCTGTGAAAAACATAGCATCCTATAGTGGCGCAACCTACGTGAGTCAAAATGGCCCAACTTACGTACCTCGGCACCATTTTGACATGACGTGATATTTTTTTTTCTACACAAGATATGTTCGAAATTCCTTCGAAATATAAAAATAGAGGATAAACTATAGAGAGAATGTTATATTCACCCTTTTCTGTCGTTGCAAAATGTACACCTTTTTCACTTTTTGAAAATTCTCGAAATCACTTTTTTAAAAGAAAATTTTTATATGTTCTGGCTCAAATACAAGGAGTGCTAGTTAGCACGTCCGTTTATTATGAAAAGCGTTGCCAATTGCCATATGTCAAAATATCATACTGGCTCAACTTTCGTGACGGCTCAACCTACGTGATTCTCCCCTAAACTAGTGAAGTTTTACCAAAAAATATCTACGCGTTTAAAAAATATCCTATGTTTGCACTTTCAAGTGTGAAAAAGGAATATTTTTCATACAAAATGTGTCATTTTTCACAATTGAAAGTGCAAACCTCGGATAATTTTAAAACGCGTAGATACTTTTTGGTAAAACTTCACAAGTTTACTCTCCGTAAATAAAATAATAAGTGTACAAAAAATTATGGGTCTAGCTATTCCCGAAATATATTAAATATTGCTCCAAAAAATCGTCAATTTGTATGAAATTGTATGAAAAAAATGAGCTTGGTCTCAAAATTTTCTGACGGCACTGTATATATGTATATTTATTAACAAAACAATACCAGAACTTTTGACGATTTTACTTTTGTAAATGAACAAGCCGAATTATTGTTTAGTATTCTAAATCGTCTGAGTTAAGGCCGGCCATGGATAGAACTTTAACCGAACTTTCATCACGAAAAATGTTTGGTGCCTCGCAACTTGTATCTGATGTAGAACATGTCTGGCAATTACAACCATTAGCTTCCAAGTATTCATAACGGGTAGTTTCTGGATGGGCGCCAAAATCACAATGACGTAGCGTTGCCACGGCTTTTGAACGACCCGCATGCACACAAACCGGATGATATGATTTTTTATATGGAAATTTCCAATCAGAAATCTCACGTGAATCACAACGACCCCAACAAGACCAAACGCTTACATCATCCCAACATTTGCGTCCTATTCAATAAATTACAAAATTTGAACAATAAAAATCCAAAAAGAAAAACAACTGGTAATTTTTCACCATTTTTATCGGCTTGTGTTATGCGATATGTATACAAACGCCTGTGGCAACCTAAGATTAAACGATAATTGAACGGAGATAAAAAAAAGCAATCACATTGATTCAAAATTTGATTTTATTTACACCATTTTTTACCTAAAGTAGGTGGTGATGCTGATTGTACCATTGCTCCTTGTACGGCTGTTGAAATATCCGCTTCACCAAAACCCAGAATCATGTTAAACGTTACACTTAACCAAATGATTAAAAAAATCCGCGGCTGCCTATTATTTGTCGAAAATAAAAAGAGAGCACTAAAAATGGTCCAAAAAATATTTTAAACGTCGTTGAAATTCACCTGATTGCTTCGTATGAATTCATTTTTTGTTTTAGATATATAAATGTGGGTTTGTTTTAGAATTATAAATAAACACAATGAAATGATGTTGTAAAATAGTTTTTTTTTTCGCTGATTCTATGCCGTTATCACAAATATTTCTATTTAATAACACTGAAGAAATTCGATAAGCTCATTACACAATGGAAAAGAGTATTCTACTGAACAGAAACACAAGTTAACATGTAATAATGAAGAAAACTAGAATTGATCTCCTTTTTATTCCTATGTCAACCCTTTTTCCACTTTTCATTCGCTTGCGCTATACCATAAAGGCGTTCACAATTTGTTTCATTTGGCTCACTCCACAACAAAAATTGAATACACATTGGACAGCACATCTGAAAGGAAATATTTTAATAAATTATGAATCTGTGTGGCATGAACTCAACAATCCAAGAAACAGATTCCGATGAGATCCAAAATACCAATTTAATTTCATAACGCACAAAACTGTTGTTTATTCGTGCATTCCACAGAGAATTGTGTCCACGCAGTTTCACTCGGAAAATATTGAATGGAAATATTGTCCAGTGAACTTAAAACACATTGTGATCCATTTTTTTTTAATATAACGACATATTCGAATTGAATTGCTTTGACGGATTACTAATTTATTTACAATGTGCAAATATTCGTTATTTTCGAAATATGATAATCTAATTTGACGCAAAAAAAGAAATGCATACAAAACACATAAAATTAAAATGTCTATAAAGCATTTATTTTACATAATAGACGACAAAAGATGATGTTTAATCTTCTTAATCACCATTTTTAATCCATTTGAATAGTTTAAACGTTTGAATTTATCCGCATCGCCCTGTATTCAATCGGCTACAAAAAGAATCTATTTATATTATGCAAACATGTCATAAAATGCATTATAATCGAAATAAATTCAAAAAAAATGTTCATGTTTTATTCGCTTTTTTCTTCACATTTCGACGCAGACTATCAAAAACAAAGGATTTTATGGATATTTAAAGCGTTTTAAGACAGTTTAATTTTAGATTGTCTGTTTATTTCGAATAAATAATATCCACAGAAATCTAATGACGTTCTAAATGAATAACGAAAAATTTGGCGATAGTAAAAAAGGGTTGGGAAATATTCGAAATGACATTCACAATCAATAAATTCTTTTATTTTGATGACCTTTGCTCGTTAGTTTTGTGCTTTGTTGAAAATGTTTATAGTGAAATAGAACAATTTTACAAATCAATTCCGTATTTGAATTCATAAGATACCAACAATTATTCATATTGTAAGTATGTTTGGTATATTCCATACTTTCATCGAAAAGCAAAGTAGACTTGTCCACGAAATATTCAAAAAAGGAATTAAAATATTCGTTCGGAAAAAAATATTTGTCGAGAAATCATCTGGCATTCAAAAAGTCGAGATTCTATGATAATTACCTTGGTCCGTATTGCTTCATGAAATGAAAAACAAAGAATAATAAAAACTAAAGACAATTGGTTATTTATCGCCCACGAAAAAAAAGACATCTTATATTTCTGTGTTAATAATTTTTCATCGGAATAACATTGTTTTCATACAAATATATATATTTTTAAAATATTGGTTTTATTCAAAATCTAAAACTGTAGTTGCACACAATCTCAAAATACAAATATTAAAATACATAAAAATACAAACATGATGACTGAATTGAAATGGTTTGGTCTAAAATGTATGAAAAATGAGCTAATCTTTTTTGCAATGATAGCATGAGCATTTTGTGGCTGATTTGAATGTTACATTTCTTGCACCTCCGACACAGCTCAGCATAACGTTTACGTCTTCCGTTTCCATAATGTTACAACATTGACCAACCGATGTAACTGGCTTTGGAATTTTGAATCCGTTTGCATACGGTGCCGATGGAACGGCATAAGACTCACAATATCCACGACACGCATTCGTATTTATTGAAAACTGTACACAATCTGGAATTTCAATCGTTCTAGTATGGCCTGTGAATATCAATACCACTCAATATCATAATCACAGTCAATGAATTTAAAATTGTTTAAATATTTGGCGCATTTGATGTGAATAGATGTTACATACCTACTTTGTGGCATCCAGGACGTTGCCATACAATATCCTTTGAAATAACTAATGTCGCGCAAATGGCAATAATGATAATACCGATCCATGCCATTTTTATTTAGATCAAATGTGAATCAACTGACACAACTATTACATCAAAATATGAGCGGTATGGATTTTGAATCGCGATTATTGTAACAGCTTTTTGGTGAATTTTTTTTTACTCTTTTTAGTTAGTTGTTTTTCGTAGCACTCAAGAACTAGGAATGAACATCAATGCGAACTTTTCATTCCTTTTAAATGAATCACATTCCAACTTACGGCCGTTCTACATTCGTATGAAGTCGTAGTATGCGTGCGCAATCAGATACGGTTTTGAAATCATTTAAATTGAAACTTCAGAAATTCAATATATCCTTCAAAACAATTCATATCTATAATAGAAAATTGATTACATCGTAGAATTAATCGAGCATCCTCAACAAATATTCAGATTCTTGTACGTAATAATATCAAGAACAAAGACAAAACGCAACCAAAAACTTCAATTTTGTTATATTTATTAAAGAAAAGTAAAAAGAAACTTACTTCCGTAAGTCTAATTTCTCCGCACTGTTACCAAATTTCCTTCTTTACCGAACGAATTTTTACTTCCCAAAAGATATCGAACATACATTGGTAATGTAGTACTAATTCAATAACTAACAAATTCTAATTTCTGAGAGCAGTAAAGTGTTTTGGCCAATTAATGCCTGTATGATATTGTAATGACGTGAAACTTTGCACGGGCTATTTTTTAAAGCATACATTTTGGAAAGAAATTCGATCAATTTCGAATCAACAAAATTCCCCAAAAATATGATTTAGTCACCGTGAAAACTTGTGAATCTTATTTTCGTGCTAAAATACATAATCTCACCAAATCTGAAAAAATTTCAGGTTGATGAATTTTAATTTTTAAACGACAACGAAGATCTTCGAGTTACAACTTATAGAATAAATGTAGAAAAGTCATATTTTATTCGTTATGATATAATTAATAATAATAATTATAATTATAGGATTTCACTGCACAAAATGCAACAAGTGTTATAAGACACGTAAAATTTCTTTTAATTCAAATTAATAATTTGTACTCACGTCTATATGAATACATTGAAATTTACGTTTTAAAGAATCACCTATCTTGAATTTTGAGGCCTATATTCTGACCTCATTCCCTTCCGAGAAATTTCTTAAATGGTAAAGATATCTTCTTTGTTAGCATTATCGACAATGATTGATATTGATTAACATATGTTTGGAAATATTTGAGTTAATTCGTTCAGCAATTTTTTGATGGTTCATTTTTGTATTCACACAGTTCCAATGTATTCCAATCATAGTTGATGACGAGGGTTCCTAGGGTTCGGATTACCCCCCTCTAAAATATGTTTAGGAACCCTCAACAATTTTGGAAATAAGGACCTTTTTTTGCTCTTCACTTTTTTTTTGGGCCGAGAAAATTCTTTCGACTTGCTAGGGTTTTTCGTCAAAAAAGTGAAGAGCAAAAAAAACGATTTTATTCTCATTTCCGACAAATTTTTGACTTCGTCAGGGACCCCCTACGGAATTTTGCCATCCCCTAAAAAATGTTACGTCATCATCTATGCATTCCAATTTGGGGATTTTTATTTTATTTTTTATTACGCAATGTTTAAGCAATTAATGTCTTCAATTTCAAATGTATTGACTGTTTTAAAGCGATACCGTTCATTGTATTCAATGATGTAAGCTTATTTTGAAAATTGAAAAACAATTGGGTTTTGTGAAAAAATACGTAATCTGTTGACTCACTTGCCTGTTGCCTGTAAAGTCAATGTAAAGAAGATAAAACACGACGCATATACCTTTGATGTTGTTAATCTTGTTATTTGCTATATGAAAAAAGTTTCGAAATTATTTTCTTTTCATTTTAATTGATTTTATTCAAAATTGTTTTAAATTTTTACATTTTTTTTTTCGGTTATATCAAAATATTTTTATTCACGATTTTTTTAAACAAAAATGATTTACTTCAATGTAAAAAAAAATGAAATGAAAATGCCGTAGAGCCTCTACGAATGTAAACGCTTTTATAACGAGACCCCAACGAATATGAATAATAAAACATTCTTAAATATGTTTAGTTTTTTTTCCTGTGTGGACGAAAAACACAAATAAACAACACTGAAAAGTCTTGAATTTTGTTTATAAAATTTGAATTTGATTTGTTTGTGAATTTAGTCTCAATATTGAATATACAAAAGAAAGTATTTGATTTAGTTTTAACAACAATTAGTTAAATCTAATACAAAAGTATTCAATTTTATCAAGAAATTGTTATGCCGGAACAAAAGTAAAAATTAGAAAACAAATGTAAAATTTGTTATTTTGAATTGTTTTTATGATGTATATACTATATACTTTCTTTCTTTATATTTATAATTCGGTAATTTTATTTTTTGTGTTTTGATTGATTTTGTTTTTTCATCTATATATGTATATAGATTGTATATATAAATCGATTGCCTAATTGAACCATTTAATAAGTGCATATATGCATATAAATGAAATATGCAGGATGGACACATTCTTCATCGTAAATTTGTGTTCTAATCAAACATTGGCACACATGCTCTCTCAAACATACATATCATATTCACACACAGATTCATTAACATTTAAACCATTTAAAACATCATTCGTAGCATTTTCTTCTGTTATTATATTCGGTAGCATTGTTTATTTGTTGTTTTTATTTCAGTTTTTTCAATTCATGGTGTCGGCCCGAGTTTGCATTTTGATCAGCTTCCGGTAAGTCGCTTTCCTTTTTTCGGTCTTTCTTTGATTTTTCACCGCTTGTTGTTGTCTTGGCATTGGTTGCAGCATTACGTTTTCTTAATAAATTCTTTTCGACTAATTTTTCACTTTTGGCGCGTAAAATATTGTTGAAAAATTGGAATATTAAAAATCCTTGCAATCCCATAACAGCGGTTAGTGCGAACGTCGTTTTAGCGCTGCTTTCGATGCCATAGTATAATGTGAATAGAGCCAATAGCGTTGAACCGAAACGTGTTACAATGAAAATTGAATGGTTGATATAGTGTAATTTGGTGAGCTTTTCATCACGATCAAAAATGTCGATCAATTGGAAAATGTGCGATACTACTTCATTAGCATAATGCAGAGTGAGCAATGCTAATGCAATACGTTGGAAACCCATGAAATAGGCGAGAGCAATGAATGAAAAACTACAAATTGCATGAATGATTTTTGATTGTTGATCTTCTTTTTTCACTTTTTGCAAATAAAGTTCAGGCAACATGTGGAAATAGTAGGCCAATTGAATGATGAAGAATAATTTGTGGAGGAAAATCATTGGATGCTCTGGAAATTGATCCCATAATAATGACAATTGGCTAAAATATCCTTCGCGTATAATGACATCCAGTCCCCATACGCACGAAATCAAATAGAACACCAACAACTGACATGAGTCATTGAATCGAGCCAGTTTAAACTTTGATAAATGCAATTTCTTTGAAATTTTCTGCAAAATAAAAAAAATACAATTTTATCACCATATTATTGAAAGCCATTGACTGTTAGACGATATGGGATTTACCTCAATCAAATATTCCTGCAATAGCGCGTGCATTATAATACAAATTAATGTATAAAAGAAAACACAACACCAATCCTTCCATCCTGATTCATAAGAAAATGGTAATCCTCTGAACCAGACATGAAAAGAGAAGAAAATATCGTTGAAAAGTCATTTTGAGGAAGAAAATCATTTTTATAATAGTTTACCTGGGATTTTCATGGCTTGGTTCCGCTCCCGTTACATTATGGTGCAATGCAACAAAAATGCTGGCCATTGGAGCAGTTGCCTTTGAATAAAAAAATAAATCAACATTTCTTGATTAATGATTTTTCTTCAGAATTTTAAAATTGAAAAATTGTTGACCTCACAATTATTGTGAGCGAAACAATTCCCACAAGAGTTTCGTATCATTTCAGAGGGAATTTAAAAGCATTGGTTTTTCTTATGATAAAAAGAAATGTAATTTAAACTACCGGTTTTCCAGTGTCAGTGAACGAAGACGGTAGCATGCGTTTCGAAGTGTCGTCATAAGCAATCATTAGTCAATACGTCAGCACAATGGTGAAGACGCACAGACGCGACACGTAAAAGTCGCTTTCGTATTCATTTTAAGAAAGACATCACACCAACAACGACATACAGACAAACATTCACTTGATGCGTGTAGATGCGTGTACTGTGTGCTGCTGTCATAGTTGGTGATCGCAAAACTACATATAATAAGGTTATGTTTAAACGTGGCATAAAAACCACTACTATTTACGTAGGAACAACCGCTATATGTTGAATACAAAAAGAAAGAAAGAAAAAGAAAAAAATCGCAATTCGAATGATATTCTTTTCGCTTTCGTCGCATTGGTTCTGTTATAAAAATGAAATTATTATATGTATATATTGATGCATTTGGTTGCCACTGTCGCCGATGTGGAAATTCCATTTTCACTACGATGAGCACACTTGGTGATGTAAACACATTTCAGATGCCAAATATGAATTTGTTGGCAAAATGAAAAATCGTACAAGGAAAAGAGAGACACCGATAATGAATGAACACAGCTTATAGTGGCAGCAACGGCGGAACCAAATGCATAGCCGTGTATCTACCAATTTGACAATTGTATACGTATTCAAAGCTGACGTGTAGCATTTGTTGTATGGAATGATGTACATGATCGACTTTGATACGAATTTTTGAACGAATTTATATCGAAATCGCGCTCCAACACCCAACGATCTTTTCCATTCCAAATTGATACGATTGAAATTATTTTTCGATTTGTGGTTGAAATTTACAATTCATCAATCAACATTTTACATTATTTGGTAAACAACAACTGCAATTTAGATAATGAATAATGATAGTACTTACAGGTAACATAAGTCCCACGACAAAAACCATTGCTACACAGGATACTATATCCGCATGATTCTGTATCACAAATTCATGGCTAAAAAACGGTGGATTTTTATTTGATGATTTTCTAGCTATGCCGGGTTTGATTGCCATCACTAATTATGCTAAATATTATGGAAATATCGGGAAAGAACAGGAATGCACGTACACCTTATTCTACAGCTAATCACGTTTTAATTTTATTGTAACACGGTTGGCCTGAAATAAGATCCAAAACAACTGTTTTAGTGACAATGTATTCTTGAACGAAAGAAGAAAAAAAAATAAATTGAAATAAAACACACACAAACACTCCCTTCGAACTCACAACGAATACAATCGAATGAACAATGTGAGATCGATTCGGTTTTATTGATTATATTAAAATATCTATCACATTCAAACTTTTAAAGAGAATAATTTGGATGGGAAAATGTAATGCTTGCCAAAAGACCGAATAAATGCGGACGGTATTGGAATTGGAAAGTGAACTAATTTAAATAAATACAAATTAATATATACTGACCGTCACACAAATATAAAGCAAAACGAGCTTCTAATTACTTTTCTCGTGTAAATTGCGAAAAAAATAAACAACCAACAAAACTTAAAAATTTTGAACTGAATTTAAAATAAAAAAACATCTATTTTGTTTAAATAGCTAAAGCCAACACACTGATACCAAGTACCGCACACTTAATTACATACATACACACTCACTCACTTTACACAGGCATTTCTCTGTTGATCTTTCTTTTCTATATCTGGCTCTCTCCCACAACTAGCTGTGATGCTTTCGTTATCGTACACAAGCGTTTACGAACGCCCGCCGTCACTGTCGCCGCCACCACCGCATTGACATTTTCGGTGAAACGTGTGTAACGGTGCCCCGAAGTTGGCTGCGTTTCCCAACTATCACTGCTGCTGCGCTCTGCAAAATATTTCTGTCACAATATATGAAGCATCAGTAAAAGTTAACCATTATAACTCATCGCATCACATCTCATCACATCACGTTTGCCGCTCAAATAACGTTAAAATGTCTGGAGCTTAAAGACTCAATATGGTTGTTTTTTCTTTATTTAGAAAATAAAAGTTAAAATTTTAAATATTTTATTATTTCTTCAGAGTTCAACGGACACCGACAGCGAAATATGCAAACGACTACCACCGCTAAAACGTTCGCCACCATCTACACAACTTTCAAATACATTACAAGCATTTATTGTGTTGCTGTATAACGTCAAATTGTAAGATTTACAAGAAATTTCAAATTTAAATATAAAATTTAATACATTTTCCTCTTTTATAGCCAACTGACAAAGACAAAAGATGCAGTCCCAACCGCAAATTATGCTATCAATTTCATCAAAAAAGGAATCTCATCAGGCTGGATTGTTGAAATGTAAGTTTATCGATGTTGTGGATTAATGTTTTATAAAAATTCTATTTTTCGTTCATTTTTAGGCAAGCAATTTTAGAGAATATTGAAACCAAAAGAGGTAGAGTTGCATCGTCAAGTGGTTCGGATAGTAGCGAGACTTCAGGGAAACAACGATCTGCCCAATTTCAGATGAAAAATGTTACAACGTTGGAAGAAATATCGAACAATGGAAAACAATTTGCAGTGGCGTTTTTTGAATTTTACTTGTAAGAATATTATCGGATAAAATAGCATTTTCAAATATTATATTTTTTTTTTAAATCTGCTTTCTAGACGTGCTATTGACATCACACGTTCGTATGAGCAACGATACAAGTACTGCAAAGATGCTTTACAAACTTGGAATCACTTATCACGAGTGTTGGAAGAATTGTATGCTTTTTTGTTATATATTCATTCCATACAGAAATCATAATATATTAAAAATTTATCTTCATTCTAGGAAACAAGCAATCAAGGAAATTGAAGCAACGGAAACGGTCGAACCGATCGATGAATAAATAAATCCATCACATAGCACCATTTCAGCAAAAGGAACTTCATAACCGAATAATTTTTCACTTTAATTAATTAATTTATAAATTAGGAAATATCATTCAAGATCTCAAAATACGATGTCAAAATTATAATTATAATAAACATCAACTATTTTCTCTTTGAAACCAGAAAACTGTTTAAAATTTTATTTATTTATATGATGAAAACTTATGAAACTGTCACAAATATTTTGAATATTCCAAAATGTTAATGCTCCATTTTCTCAGCGTCAGTCTGCAGCTCATAGATTTGAATGTAAGCTTCGGTGAGTGTAATCATTTGCGGTAAGATATTTGTTACGTGCAAATCTTGCATTTCATACCATTGACCAGTCGATTTTTGTAAAATGTGCACACGATATGTACCTTTGTTTGGTTCACCATCATGCACAACATTTGCAATTAGATTATATTGTGTATGCTTATGGTTTGCACGATTCTCTTCTGTTAATATATCACCGAAATCTACATTTCTGCGAAGCGAAACGAAAATAAAATTTTACTTATATAGAATATGTTCGATTGCGTTGTAAATGTGCTTAATGCAATGCTTACTTGATCGGAAAATTGACAATCGTTGGATTTTTCTCTAGGAAAAATGTATTTTTTGTGAACCGCTTTATGTACAATATTACAAATTGTGGTAGCTTGGTAATTTCAAATCGCTTCATAAAACTGTCTTTGTAGGTTTTATATTCCTTTTCCGAAATGCCATTGAATTTTGCTAGCAATTGATACAAGCTTACCTAAAATTATAAAAAAAAATATTGCATATAAGAATGCTTAGCAAAAATATAACGCTATATTTACTTGTGGAATAATGTTTTCTCTGAATTCATCGATGAAAAGCGGCGGTGCCGGTAGATCACAAGTTAAATACAGGAAATTTGTAGCTTCGACTTTTTCTTGATATTCTTCCGTTGCTATGTGTGTCAGTGATTTTTGTGTGTCATCCAAATCGGTCGATGGAATTTTTCTCGTGTATACATTCATTTGGCCCAAAAACGATCGATTGATAATGGACGAATCGGAATTTTTATTGCCACGTAAAGCACGATGTGTTGTGTGCAAGAACCACGATAAGAAATCAATGGGATCACCTTGTTGTGTGATTTGAAATTGTTTGTTACTCCAGAGGACGACTGCTTGAAGCATTTCATGTGGTGATACGTGTGCTTTAAAATTACGTGGATTCCACATTTTTCGCATTAATTCACCGAAACGTTGTACCAAATTGAAAATTGAATCGCCGGGCGGACGCTTGATATGTTTGTAGTTTTCTTCTCGTAAAAAATAATTACGCAATGGCGTCACATGTGTGAGTGATTGTAGAATTACATTGCAGTAATCGTTGTATTTAATATTGTTGAGTCCAACAATGCCAGGATTGTAAAGTGTACCATCGATTGTACGTGATGGCTTACAATCGGGACTATCGATTTGTTTAATGGTTTCATTTTTGAATGTTGGATTTAGCAAATACTTGATATCGTTCAGTGATGAATCAATAATTTCATAATTGTCCGGCAAACAATAGAATTTCAAATTGTGCAAATTCAAAAAAACATGATGCGAATCGGCCACTGAATGTGTGTATGCATGAGTATTTGTACCGCGACCCTGAAAGTATTTGCCGCACACAAGGCATGCGTATACATTGATTCGAGTCAACGACACGGAACATAATTTCTCAAAATCAAAATCCAACAGATTTCGATTTATTGTATCTAAGTACGGGCATTGTCTTGATTTTGGATTCTCTTTCATCACACGAACTCCAGTACTGCTTCTCGGCTCTTTTTCAACATCGGCATCTTCAAATTGCAAAAGAATAAAAATTAAAAAAAAAAAAATCAAAATGGAATATCATTTTTTTAATTTACTCTCAATATCATTCGTTCCTCTTAATTTCTTAGCTGGAGGCTCTGTAGCTGAAAATAAATGATATTTTATAAGCACAAATAAACAAATTGAAATGAGGTTATGTATAACATTAACATCATTAATAACGCTCATCAAACGTAAACATTCAATCATATATCTTTATCACAAACATTTTCAAAGTATAACAAAAAAAACTGTTTTCCTGAAAACTTACTCGTTCCATTTGATTCCATGTTTTCTTTTCACCAATTTTTCGTATAGAAATAATTCAATTTAACAAATTGAAAGCAAAAACACAGCATCCAGAAATGAATGTCGACCGCAGCGATTATGACATTTTCATATTGTCAAATTGAAACGTCAACGAATCAAGTCTGCAAACAATGTCGCACGTTTTAAAATTCCAAATAAAAAAAGAACTCGGTTAAAATGGAATCGCATGAAGAAAGTGTAAAATGGGAAATTATCGTGAGAGCTGCCGTTGAAAATCGAAATAATTTTTGGAAAGCAATTTTATTGAGCGCCATAAAACCGCATCTTATTAATCGACGATTGGCTGGCGCTGAACAAATATGTATTTTTCGAACCAATAACACCGATCTAAACCGAAATGGACAATTTATAAATAAACTTTTGGCATATATCCAAATGCGAACCGAAACCGAAATCGATGTGGACTATGTGAAAAAAGCCATTTACGAACTACAAACTCAAGATGAATTTAAGCAAATTGACGATCAGCAATATGATTTAAACAAGGACCGACAAATTTTAATCATTCTCAATAAATTGCTTTCGAAAAATATATCAACCTTCGGTTACACATACGAAATAAATATAATAGGTAATTTAGTGATAAACACTGCAGTGGTTCTTATGATCAATCACAAATTTAATCCATCTCCAATTTAGATAATGGAAATAAACAGGCTGGCTTTCTGAACTTGTTGCAAAATCAAACAACTGGTTTTATCAAGAAATTTGTAGTTCATTTGAGTGATTCAAACAATGAGCTGACATCTGAAATGGTTATAAAGGCGGCAAATGATGGTACAGACCACTTCACGCGGCAAAGTAATTGGATTAAAAATGTGTTCTTTCCAAAAATATTAAAATGGATTACATCAATGAATGACCGCTATGAAGACCGTCAAAAATCGGCGATTGATGGTGTTGAATCGCATTCACTGATCAATTCATCAGAGTATAATGAGTTGTACAACGATTTGAAAGCAAAGTATGGTGAAAACATGGTGAAGGTAAACATACAATAAGATTTTTTCTTTTGATAATCCGTAAAATGTTTATTCTAAAAATTTTCATTTCTATTCTCGTACAGATTTGGCCGGAAAATACTGATCCATTGAAATACGTATATGAAGATGTGGCAATTGCTAGCTATTTAATATTATTGTGGAGAGATGAATGTCGTCGAATGAACACAAATCAGCTACAGTCATTTGTAGATTTGGGATGTGGCAATGGATTGCTCGTGTATATCTTATCAAGCGAAGGTCATCAAGGATATGGCATTGATGTACGAAAACGCGGCATTTGGGATTTATATCCAAAAACAACTGTGCTTAAGACACACGCAATTGTACCATCAGATCGTTCTCTCTTTCCCGATATCGATTGGATAATTGGAAATCATTCCGATGAGCTTTCACCATGGATTCCCGTCATTTCAGCTCGAAGTTCATATAAATCCCGATATTTTCTATTGCCATGTTGTGCATTTGAATTTAGCGGTAAAAAGTTTCAACGACGATGCAGTACAGTAAGCCAGTACATGGACTTTTTAAGTTATGCACAGGAAATTAGCAATGTTTGTGGTTTCAAAACACAAATTGACCGCCTTAAAATACCGAGTACAAAGCGAATTTGTTTAATTGGAAGCGAACGAATTTATACAGTTGACAAACAGAGTGATCGAGAGAATGAAATTCAAAAATTTATAAATATGCGCAGTAACTGTGACTTTCAGCCCTTGGAAACTTGGAATAGTGACTTTCAGCCCAGGTCTGACGTTGAGAAAATACAGAATTGTACCAAAATCAATCGAACTATACAAAATGAAATTGTTGACAAGGTTTTCAATGAATTGATGAAAAAGAAACGTTTTCTGTCCGATGTCTATAAAACTGATTGGAATGTCGGTGGCAAAGTTTCATTGATGGATTTAGCTAAAATAATTCCGCGTGATAAATTGAAAGCATTAAAATCAGAATGTGGCGGATTACAAACATTGCTTAAAAATTACTCGCAAATCTTTCAGGTGACGCAAGGAGTCGTTGAAATTCGAGTGCCAATCAAATTAGATGATAAAAAGCGAATATTTGAAGCAAAAGGCAAAGAAATACAAGTAAAACAAAAACCATGCTGGTTTTATCAAAATCATCCAAATGGTTGCCCGTTATCCGACGAAGATTGCAGCTTCAGTCATTAGTTTTGTTTTTCCTTTTGTATTTTATCTGAAGAATAAATTGTATTTCTATTTTTAAAAAAATATTTAATGCATTTTTCCTCTGAAATAGATTTAATTATGGTATTAATTATCACAGGTGAGTTCAAAGTTTTGAAACGCTTCGATTTAGTTTTATGTTAGAAAACAATTCAGTTTTATTGTGAACTAAAAAAGATACAAACAAAAATTATGCTAATAGTATGTTCAATGGACGCAGCCAATTTGTGGAACGTAACTAACGAAATATGTGTGTGTGGTTTTTTTTTGGCTTAAAAACAAAAATGTAACGGTGAAAATGTTGCATTCTCGTCCATACGATATCTAATTAATTTAAAATTAAAAACGTAAATGGTAAGAAAAAAAGGATACAAAATAGTTCGTTTAATTGTTTTATTTTTAAATGTATGATTTAACAACAGTTTTTTCCATCTTGTATTTTGTATAGTCCCGTGTGACACTTCAATTGAATTACAGAACAAAATCGCAAATTGTTTTGGTAATATTGGTATAAGAAAATTAATCGGTTGTCATGCAACACATTTATCCAAAATGTTTTAAATCTTATCTCAACGTTGAAATGTTAGGCATTAGAATTCAAGTAAGTTTTATTGATTTTTCGGCGATTTGGTTGTTGACGCACTTTTTTCTCTTTCTGTTGGGTAAATTGTTTTTATTTTTTGTTTTTTGTTTTGTGTGTGTGTGTGTTTGTGTTTATTTTGTTTTTATTAAACATATGAAAATGAAATATAAAGGCGTTTTGAATTGTGGCTGTGGTATACACGACGCAACGGCAAACTGTTGTTTACAAGTCTTCATCCTCTTCGGGTAATGCGGTTTCCTGTGCTTCTTGCAAATCCTTTTCGATTTGCAATTGCCATTCTTTGTCCATTTTAACTTCTGGCGGCAAAAGAGCAGGCATTGCGACGAATTCTAGATTTGGATCACCGACCAATTTACGGGCCAACCACAAGAATGGCTTCTCGAAGTTGTAATTTGATTTGGCCGAAATGTCGTAGTACTAAAGAATTTCAAATGAAAATAAAAATGAAAACATATTGAAAATTAGCATAAATGTTGGCATTCCGGTGGAATGCAGCTTGTAAATATGCAAAACTTACTTGAAGATTCTTCTTTCTGTGGAAAACGATGCTCTTGGCCTTTACTTTTCGATCTTTGATGTCGACTTTGTTGCCGCACAAAACAATTGGAATATTTTCGCATACACGCACCAAGTCCCGATGCCAATTTGGTACGTTTTTGTAGGTAACACGAGATGTTACATCAAACATAATAACGGCGCATTGACCTTGAATGTAGTAGCCATCACGAAGACCGCCGAATTTTTCCTGACCGGCTACAATCAAATGATAAATTATGCAAACATTATTTAGAGAATAATACAAAAATTGTTGTCTAGATCATGAATTTCACGAGATGAAAGATGCTTACCAGTATCCCAGACATTGAAGCGGATTGGACCACGATTTGTGTGAAACACGAGTGGATGGACCTCCACACCGAGTGTGGCGACGTAACGCTTTTCGAATTCACCAGTCATGTGACGTTTGACAAAGGTAGTTTTACCAGTACCACCATCACCGACAAGAACGCATTTAAAGGTTGGAATATCTTGTTCTGCTGCCATGTTTACTAGTTCAGTAATCTTTTAATAAATTTCTTGGATCAGCAAGTAGCTAAAATGCAAAATGAAAAATACCAAAAAAAAAAATCAAATAACGAATAAGAATCTATAAGACATGTAAATAATATCGAAGAAGTTCAAGCGTCAAAAGTGCACGTTTTCACACAATAATGCTTTGTTCGTTTGTTATTTTCTTTTAATGTTTGTTGAATATTTGATGTCAAAATGACAGTCGCTTTGACTCACAGTCGATGACGAATCACTTGCTATTGATAGTTTGTTGAGAATGTTACACACAATGAAGCCGCAGTCAGATGGACTGTTTTTTGGTACAATTACAAACGTATTATCTATCACCATAAAGCGAAGCGATATAGACAAATGAAATATATGCTATGTATCATTGTGATAGATGAGGTTAGACTTTTTTTCAAAAGTGGCAAATGACGTCAGAATATTTGACGAATGTAAATCTCTCGAATGATTGAAATATTCTTATTGAATTTCATAATTTTGTGAAAACAATTACAATGAATGTTGCACCAATCGTCAAATCATTCTGTTTGACTTAGCGCGTCGTTTTCCAAACGTTATTTTTGCGCATTTTATTACGTATCCTATTTTCATATACAAACTAGATGAAACTTTTTTCTTTTCTCTTTCTTACTTGTCACCGTTCAAATATAAATTTTAGCCACAAAATTACAAAACGAATGAATAACTTTCTGTGCGCAATAAATTAAATTTACTTAAAAATTCGAAAGAAAATAATTAGTAACGTCAAAAATGCAAAAAAGCGAAACAATTTTTCACTCCGTCTTCTTTTTAACTGTTCGGCAAAATCAAATGTGCAAAACACAAGCGTTTTAAACAGCGTATTAAGAAATGGCGCTCTTTTACTCAGGCTACACGGGATTTTCATCATAAAACTAACACAATTTTTTTACAAAATTCATCAATTCAAACACGATATTCACAAAAATATTAACTTATTCGAATAATACGGACACAATGCAAATGATTTACCTCGTTTTAATGAATTTTTTTCAATGGATGATGCTCCAAACGGGCGATTATTATAAAATGCTGTTTTTGTCGTTTTGGTTAACAATGGCGCGCGTTATAAATGTTCGATATAAAACTGCTTGGTTTTTTTCAAACTATGGTGGCGTATTTTCAAATGTATGCTATGTTCGGTTAATGTGTTTGAATGTATCAATACAGTTTTGGTGGGGATAACATATAATACATGCATGGCATTGTGTGTATGGGCATGCAGCATTTTGACATCTGTCAAACGGCTTGTGGCAAATGGTTGCGTTTATACAGTCAATACTTACAACTGTTGTCATTGACAGTATTACAGTATTACAATCACAATGAACTGCTCATTTTATTTGTAGCAGAACATTTGGTTTTCTGGTATCGAAAAAGAAATTACAACAAAAAAGCAGCAATCAATTTGTTTTTCTTTTTCGACAATCAGCAAGCATTTAATAATAATAAATCAAATAAATCGAAAAATTAGGTGTGATTTAATTCAATTTGTGGTTTTTGTGGAGTGCGTTTACAACTTTTTCAACGGATGGTACAGTGCGTTATTTGGGTGTGAACGCATCACTATCGATCGGAGACATATACACATCAAATTTTATTAGTTGTGTTTTTTGCACTGGGATACGCTTTGACGTCTGCGCGTACGGTGGTACTGCAGAAGAAGAAGGTATATGTACTGTGCCGAGGCTAGTGAAATAAAAAAGTTTTTTCGCTGTTGTCGTGTGTGCCATCGAGTCATCGAGTATATATGCAAATACGATAAACGAATAATTGGCATTTCAACAAAAATCACCGAATACCAATAAAAATTTTGGATTTTTTCAAAATTTTGGACTTTTTCTGGAAAAACCATGACGAAGGACAGACTTGCGGCGCTCGTTGCGGTACGTATTCAACATTTTTTTTTATTCTTTTCACCCTTTTGTTTCGACGGAGAAACTGTGGCACTCATTAATTGTGACAGCATTTTGTGTTATTCAAAAATTAAGTGTGATTGACCAAAAAAAAATGGACAAAATTCACGAATCAAATGAATTTTAAAGTGTTTTTAAGTGTGTTTTGTTTTGCTTTTCATTCAATCATTTGATTGTCTGATTTTCGTGTTCACTTATTCAAAGGAGTTGTTTACATTACATTGCCATTGAGATTTGTAAACCTGTTAGATTAGCTACGCTTAGAAATATGATCGCAAATTTTCAAAGCTTTCTACATCGCTTGTTGTATGATGGAATTTTGTCTTTTATTAATGGTCAAAGAAAAAGACATGCTTTACGGGCCATTCATCGGATTTTTTCTTGTTGATGATAAATGCGCGGACGTTTTCTTGTGTACTTCAAGTGTCAACAGCAATATAAGATTTTCATTTCATGCTACATTAGTAGTATTTAGTCGTTTGTCATCGGTTTCACTATATGACAATATAACCGAAGAGAATGAAATGTGTTGAATTACGATTTATAAGTCCAATATAAGGCAATTTTCAGATATGAGAAATTGAGCAAAAACCAAGACAAAAAATGTGAGTTTTTTGATAATAAGAATAAGAGCAAATGTACACAACAGAAGGTTCATGACAACATTTATTTTTTTTGCTTTGGTTTGCAAGCCAATGCTCAAACATGTTCTATGATATAAGACCGTGCAAGATTCATTCTTTCTTTCTCTCTCTATCGTCGCCTCTATCTCGTTCACTCGTATACACAATTACACATACTTGCATACACGGAAACATTTACACGTCCGCAATGGAGCAATCAAACAAACAGGCACGCATACACAATAGCGCACACATTGAAAATTGGTTTGCGTACCACATATAAACGGTATTTATTGCATACTCTGTGTGACGTAATGATTTTTATCTACATACCAAGAAAAAGAATGGAGAGAGAGAGAGTGAGAAAAAAAAACTTCTAAGCACGAATCATACGACACATTTAAGTGGCATGTGAACAAAACAATCGAGTCATATACACTAAAGTCTAAAGAGAAGCCAAAACAGAATCGTACGCGATGATTCATATTTTCAATTGGAAATTTTTTCTGGAATTGCAATCATTGAAATCGTCAGAGAAACTTACAAATGCGTTGATTGCATAAAAAAAGAACCAAATTATCACACTTCATCGTTTGAATGTTCGGTCATATTACATTTTTTGGGCACAATTTTGCAGAGCAATAGTCAAATTGAAGGAGAAGCATAGCGCGAAATTTTTTTCCCTTTCAATCCGCATAAAGAAAGATAATGATTGAGAACGAGGGAGCAAGAAGAGAGCAAATAAACGAAATATAAGTGTGTATAGTATAGCATTGTAATGGTCGCGCCAGTAAATAGTAGATAATATGCAAACGGTTAAAGTACATAACCTATTCAATGCTGTACAAAGAACCCACCCGTATTTCTAGCATTGATATTGCACACACACAAAAATCCGCACGTATCAAATATAAAATATAACAAATAAACAACAACAAAAAAACCACGAAATAGAAGAAAATGTTTAAATAAAAAAAAACAGCTTCAATTTAGCGCATAGCACAGCAACCGCAACATAATCGAATCATTTGTGGTAGACCGAAATAAAAGAAAATATTGAGACCGAACGCCAAAAATATGATTCAATTGTAAGCTACGTTTTTTTTTCTGCATTTTTATCGGCATAAATGTCTGGCAACTCGCATTTAAATATGTTCCGAAATGGATTTTTGCTCGCTTATTGTTTTGCGTGGTCATTTCTATTTCTATTGATTGTGCTTAATTTCATCGACAAATAATTGGCCGCCTATCTACTGTAAAGCAATTAGCAGAGCAATGTGAATTTGTCAAGCATTTAACGATTTGACACATTGGCTATAAACATATAGATAATTCTTGGAAAACAACGATAAATATGATATACACATCATCAGTAGATTGTTTAAATGCACCGAAACGGTATTCCTTTAGTCATATTGTTGAATGAAAAAAATGTGATTAATGTTCAATGACTTGCATACACACACACACACACATCAGGTTTTTTTTTGTTTGAACTTAAACTCGAAGCTCGAAATTAACGAAGGTCAGACAAGCATTCAATGACAATGAACAAAATTTCACTGAATTTGTTTTCCTATAGCAAAAACCAATTGCTCAACATGAAATTGGCAGTTTAAAATTCATAAACTGCCATTTAAAATCGCGGATTGACTCAATCAACATTTTGCGTAAAATCCAAAAACTATATATAATTATTATCGTTGAGTCATTTGCACTATTCTCGCCGAATATGCGTAGTTTTCTATACACTTGAAACGCTTTTAAACGCATTCAAATGACTGGTTTTTGGCTGAATAATCATAGCATTTATAAAGCAACTGCATTTATCACATCACCACGAAAACCAGATTGTGTGTTTGATTTTCGTTTATTTTCTAATTACGCCCATTACAGCAGACCCAATAATGTTTCATGGAATGTTGTTTTGTAGCAGAGTCATACATCGGCTATGAATGCCGGCAAATATACCCAATAAAAAAAAAAAACTAAACTCTATTAAGATGTATTGTATGGCATGAACGTGTGTCGCCATTGTTAATGCAGTAGAAGTTTTCGTACTTTTGCATCCAAAATGCACATTAAATTGATATACATTGTACAATGTACATGCGTTTTTTTTCTACTCATGTGCACGTGAACGTTTTCGCAGTGACAAGAAAAATCACAGTAATTTTACTGGCAACATTGCAATTCTTATGAAACTCGGTAAATTACCTCAAAACTGACAACTGAACAATTGGCAATGGTCTACAGTGCATTGAACAAGGTGCTTTTTAGAGTTTTTCAAATGTGGAGTGCAATAAACCAAGGGTCGGTTTTTGTTTGAATACAGTTCAGCACTTGCTACCTTACATGTTTCTCGTTGCGTTTGAAAATTCTGGTACTCGTGACCTGCTTTTTCAAAAATTATGTTCTGCCATTATCTTCAATCCACTCGAGCTTAAATTATTGTTTTGTTTGGTTTTGTTTTTGTTTTAATTGTCAATTTTCATGTCATTCTCGGTTTGAATATAATACAAACGAGTATATTCCTGCACATTATTATAACCGGATTAGTTGGGCTTTGCTCGCATTGTTGGACATCCACCAACACTACAATTTCAATTCCGCGCGCATACATATTTTCATCTGGAAATGTGCATATCGAGAAATTGTTATAACACTCTAGACATATAACATATCTCGTATACATATTTTATGCCTATATTTACTTTCGTTTTTCAATTATTTAACCGATCTCTACCGTGTGTATTCTCTCTCTCTCTCTCTCTCTCTCTCTCTCTCTGTGTGTGTGTGTTTTCAGGCGTTTGATTGACAACGCTATTCATTGCTAATTTGTTGCAAATTCACCGCCATAGTTTCGAATTGCTCTTTTGTTTAAATTTATCGTTTTCGTTCAGTTTATTTATTCTTTGTTAAATTTACTTTTATTTTCTTGTTTGTACTTTCCATTCTTTCCTCGATGTTATTCTATATTTTTCAATTTTGTTTTTTTTTTCCTTATTATTTTATCACGTTTGTAATGAATTTAGATTGAACATTGGCGAATATTGAATGATAAAATTGAAATTACCTACGAAGTATAATGACCAAAGAATAGTGTCTCATATCAAATTACCTCAAAAGTTTGTTCTTTTTTTATTCTGATTTTGAATTCGTGTGCGTTGTGTGCCATTCGTTGTTGATATTGATATCCGATATATGTGAACGATATCATATCGATTCGTTGGCGTATGTGTATGCGTGCATGTAACTCGATCGAATATATGCGATAAATGATTATCGATCTTGATAAAAAAAAAGCGTCATTCAGTTGAAAAGTGCATTGGCTGTCAAGACAACAAAAGAAAAGTTCCGTGATGATAGCGTGATTTGCATAGAATGTTAAGCACGTCGCCAACAAAACGCAGTAAAAATTGTGTCTTCACATCGCGCCCAGTAAACGAATGTTAATAACATTGGTTGAATGGGGTCCGTTTAGTCGTGTCTCGTTTCGATGTTATATATTATTTAATCGTTTTGCTTCATGTTTTCCTATGTATGTATCCGTTTCCTTTTTTGATTTAAAGAGGGAAAAAAATGTGTCTCGGTATATGTTGGTACTTTGCTTGGTCGCCAAGCAATAGTAACGGAAGCATGTTTGCAAAAAAAAAAAATGAACGTCTGTGAAAAATTATATGGGTCAAATGCACACTTTTAACCATTCTTTCTCATTGTGCTTTTTTACCAAGAGAAATGAATGAATAAACGCGAAGCACGCTTGGCTTGAAATGATTTTACATTGTAAACGTTTGGCATAAATCAATGGCCACTTATTCAATAGATGTTAGCTTGCACAATTCCATCAATTTTTTATGCGATTTTCATGTAATGCACACTCATTCATTGAATGAAGAAGCAACAAGAAATGAAAAATCGCTTTCGCCGTTTTGCGGAAAAATTGCAAAAAAACTAATTAAAAAAAGGTTCAATGTACTTGATTTTGAATGGAATCAATTGCCAAACGTACCAGTTCTTCTTCCGAAAATGCACACAAATTGACCGAAATAAAATTGCGAGAAAATTGAAATTACTACTTTTGATGTATAGGATTATATATAGTTTTCTCTCTCTCTCTCTTTTCCAAATAAATCGTTTGAAAATGCAGTTAGAGCAAGGTTTTTGGCAAGCTTGCCACTCAATCGCTGAATATTTCAAACCTATTATGACACGTCCATTGAATCCTCATTTATGGTTTTTTATCATAGGTGATGACGAGGGTTCCTAGGGTTCGGATCACCCTCCTCTTTATATACAGTTCTCATACATAACAAACGGGAAGAAAGTAACCATTTGACGTTTCCGATTAATGAACGTTAGTTATTTGGTCATTTTCAACGCACATTTACATCAAAACATTGTTGAATACAATAAATAAAAACAAATTATTGCAAACAATCATGCACTGTAGAATTTTTTCTGTCAATTTATGTTAACCAAATCGAAAACGAAGAAGAAGAACGTAAACGCACATAGGATAAACTGATCAAGGTTCCTGTATTTAAATAAAGCAAAATATTGTATCATTCAAACAATCTCAAATAAGCATGGCAACAGAAATTGGAACCGAAAAGTACGGAATCAATCGTTTTATATTGCGTGCGATACCGTAATCGGATCTGTTTAATACTCGAAGAACAAATGGTATAGTATTTGATAGCTGTAGAAAAACAAAGAAATAAATTTGCCATCGATAATGACACACACGCACATGATATCACTGTTATGCGTATGGGTGCGTGGGCGTGTTGATTTTTATTTTTCAACCAGAGACGCAACGCATTTTCTCAATCTCATAACGAGAAATTATTAACACATATTTTCATATCTATTGCAGTTTAGCCTGTTGTTTAAATTTTAGTGATTTGCTATGCACGATTTGATATCCAGAATGATGGACGATCCCATTCATATAATGGTTCAATTTGTGGTTTGTTAGTTTGATACAGAAAGCAAAGCATTTATTCAAGTGTGGTCGCGACACCATGACTCTTTGATGATGGATCGAAGTCATAGTTTAACCTCGTTGCTATCAAACACCGTATTGATTCATTTGCACTGATTCATTCGAGCAAGCATGAAATTTTTGCCAATAAAATAATTCATAAAAAATGCTCTTGCAAAGAGTTATCTATAAACGCGTGTATTTTATGTATGTTGATATATTTGCACAGCACCGTATATCCTAACCATGTATCACAATGAATGTTATGTAATCAAATGCTTCTTATGTTATATAGCGTACAGCGTACACGTACACACATTAAAATGATTGTATACATATATCATTAGCACATAAAAACATAAAATATAAAATAGATAATAAATATCGGCTGTTTAGGCATACTTGCTATGAAAAAGTATGTCGGCGACGACAATATTCTCCTTGTTCGACAAGACGTTATTGGTGTCGTTTGAATAATTTATCGTCAAGCAATGTTGATTTTTTTCCCTATTTTATGCAATACTTTAGTTTTCTTCATTCATTACGTTTGGATATCTAAAAAATAATATATTTTTGGTATCCTTAATTATTATAATAATCCATTATTTAAAAGGATTCAAAGGATTCGATTCAGTCTCTAGAGCATACACAAACACAATATTGATACAGTGAACATATGATTTTTAGTACTCAAAATGGATTGCATTTTTTTTTTCTTCTTAAAAATCCTTTTGGATTTTTCACTATATATGAAATTCACAAAGTGATAAATGCAAATGATATACGGCGCGCAAGGGAATTGACATGTAATTGATTTCATTGAAACGCGCCGACTAAATTGTTCATTCATAAAAATGCGAAATGCTTCTATCAGCCAGATAATTTATTGAGTGCGTTAACGTGGGCAAGGATGTGTGACACTGAACGTCGTTGTTACACCATAAAATATATTATGATAAAGATTAGCGAACAACGAAATTACTTATCGCTTGCCAACTTTGCCACTCCATTAACAATATGTTCAAGTAAGAAAAATGTTCATTCACCGTTATAATTTTTGTTGTTTATGTGCTCGCATAACAAATTCATCGATTCTGTTGGAATTTTCGATGGTAAAACTATTTTGATGTAGTTATGCTCTTTCTCTCTTTTTTCTTCTTCTTCTCACTGTCGTGTCTCGAACATCGATTCATTGATAAAAATGGAAATCAACGCGACAATAAATTGAGTTGTCTATGGCATGGATAGACGTTACCATTTTCCATCGTAAGAAGGCGGCAAGCATGCATATAATCAACAAATTTATTTTAAAATTTAAAATTCAAATGAGCATTGATGTCAATTCAACACATGAATGCAGACGAACTACTCTCTTTATTTCTTGTTGTTAAACACCAAAAAATATTTCCAATTTTCGCCTGGAGATAATAGCAAACTATTTCCAATCGCTCTTTTGCACGCGTACACGTTGTCTAATTTTTTTTTTTTTTATTTCAATGAATTTATGCAAGTTGAATATTTCTTTTGGGCAAATACTAGAATCGGTTGACGATGACAATTTGCCAATGTCATACATTAAAATGTGATTTAGTTCACTAATTTATTTCTCCCCATTCAGAATCGAATTAAATTAAAACCAATATTGAACGAATGGCAGAACTCTACATAAAAAGTCGGATTTTACTCTGATTTCGTGCACACTTTTAAAAAAATACTCGTAAAATTCTTCATTTTATTTTGGAAAATTATTTAACCTAGTTTTAGTGTTGCTTTCAATTCAATAAATTTGTTTTTAATTTTGGAATGTTTTTATACCTTTGATATAACTATGTTCAGGCACAAAGCGATGAGGAGGATGTTGGGACGGACGATGTTGCCGTCAATGTTGAAGGACGTGATGGCTTCATGGACGACTTCTTCAACGAAGTGGAAGAGATAAGGGAAATGATAGACAAAATACAAGCAAATGTCGAAGAAGTAAAGAAAAAACACAGTGCCATCCTTTCGGCACCTCAATCAGATGAGAGTAAGGCATATTTTATGGTGATATTTATTGCAATTACCAATATAAAAAATGTTTATTTTTTTATTTTTTTATTTTTATGTTCGATTCTTAAATTTATCCAGAAACAAAGCAAGAGCTTGAGGATCTGATGGCCGATATCAAGAAAACTGCCAACAAAGTTCGTACAAAACTTAAGGGTATTGAACAAAACATCGAACAAGAAGAACAAGCGAATAAATCAAGTGCTGATCTACGAATACGAAAGACACAACACTCGACCTTATCAAGAAAATTCGTTGAGGTGATGACAGAATATAATAGAACTCAAACCGATTACAGAGAACGGTGCAAAGGCAGAATACAACGTCAATTGGAAATCAGTAAGTGCAATATTGCAGCGATCAGTTCATTAAATTATATCGGATAAATAGTCGGCATAAAGCATCAATATTGAATGTAATGTTTTCATTTGTTTTCTTCGTGAATCGATTGATTAGCTGGTAGAACGACGACAAATGAAGAATTAGAAGAAATGTTGGAGCAAGGAAATTCAGCCGTTTTCACACAAGGCGTAAGTGTTTAATTCCCAATTCATATCCGAGAAAAGAAAAAAAAAAATACTTTTCAATATATCCATTCCATTTGATTCGTAACGAATGCATCTCTATCTGGGTATGTGTTTCGTTTTTTTCTTCTCTTTTCGTCTCCATTCAAATCTGCAACAGATTATCATGGATACACATCAAGCCAAACAAACACTTGCCGATATTGAAGCCCGGCATGCCGATATCATCAAATTGGAAAATTCGATAAGAGAATTGCACGATATGTTCATGGATATGGCTATGTTGGTCGAAAGTCAGGTAATGTTCTACTTTTCAAACTTATTGCATTTTGCATTCAATTACACAATCCCGACACATTTGATTGGTTCAAAGACCAGAATGGCATAAGAAAAAAAAACCATATTAATACATGAAATTGATTGTATGAAATTCCTAACGCATTCATTTAAAGTTTCCACACAAACTGATTTCATCATCATTATTCAATTTCAATTAGTTTACAAACGTTTGAAGATGAAAAAAAAATCTCACACTCTTTTCCTATCTGTCTCTCTCTTTCTTTCTCTTTTATTTTAATCCATTTTCAATACGCTCTCTTTAACAAATAACTGAATCTAAACAAATGTGTGCAGGGTGAAATGATTGATCGCATAGAATACCATGTTGAACATGCGGTCGATTATGTGCAAACAGCAACGCAAGATACCAAAAAAGCGCTCAAATATCAGAGCAAAGCTCGTCGGGTGAGTAAATTTTCTTCAAACTATATTAATCGATTTGTGTTTTTTTTCTTTTTTTCTTTTTTTTTCTTTTTTTTTTGTACGCCCATTGTGTATTTGTTCATACCCGTTTCAACCATCCACAAAAATATCCCTATTCCCAAAAAAAATGTTATGCAACTACTATTAACGCCTTTTTATGTGTGCAATCGTGCTATTGAATTTGATCTGTTTTGATTAAAAAAACATTGCATATGCTTTTTCAAAAAATGTCTCTTGTTTGTTTGTTTCCGGTTAATATATTATTACTAATAATATTGGCATTGAACTTATCCTCTTTCCCCCCCTCCCCAACCCATTTTAATTGATTTATTTATACTAATTTTGGTTTCAAATTTTTTATGTTCCAAAATAATAACTCTGTGATATCCTTTCATTCTAACTAATTTTGTTTACTTGTGTGACAATCGAAATTCCTCTAATTTGATAATCATAACTTGCATGCCTTTTACCTGTTTGTTAAACTATATGATGTATAATGTATATCACACATTAAACAATTCGTATATAAATTGCAAAATATTCGGAAAATTCATAACATGCATGTTTCGTTGTGAAAATCCAATTCACACTACACACATACACACCAACACAATACCAATCAAATTTTTTTTTGATATTTTGTATCTCACACTCTTATTTATATAATAATCAACTAATTGATAAATTGTGTGCTTTGATTTTCACTATTTAACCTATCGAATCGGATGAAATATTTATTCAATCAAAATTAACAATATTTATTACTTATCCAATTATGAATAAAATAAATTTGAATTTACATGACAAAATACACACACACACATACACACATCTATATCTACAACAATTACTTATACTTATTCATATAAATATATTCAACATATAATCTGATTTCTTCTGGAATGTCTGCATGAATTTTAATCACAACAATTTTGACAACATTAACAATCAATCAAAAACAATTAAACCAAACTTAAAATGTAATAATTTTGATCATAAATCAAAAATACACCGACTGACATTTCGAAAATACCCACAAAATGTGAATGATATCGTTAAATCGATCGAAATTTAAATATAAACAAAACATTATGGTAAATCCATTCGACAATGACCTACTCGATGGTTATTGTGGCATCTTATACACCACTAATCACCATCCACCGCAATGTCTACTGTTTATCCACATTAACTATGAATACTAACAATTGCATATTAATACCGAAACATATTGACAAACTCGATGCTGTGAACCGTCAAACCGTCTGTACCATTAACAATTACATTTAATTTCAATTAACATGTTGAAACAAACGTTGTCATTCATGATTCATCCATTAACTTCAATTGCAATTTTATTGGTGTGACCATGTAACAACAACACGGCTATTTCCATTCAAATCAAATAATTACATTTTCTTATCACATTTTATTTTATGCAAATTGGCACAACAAAAACAAAAAATTAACCATTATGCTACCACATAATACAACTCTTCGACGTATTTTAAATTTATTTGACTGGAATTGTCCGACTATTACGACATTTAAAAATGGTTATGGTTTGTGCAATTTTTGTTTTATCCATCTGGTCTGGTCTTTATTAAAATTCATTGCTGATGAAATACTAACCATGGGAAATGTTTAAATATAAACGTTGGGCACTGTTACTTTTTTCTACTATTTTTTATATCCTCTTTCTCTCTATTTCTGATACATGAAATCTGATTGAAATATATAATACATGGTGATGATTACTTATCTGATTTAATCCAAATGAATCAAAAAAATCCATAAATCCGTCTTTAAAAAAATGCATACATTTAAAACCCATAAAATCCTTCGTATCCACAAATACTCAACATGATAAGGTGAATTCACAACGTTGCCGATGTCATTTTCGTTTCAACTCTATCAATTCATCAATCATACAAAAAATTGATGCATTGGATAAACATTGTGTCCGTCCATCGTCCTGAAACCGAATGTGTGTGTATTGTCGCATGCCGTTGTTGTGCATCATCGATTGAATATGCAGGGCGAACTGGTTGACAGCGTTGAACATCATGTTGAAGCCAGTACTGACTATATAAAATCGGGCCATCTTGAACTTAAACAAGCCGAAATGTACCAATCAAAAGCTAGAAAGGTATTAACATTTGAATCTCAGTATCAGTCACAAAAACGACAGCCGCACTGTTGTTTTTTTTTTGCTCTGAACTTCTAACCACAACTTTCGGATTTCTATCTTCAACCGAATTAATTTATTATAAGCCGAATAATTCAAGTCAAACATTCAGATTAAACTAACTTAAATTCAAGCAAAGTTTTTGGGAATACTAATAAAACACAAAAACAATTGTTTGAAATTGAAAATGAGCGATAGATATAAAAAATGAAACAAACGAAAAAAAAAATTGGCAAAGCTCATTCGCAGATACATTCATACAACAAGTCCTCATGTTTTCAAGAATCAATATCATTCTCTCTTTCTTTCTCTCTCTTCGTGACTCTTTCACTTTTTTTTATCAGCATTAATTTTTCTTCTTTTTTATGTGTTTTTCATTTTTATTGTGTCTCTGGATTTGTATCGGGAAATATAGAACAAGCTCATGCCATTTGTGTGTTTATGTCGTGTAGCACAGGAGTGGTTTTATTGTGAAAACAATCAACTCCGAAAACAATCACATCACTGAGTACATCACTTTTACATGATGAAGCAATCAAACTCTACCATATTTATTGAACCAATTTTCTCTCTCTCTCTCTTTTCATATGCTTTCGACTCTCTTTCTCTTCAAATACTATGTATGTATACATGTTAAAAACGAAATGGCATTTGTAGTGGCTTTTAAGTAAATTGAAGCTGATCCGAATTAAGACCACTTCTTCAAAGTCAAAAGCGTCTAAGAACAAAATATCGGATACCATCGGCGATGAATAAGACATTTCATAAGTCTATACTGTAACGTTTCTATAAATGATGTTCTCTTTTTTTTTCTCATTATACTGCATAATTGTTCGAACGAAATATACATATGTGTGTGTCATCATGCTGCTGAAAATCATACTGAATTTTCGAAGGCTCACGATGAGAATCGCAAACAAAAGTCGATGGTTCAGCGTCAAAACAAAATAAAAGTTAAACATGAATGAATCTTGAAAAAAAAAACACACAAACAAAATAAGAATCGATGCTACCAACAGGTAAATAAAGTGTCAACAACAAATAAACAAAAATTCCATTTTTTAATGTGTTCTGCTTCATTCGGTGAATAATGACAGGGAAAATATGTCATAAAAAATATATTCGTCGCATATTTCAATAGAAGTCGTATAAAAAAAGTAATGCAAATAAGCCATATAAAATTGCACTAAATGATGTGTCAATGTGAGCGTTCTTCTCTCTCCAGAATTTTTCTCACTCTCACCTGGCGATAATTGATGCCTTTGTTGCTTTGCAACACACCATTTTCCTCTATTTCATCTTTGCCAAATTGAAATTTAAATTTTCATTTCTTTACATAAGAAAACCTCTTCAAAATCATCGCAATGAACATAAGAGTCACTCAATTAGATGTGCACTCAAAATTCATTTTTATTTTTCAAAATTGATTTGCGTGTGATGTGAATAACGGTGTAGACATCCGACAAGCGGATAATTGCAACAAATCTGCTCATACACTCGGATAATATGATATAAGAGCAAACTGTAAAGAGGGTAGCGGCAAACAATTTACCGACAAACATAAAAAAGAAGCGCTGTACATATATACACACACATACGTACTTTTTTTTAAGTTTACCTTTCATAAATGAGTCCACTTCGTGTATATTTGTTTTTTTTTTTTCAACGCTCTCGCAACTGTTTAAATAGAACTGTGTAATTAGGGTAACGAACGAAAAATTCCATGCCAAGTGGATTATTTTACAGGAAGTACAGAGGAAAAAAGCAGCAGCAGCTACAAACACTCAATTCCGTAATATAGCACATATGTGCTAATTGATTGCATTACATAATCACGTCATCTTGGTCGTAGTTTTTACAGTCATCGTCATCATCTTCACGTCTGACGCCCTGCCGTCAACGTCGTCGTCGTCGTCGTCGTCATCATCAGATCGTTTATCGTTGATTGCATGTGAATTTACGTTTTCTCAATCCCATTTCTTCGTTCGGTTTTATCGCTCAAATTCATATATAGTGAAAAGCGTCAAGAATATTTCTGCTTTGATTCAGTATTCCCAATGACAAGTTTACTTCCATTACATTTGACTTTTGTTCGCCGTAGGGGGAAAAGAGGTGGCTGGTTTTGTTGAAATTGTAACATTTCAAAAATGAAAAATCCCATTTTTGGATTGTCTTCTTGATGTATGCAAGTACAGCAATAATCGATTGATTTTTTTTGTTATCTATCAGTGCTTCTAATATTCACTGGCAATCGACTTTATTATGTCGAATAATTTTGAACATATATTTTTGAAACGAAATTTTCAGTACTGCCTTAATCGAAAAATAGTAAATAACTAACAAATACCGCTGACGAAACGCCGAATGAACTTACATTCACTGACTGTGTTAACTTGTTCTTTTTTTTTAAATTTAGTTTTACATCAACTAACAATTTTTAAGTTTTTTTTTTGTTTCAGTTCCTTTTGTCAAATAATTTAAAACTTATCCTCGGCAGACTCACTCAAACATACACAACGACTTTTGGAGCATTTGTTAAAAATCATTTAATGATTGTTTTCTATCCAGTCATTAATTTCGAAAAATAAATGATCCTTTAACGAATTTGTGTGGGCATTTCGAGCTTAAACGAAATAAATCCAATTTAATTCTATCATTTCATCTATATCAATTTAACGCGTCTTATTTTAAATCCAAAACAACAGCCTAATGATTTTCTTGTTTTCCTTTCAATTGATAGCGCTTTAATATGTGCTTTGCGATTATATTTAAGTTCTTGCGCAAGTATTTACTTTGGTTATTTGCTCGTAAAAACGATAAGATTGTATCGCCTCAAACACAAATGGCACAATTGAACTAGTTTGAAATGTTCACTACATAATGCTAACATGAACGAATGAAAACGCCGAGGATAAGCATTGAATTTTGTAGTTTTCCATTTTTTTAAAAGAAATTTTCACGTTGACTCTTATTTTTATGTTGATTTTTTTTTTCTTTTGTCATCTTTTTTTATTTGCAGAAAAAAATCTTTATCGGAATTTGTTTGCTAGTGACAGTAGTTATCCTATTAGCAATTTTATTGCCGTCATTCAAATGATTGAATAAGCAGAAGAGGCACGAAAACACATTTTTGAAAGCGATGGTATACGATGGTTGAAGTATAAAAAATATAACAGAATTTAGATCACATCCAATCAAATTCAAGCATTCGAGAATCGACAAATCCATTTGAAAGGCAAATTTCTTGGATGAGATGCAACGCGTAGTTCAATTTGACTTATGTTTAAATTCGCTAAAACTGCAATATACTTGTCACAATACAAACATGAAGCATTTTGTGACCTTTTTTTATTCATTTAGCTTTCGTTCAAAAAGTTAAGGGCAACCAATTTATAATTAATTAATCAAATTTTGCTTTATTTTTTTTAATGATTATTATATTTTCTTTCGATGCTTATGTTTTTCACCGATATTTTGTATTCTAATGTTTAGTATTTCAATGTTTTTTTTTGCCATTAAATTTAAGAAAAACAATTATGAGTGTATATAAAACCATGTAATGTATAATTTTTTTTTGTGTTATCTAAGATTTCTATTTAATTTATGGTAACGAGACCATTCTCACGGTGCTTCATGCGCAAGTAAAACCAGATTATGTTTGAATAATGTAGAGAAGGGCATAAGAGGGAAGAAAAAAAATGATTTAGTAGATACGAAAATGAGATTGAGTCGGTCATTTGAGACACTGATGTGATAATGATCCCATTTATTTTGTGCATCGAATGAAAATGCAAGTGCATCGAATGAAAATGAGATTCTAACGTAATCATGGACGATTTACAACGAACAAAAGAAATTTAAAGAAAAACGAAGAAGAAGAGAGGAGAAAAACTATAATTTATTGAAGATAGAAAGAAGGAATGATAAGAGAGAGAGAGGAAGAGTAAAAAAAGGATGGAAAACAAGAGTAAGAAGCTATGAAGAAGCCACAGTTTAACTAATCAGGTAACTTGACGTCGCCAACATAGATGCACTACCATTTTGATTTGTGTACACAACTCTCCAGTGAAATGTTCAATTTCGTACCTGCACAGGTGAATTCATCGATTCAAAAATTCCGCATTCGGAATTATATTTTCGTATGAAAAAAAAACGAAGAAGATGAAGTAGAAGAGCATTCACATTACTACAGTAGAAAGGAAGATGATATTTGTACTAAATTCAACGGACATTTGTGATAGCATTGTGAATCGGATGTACTTTGTCTGTTCAATTTTCGTGTGGTTCGTTCGACTAATAATAATGTCTCTAAATAGAAGTTCTGATATATTTATCGATATGAATAAGTTATCAGATAATTGAATTTGCTCGTTTCATTGAAAAGTCAGTACAGCATTTTGATTTATTTGCACACATAAGCTAAACAACGCCGAATATGAATGAATCATAAGCCAAATCGATTTATTATCACGACTCTTTTGTATCAATCCTCCTTTAGATTAAATAGGTATTTAAAAAAAAACACATATATATACGGGATGATTTTCTAATTTAACGTTTATATTTTTTAATATTCGTTTGCATTTAATTTTAAAAAAACCGACACACACACACACACACTTTTTAGACTATAAGAACAAACTGTACGTGTACATAAAAATAACGAAATTTCAATGACTTCAAGATATACGCAATGAATAGTTCATTGATTCCTAACACACATAATATACACTTAAATGAATAAATAATAATGTTGCGTAATTCTGACCTGATTTTTTTAATTTTTTTTTTCTCTGGCTTCGAGAATACAAATTGCTTGCTTTGCAATTAGCGAAATCTATCTAGAAAGATATTTAAATCGTAAGGCGACATTCGTCTGTTTTTATTCAATTTTATCGCAAACCTCAAATGTACGGCAACTAGAAGACCTTTCCACATTCACCTAAGGTTATACATGATTTTTTAACGTCTGTCATTTTTGAAATCGTCTGAAATGAAAATGCCAAGGGCCAAGCATAATATTTCATTTGTAATTTCTGCGTCATTGAATGCGATTCATAAAATATGGGTATATCTATCGTTAAACCTTTTCACATATGCTTTAAGTCAGTAGAGTTTCTCATCCAAATCACAGGAGGGGGGGGGGGTGTAAACCCCCTACCCCCCTCCGCACACTACTGCTTTAAGTCAAAATTGTAAAGAATGCACCTGAAAAAATAGTGCGTTGATTCTATGGTGAAAATTGGTAAGAATAGTTTTTGGCCTGGAAAACATTCAACCTGCATTAAACGTACGAAAGTCTAGGTTTTGTGTATGTTTCGTGTCTTTCACCAATCGTTTTGGATTAAGACTATTCAAATTGTGCATCTGGTAAAAGTTTAGTGATGCATAATTGTTGTACAACTAGACTGTTCAACTTTCTCGTTGATTTTGAAAGTACAGACACAGAGAGAGAGAGAGAGAGAGAGAGAGAGAGAGAGAGAGAGATGGATGAGAATTTCCACTGCATAGGATAAATAGCAAAAATAATGGAATTGCATGTTTTTCCCATTGAATGAGAGAATATGCTTACTCATTCGGTAAATGCGTTAGCATTTGAATTGAGTTGTATTTTAAAGCGGCGCATTATGGAAACGAACAGGATATGCCATTTACATTTGAATACCATGTAAATGAATACTGTTTCTAACATTTTGGAAAGGAGAAAAGTTGCAGACAACAAGAATAATAATATAAACTAATAACAAATAAGTGCACTTGTGACCGAAAGCACCGAAATGTTTACTTAAAAAGTGAATTCAAGAAATTCGCGCTCTATGTCTCTCACACACTTTCCATTGCACATACTCTTACGCTCATGATTTCATCCGATTAAAACATTAATTGCGCATAATTCAACCGACTGCTTATATCGATGTCGATGTTTTTTTTGTGTTGGTGTTTGAACTTAAATGTGCAAAAAACAAAATTGTTTTGTATTTTTCCGAAAAAAAAATAAATAAATGTGTTTTGCTCCATATTTTTTTTACTCTCAAATATATTTCTGAATTATTAGCGAATAATTACATCTTTTGCGTAAACTGAATCCTTCTTCATTTTCCCACTCTTAAATGTTTTACGCTATAACTCTGAAAACGTTTTTAGTTGTTTTTTTTTTTATTTATGGTTGCATCACTGTGCGCTTCTCTTCTCCCACACACACATCCTACACATCACATTATATCACAACACGTCACAATACATTACACCGGAACTGAGAGACACTGCCTCTTCAAGAACCGGTCATCATCATCATCACACATACACCCACACATACATACTATAATGACGCATTCGATAAACTTTTCATTGCATTTAATTAATTATTGTCTCCCCATTAAGTGTTTCACTGTGTGTACATCCCCTACTGTCTATATTTACACTATTGATCTCTCTATTACACACATTGTCTTACTCTCTACCCCCTCTCTCTTTTTCTCTATCTTATACAATAAAACCAAATATTGAAACTCTTACGTTATAATTATCATGCTTGAAACCTCGTCGGACTAGCTACAGTTCGTGTAAATTCCAATTAGTTACAATTCCCTATGTGTGTACTTTTCTGTTTGTGTTGCAATTTATTGTCATCCATTGTTTCGCTATCTACCTTCAAAATATACTCAAAAAAAGTCGTATGTCATGTTTTTGTTCGTTCTGTTGTTATTGATGTGATTTAAAATGATTTATTTGACCAAATTAAATAATTGAATTTTTAATTTTTCTTTTTTTATATACATACATATTTTCTTCATCACGATTGAATCAATTGGTTGGATGGCGTGAAAAAATAGAAAAAGATTTGTATTTTGGTCTGTGTCATCATTCTCGTGATCATCGTGGCAGGCGCATTAGGACATTACACCGGCATTTACTAATTAATTTTGCGAATGCGTAATCATCATATGTGCTATAGCAAATTTAGCTGAAGCCAAACGATTCGTGGACCATATCAAATGGTCACACTGAACAATGCACACACATACACACATTATCACCAAGATCTTTTTTTTGCAAAATGGCATATTAACAACAAATTGACAGATAAAAAAGAAAAATTAAGCTAAAAATTGAAAAAAAAAAAAAAAAAAAAAAAAAAAAAAAAAAAAATTTTTAAAAAAATTTAAAAAAAAAAAAAAAAAAAACAACTACAACACAAATATTTTGAAGAAATTCTTAAAGCAATGGGCAGAGTGGAAAGTGATGATATAATAGCTGGAATTGAAAACAACTAAAAATTTTAAAAATTATAATCACATAAAATAGCAAAGCAACAATACGGGAAATTGAACTAAGCATGAAATCGGCTTAGCAACCTACATTTGCAATCTTATATTTATTTTTCATTGTAGAATTATTTTGGAAATAATCAATGTATTCAAATTGGAAACAACAAGATAAAAGTAAGCGATATCAATAAACCATGATCCAACAAAATATTACACTCACGCATCTGACAACCAATGTCCAGAATGTGGTTTTACGGGCAGCATATAATTACTTGTGTTCATTCAATTGGCCGATTTCAATGAACCGAAATAAACCGATTATTTATCACAATGCTATTATTAGTACCGTACATGGAAACATCGATAAATACCTTTTGGTTTTATTGACTGATGATTACACAATTAATGTAAAATAATTTCGGTTTTTTCTTAGTTTTAAAATGTTCATCCGAAAATGACGAATGAAAAATACAAACAAATATATGCTCCTCAATACGCCTCTAGCAGAGTTATCTTTTGCGCTGATATAAAAATAAATGGTTGTCGACAATAATTTCAAGGTGCTTTCCTAAAATTGATTTCATTTTGTATGCACACAGTATGATACAACCATTTTCAAAATACAGCAGAATACGGACATATCAAGCTTTCATAGCTTTTTCTTCAGCAATAAAATTGTCGTCGGCTTTTCTAATTCGTAATTGGTTTATTTCGTCAAACGTACGACAAAGAAAGTGAAACAAAAGATTAACGTAATTAATTGCTTGAAATTCCGTCCCCAAACCACACAACAAATGAAAACAATGTATATTTGTGAATGGCAATATTGATAAATTCAGTTTTTATCTCGCTGCGATTTATTATTTAAATAAATGGCGAATTTTCAGGAGCCAAACAAAAACAAAAACAATACTTTTGACAGGCCATTAATGCCTTTGTTGCGTTTCTAACAGCATTTCGTCTCCAAAACCCTCTGGAGCACCACACAATAAAAAAATTCATTTGAAGAACCTTCGAAAAAAAAATTAAGTTGTGTGAATCGATTGAAGTAGCACGAAATATTAGTTTCATTCATAGTAATAGTATTCCGTTTGAAGTGAAAACGATATATACATTGAAATGAATATAATGGTTTTATTCGCTCTTCACCATATGATTTGATTTTTTCATTTTATAATTTGCTAAACTTCGACTTTCAAACAACTAAGTAGAAAATATTTTATCATGGGGCCTGTACCTGTATGCTTGTAGCATAATCTGATGATACATCATTAGTTACTTCGTGAGCTGAGCTACGAAGTGCCACTTATGGGATTCATATTATTATGATGGGTAATTTTTTATGCTTTCGTGCTCAATAACAATAATAGAGGGCATTTTTTCCACAACAATTTTCAACCCATAAATTCCATCTTATAATCGTTCCGGTCTTAGCAACATATAATACATAAACATCAACGGGACATATATATATATATATCCATACTCGTCGTTGTCTCGTTTCATTATCTTCATATCATTATTTTGTTTTTCTTTTCTCAAACATATATATTTCATTTACACTTCCGAATACAGAATGAAAAAGTACATTTTAAAAGATTTTAGAATGAAAATAAAAAGATGCGGAAAAGCTATTGCAACATACATTTCACGTGCAATTTTTAACTTATGTGATCGGTTCAGCGAAAAATCGCCTATTCAAAATTATCTATTTATCAATGAAAAAAAAAAAAGAAAATAAAAACAAATCAATGGCCAAACTTTCACCGTTTGAAGTGCCTGCGTCGTAAGCATGGTCCAAACATTCTGCATGTGCGTCGCGAGATTTAAAACAAACAAACAAATGAATGAACAAACGAGACAAAAAAAATTAACTTAAATGTGA